TCCTTTCGAAACATCACTTTTCAGAAAACAGGAAGGGATGAGTGGCATGAGATGAGATGAGAGGAAGGCATCGGGGAGCGGCGTTTGGTGAGAGGTAACGGTTGAGTGGGATGAGTGAAATGAGTGTGAAATGAGGCGTCTGAAAAGTTGGTGAGTTGCCTCGAAGTCCTCGAACTCATCTCGGGCGGGTGTTTGGTGAGGGGTTGATAGTAGCCTCAAGTATGGCATGTGAGGCTTTCTTCAGAGAAGAAGATGAAACCAAATAATCGCAACATTTCAAATGTCGAAAGTTTACAGTGATTCCAAGCTGCATGAGTGGCTGATGCTGATGTGAGGATCCTAAAGTTGATCCGGTGGATCCTCGGATAACGGGCACGTCGTGGAATCCTCTGCCGTGATTCCATCATGATTCCACGCTGTGGCGCTTGCAGTGCCGCTGTGGCGGGAGCTCCAAAGCGAGCCCGGACCCCGGGGACCTTCGCACTGCAGAACCACCCCGCCAAAAGTCGTTGACGCAACAGGTCGCCCTCAGCTTCTCACTGGTCACAGCTGCGCTCCAAGTACAAATCATTGGACAGAGCTCCGATTTGTCACTCTCGCCCTCCACTGCCTCTCTTCTCACCCCTCGTCCTGTAACATCTTCAGACGACATTCTTATATAAACCTGCCCATCAACCTCAACCTCATCTATCAAGTCCCATAACAACCTCAAACTCACCAACTCATAAGACTGGTGAGATACACTATACCTCGCTATCTAGACAGAATTGCCCAATGCGATTCTCACCTTTCCTCTCAACCCTCGTATATACCTTTTCCAACTTTTCCCGCGTCCGCGCCGCGCAGACTCTCGGGTCCCAAGCGCCTCTCGCAGCGAACCGCCAGCTCCGCGCTTCCATGCCCTCGATCCCGTTTTTGGGCGCCCTGTTTGGATCTTCCGCTTCTCAGCAGGATAAAATGTCGTATCCCGATAAGAGATCTGATGATGAGTGGCGGGCTGTTTTGAACAAGGGTATGTATGCCCCATTCTCACTTCATCTCATGTGCGGCGTCTCTCATGTGAAAAAGCCAGCTTTGCATGAGATGAGCAATGTTCATAGACCGCGAAAATATGAAACCAAAGAAGCTGACATGTCATAAGAGCAATTCCGCATCCTCCGCGAAAAGGGCACCGAACCCCCCGGCTCCGGCAAATTCGACAAGCACTACCCCTCCGAGGGCGTCTACGCCTGCGCCGGCTGCGAAGCCCCGCTCTACAAGGCCACACACAAGTTCAAGTCGGGCTGCGGCTGGCCGGCCTACTTTGATTCCCTGCCGGGCGCCGTCGTCCGCCACGAGGACCGCATGTTCGGCATGACGCGCACCGAGATTGTGTGCGCCAACTGCGGCGGGCACCTGGGTCACGTTTTCAAGGGGGAAGGGTTTGATACCCCGACGGATGAGAGGCACTGTGTTAATAGTGTGAGTTTGACGTTTGCGCCCGAGGAGAAGAAGGGTGGGGAGGGGAGTGCTGAGGGAGCGAAGGGGGAGAGTAAGGTTTGAAAGAGTGAGCAGTGCGCTCGGTGAGATTGGGGGCGTTGTGGCATGGTGAGGCTGGCTGTGATACTCGTTTTTGAGGCTTCTGTCTGGGCAGAGCGAAGTGAGTTCGTGCGGCGCTAGGTGTATCAACAGTTGTAGAAGGGGAGGTATGGAGTTCGAATACAAGATGTAGGGTGTGCCGTGAGGGCCTTGCTTGAAAAGGTCGAACTACGCTGCTCATGTGTTACGCACTCAAGAAGGAATCCATGCTACGTGTACTCCAGATTCACTGGTTCGTCATGCACCTCTCACTCTATAGGAAGACATTGAGGCGAGTGAGACTGGGAATGCTGGAGATTGATAACCCTACGCGTTTATTTTCCTCAAGGACTCTGCATGATACTAGATGCTACGTTCCATCCAGTAGTCACTCAGAAGTGTACTTGATGAACTACCACAGAGCGGTAGTCCGGAAGGAGAGCGGTAGGAACAGCGGTAAGTGCCTTGAATCTGACAGTAGAGGAGCTACACAGAGAGTTTTGCTCACATATTATTCATTCGTTGGCTGCCCAGGGTCGGTCAAACATCGTGGTTGGATTTGTTGGAAAATCTATGTACCTCTGTTTCACACCTCTCTCCATATCCGCACGAATCAACCTCATATACCTGTAGCACATCAAAGACGTTAAGGGTACCTTATCAATAATGACAAATAAAGTCAAGATAATGATTGAACATCCAGTATATTGATCTTGAGCGAGGCTGCAAGACATGCCGTTTTCTGGTGCCGGGTACAAACTTCTTGGGCTCCAGATTGCGCCCTTCTTGTTCATGGTAAGTCCTGCCACATACCCTCCAACTTCAGGGATTACCGATATGTAGTCCCGCCAAGTTCTAGCTCACGTCATTCGGCGCGTTTTGACAAATACTGAGGAGAACACTAGTAGTGATTGCCTACAGCCTACAGGAGGCGGCGTCGTTGGCAAAAACTTGAGAACTCTGGTGCATACAATGAGGAAGTATGGTCTTACATCTTTCCCGTGCCGCAAACTGTAGTAGGTATGTATGCATGGGCATTGGATGAACGCCCTAGAAGCCCTATGCACGTCGTCACTTGACGCGTGTCAACCTTTTCTCGGTGAAGTTCACGATCAGAGTCTTCCCCAGGCACGACACCCATTCGAGTTGTCCCCTTCCATATTTGGAAACCTACCGAGTCAACAATGGCTCAAATCGCCATTGTAACCTCACTTTCTCTCAAAACGGCTCGGAAGCGAAGGTTGCCGGTGAGGAAGCTGAGAATGGTTGACAAATATGTGCGCCACGGCAAGGGCACAGCCTATCTAGCCAGTCAAGTCTGCAGCTCACGATTCCTGCTATGCATTGCTTATGTCAGAGAAGCAGCTATTGGGTGAATCAAGAAGAGAAAACCTTGGGGGCCTGTGGGGGCGGGTCTTGTTCAGGTTGCTGTTATATAGTCATGATATAAAATGCTGGAATTGAATTTCGTGGCAAGAACACAATGCGCATTTCAAAGAAACCAAACTTTACGAAAATTTTGTTACCATGTTGAATTGGCACGATCAAAGCAGCCGGCGACCTGAAGTGTCCCAGCCGGAAGGCTTCGAGACTTTGTGTTGCTCGAGCTGTGGGATGACTGCCCCGCTGTTGGTCGATTTGCAACGTCTTTGTACCGATACATCTCCATCTTCAACGCCAGATGCAGCTACTACGATCAAGCTTAGATGGCCAGGTTCTATGCAGTTTGTGGGAGAAGTACCCGGCACAAGCCACGAGCATGATTCGCCAGTCGAGTTGCAACCGCTACCCCTTTCAGCAGAGAGCAAGGGCGCAGCTGGCACTACAGATCGCGAATTGCGAATCCGATCTGTACATAACGATACGGCAGATGCATGCGGTCAAGAAACAGTAGTCTACGAGCCTCTTACCGCCCACAAGATCCGTCTACTTCGCCTATCCGCTGCGGAACGCCACCATGACCCTGTTCACGTCGATATCCGCCTTACAGACTTGACCTCTGGCCCGAAGTTCGAGGCTTTGTCATACACATGGGCTGATAACGATGGAGATGACTCGAAATGTGACAGAGTCTATGTTGGGAAGCATTGGGACATCCTCCCGGTCACGAGAAATTGTGCAAGCGCCCTTCGGCGCCTGCGATTTCCCTACCGAGAGCGTGACTTGTGGGTCGACGCTATCTGTATCGACCAGAATAACAATCAGGAGAGGTCTCATCAAGTCGGAATTATGCAGTATATATACGCTGCTGCTGCTAGGGTCCTTATTTACCTCGGTGAAGACCCTGAAGATCCTGATGGCTTGAACCCAGTCCCGTGGACTGACGGCAAATACATACACCGGCCTTTGGCTTCGCCCTCCACCCTAGCTGAGAACCCATACTTTAGAAGGGTATGGGTTATACAAGAAATAGCTGCCGCCAGAGATGCTTGGGTGCTTTATGGATCGAGAGGAGCTCACTGGCATGACTTCCTTGGGGTGACGAATTCCGAAAAAGATTCGAATCGCAACAGAGACCTGTCTCTTTCCGTTGATCGGCCCATGACGAGAGAAAAACTGCCTAAATGGCTGTACATTTGCAATAAGCCAAGATACATGGAACTGGACAGGTTTTTAGATGTTCTATACGGTGCGGCTCAGTGCAAAGCATCTGATCTGCAAGACAAGGTGTTTGCTCTACTGGGTCTCTTTCACGGTGCCAACAACGCGGAACTGGTCGCGGACTACACCCTAAGTCATCAGGAAGTGGTCATCGGTGTCACAGCATATATCTTTGTCCACCATACCGTACAGATGTGGCGCATCTTCGCGGCGATAGACTCCAAAGACTCTCATGTCATGCCTTCGTGGGTCATGGACTGGTCATCAGAGGCCAAAGTAAAATGTCTGGGACCCTACATGCCCGCGACGAAGCCCATAGATGAATCCGAGGGCACACAGTCGCAGCATATTTGCACCCCGCGCATCTACAGCAATGGATCTTTGGTACTGAGAGGACACCTGGTCACACAGGCTGCGAGCTGTGCCTTCAACCAGGCAGCATGGGACGGCCCACCTGGAGTTGTGACAGATATCGTATACCAACGATCAAAAATCTCTCATCTACGAAGTGACAATGGGCCCATGGTTCCATCGGGATGGTGCCAGTCTTCAGACGAGATCTTCGCTGTCCACAGTCTCTCTGGATACTGTCTCATACTTCGGCCGATCACGACGAACCCGAAAACGTACCGGTTTGTTGCTATATGCGAGAGGCCCGAAGTACAACCGATGGCTGCAACCGTCAATCTCTTGGACCGCAGGGTAATTCTGCTCTTCTCAACATGGCGATATGTTCTAAAAGAAGAGCTGAGCAGTGGAGAAATATGGTATTCTTCTAAGCAGTGGAACATGATCAGAGACGTATGTCAAACTGTGAAGGATTGCTGGGCGTTGGAAGATACCATCAGTCGCTTCTTGGACTCCTTGGTCGAGATTCAGACTTCTGTGTCAGCCGGGCTACCACCATATGCGGTTAAGAAAACACAAGAAGCATTGCGAGGACTTGGAAATACGGTCCCAAAGTCGATACTCCTCCAGCAAAAGGGAGTCCTCACTGACTCTATGCAGCTCTCGACGACCCAGAAAATCTCAAACACTTGCCTGCTTGTCGTGAAGAAATTACAGGCTCTTGCTGAGAGGGTCTGTGAGATTGGTCACCAGCATATGACAAACACAAGCGCCGTTGACGCTTACAGCCTGCTTGGGGAAAGTCTTGCGAAAAAGGGTTACTTCCAAAGGCGATTTCAACCCCCAACGAACAAGAAGATTCACAACGAACATCTTCATTTGCGGAACAGAGATATGATTTTTTGGCAGAAGCCGTCCAGGTCGGGCGAGAAGTCTTTCGACTGGAAAACACTCGACCGACTTAAATACATTGCCAGGTCGGCTGGACGAGATGTCACAAAATGCCTGAACTTGAGCAACTGCACATCAGAAACCTACAACTACGCCCCCGAGATCATGACGCATCCCAGGTACGAGCTGTTTTACTTCATTGTCAACAACATACCTATGACTCAGCAAAGCCTTCTGCAAGCTCAATGGGACTGGGGGTTACGCAAAGACGCCATGGAATCTCCTGGGGCCAAGCAGTCGCTGGACTACCCAGGAAGCCATCGACGCTGCGTTCCCTGGAACTCAAGATACATCGACGAAGTGGCAGAAGAGTCTTGGGCTCACTTCTTTGGTGAGAATCTCGATGAGGAACTCGACCGCATGCCCTTTGATATGCCGTCATCAAAGGCATTTGTGAGTAGGCTGCTGTATGAGTGTCTCAGCGAAAAGGTAGTCAGTCTATACATGATGTTCTGGTCGAAAGATGAAGACCGGGACAAAAAGCCTCGACCACCTCAATACGAGCGAATGGTGCAATGGCTGATGGACTCTCTGAACCTGAATCCACGCCCTAGCAAGGAAGATCCGGAGTCCCAGGTCCACTCTGTTGAAGACACATGGGCAGCCAGTTTCCTCAGAGCATGGAGCGATCTGATGGAAAGACATCGCTCAGGTTCCGTTGATGACGTCGAGCCACCTGAGAGACAAGAAGCATCGGAGAAGGGCTACTTGGCCGACGCAAAGGCAAAGTGGGCGCCCTTACTTGACCTGGTACGGGAGACCGAGGCGCACCTATACCCTTTGGAGGAATCATTTCTAGAAGCGAATCGACCGACGGACGAGTTGAGAAGTGAAGCTGTGTGGGAGGATATTGTTATAGTTTGACGAGACCTGGTTTTCTCTTGTCCTCTCACAGCGGGTGTAATGGGAACCCTTCGTCCATGCGAGGATGGAGGAAAGATCACCTAGACGACATAAAGGCCAAGGAGACCTCCTTGATTAACGCGATACATCAGACTGAAAGCTTCAAGTCCCCAGGGATTGGGTCCAGGCTGCTTAAACAGTCTAGAGGTATTGTAGAGGCCCTTGCTTGATCTTGTATGTGAGAATGAGCGTATCGAAAGAAATATCATAATTACCTTGTCGACAGTTCACGCCAGCTAAGCTCCACTATCGTGTGCAACATGACGGTCAGGATATCAAGCAGCGGACTGGTGTTGCCCAGAGCCATTAGTCATGGTTCATAGCCACTCATCAACTTAACGAGATGCGCGAGTCCCTCGCATCTACTCTTGTTGACGAGTGTAGGAATGCTCTGGCCATCATCCGCGAAACGACATAATCATCTCTAATCTTCCACCTCATGCAGTAAGCCTAACAAACTTGCCAGCCAGCTCGGTTCCGCCGAAGGTGCGTGGCGTGATGCGTGAAGCGACATTCGAAGCGCCTGATTTACCCATTGAATGTCTCGTACCACTGCCGGCATGTCGGCCATAATTGCCTGCGCCAGGCGCAATGTCTGAGACTACCAGTCGAGAGCAGAGTATCGAAGGCTGCCAGATCTCTTGCGGCTGAATATACCTAGTGATAGATAGCATAGGCATGGCGATTGGTGACGCTTTCTGACCATGGCACTCATGTATACCGTCGCATGCAGCTAACTCAACTCTGCTTCGCTGATTGGAAAGGGTACAGTGGCTGACTCCCTACCTGTCTGAAGCGCAGCACGCATCCAATTGTTTATTGCACCGAGACTTCGAATCTGCCTTGTCTTCAACCTAATACTTGGGTGAAGCCTTGCGTACACCGACTTGAGATCTGTCGTTGGCGCAGTCCCTGCGCCACCGTCCAGATATGCATAGTCTCTCAAGCCAATGAGACTTGCAGATGTCGGGTCCCAACATTCATCGCAAATTTGGGCTGTCAGTCAGGCTTTTAAATACCCAATACCCCGCCGTTGGTGTGTTACTTAATTCGATACCTTACTTGCTCTTGCTCGGCCTTCGGGGGACGCTCGCATCTTTTGCTATCTTTTTACATTCTAGCATCACCACGCGGTATGGTCAGTACTTGGAACGAGAGCAAGCGATGACCATATTCAATTGGCACGAGACATGCCGGAAACCTGATGTCGAATTCGGTGCAGGCCTGGGTGTGCCGACATGTAGCAGCTGTGGATGCATTGCTACATTGGAAGGCATTGCGGAGGCTCAACACCACGATGCGCCATTAGTACCGGCTCCGACGACAAGATTTGAGCTAAGGTGGCCACTTTCATTACCTTTTGTGGATGATCCATCAGTCTCTGATTTGCCGGAAAAAACGACAGCGGAACCGAAAACATCCTCGTCGGAAGATGTGCGCGGAAATGTCACGTCACATGTTGGCCAGCCCACCACAAGCAACCAAGAGCCTGCGGCAGACTCTTCTACTCAGGTTGAGGCGCCATATGAGCCTTTATTCGCACGAAAAATCCGGCTTCTGAAGTTGCTAAAAGGCAATTACAATGACCCAGTCAGAGTCGAGCTTCAAGTCGCAGATTTGACCATTAAACCGGAGTACGAAGCTCTATCATATACATGGGCAGACGAAAACAAGGACTCTTCAAGGTGCGAGAAGGTTTATATTGGGGAGCGATGGGATATCCTGCTGGTCACCAAGAACTGCTTCAATGCTCTTCGCCGTTTACGATACTCTTACCGCAGCAGAAGACTTTGGGTCGACGCCGTTTGCATAAACCAAAACGATGTGGGCGAAAGGTCCCATCAAGTGGGAATGATGCAAAGCATTTACGCGACTGCCGTAAGGGTCCTGATATACCTTGGAGAAAACCCAGAAGACGAGGATGCTACGACTTCAGCTCCATGGAACTTCGATGTGTGGAACTCAAGATCATTGCCTAAAGACAAAGATCTTACGCAAGAGCCATATTTCAAGAGAGTTTGGATTATTCAAGAAATCGCTGCAGCGAAAAACCCATGGGTTCTTTTTGGGACGAAAGGAGACCGATGGTTTGATTTTCCCCGTCAAATGGAAGAGATCAAGAAACGAGTTGGTAGATTAAACCAGCTCCACCAACAGCAACATTGGTTTCACGTGCTTCCTCAAGGGAAGCTCATGGACCTGCAAGAGCTTCCAAAGCTCTTACAAGCTACACTTCAATGTCAGGCAACGGACCCACGAGACAAGGTCTACGCTTTGCTAGGTCTCTTTCAAGGAGCAAAACAAGCGCAATTGATAGCGGACTACTCGCTCAGCCTGGAACAAGTATTTAGCGGCTTGACTGGTTTCATGCTCTGTCAAAGTCCAGCTTTCATGCTGCCAATCTTTGCAGCACTGCGACCATCAACCTCGTCTCTGCCTACCTCGTGGGCTATTGACTGGTCGTCCGCCATCGCCTTGAATAGTATGGGACCGTACCTACCTCAAGCAGCCTCGCAAACCTATCTTCCTAGCGAACTTGGTTATAGTCCTCGCTTCCATCGCAATGGTACTTTGATACTTCGAGGGCGGCTCTCATCTTATCTTTCAGACTGTCTTTTTGACCCCGAGTCTCAAAAGCGCCCTCAAGGAGTCTTAAAAGGTGACATTTACCGCATGATAGAGACCTACCACGCAGACTCCATACCTTACCGGGCCGAGTCGACCGACGAAATGCTACAAATCAGAGGACTGCAGGGCCATGCTTTGGTGCTTCGACCCGTCGCCACGCTCCCCAAGACATATCGTTTTGTGGCTATTGCAAAAAGGCTTAAAGCTGGATGTCTAGCTGAGTTGATCAACTATTTTGATTGCAAGGTGATACTTCTCTTCTCAACCTGGCAGTACGTGCTCAAAGCAGCGAGCGATGGAGAACCCTGGTTTCAAACATTTACATGGGACACAATCAAAGACATATGCTGTGAATTGAAGCGTGCGGGAAAGCGGAAAGCTGATGAAGAGTACCCATCGGATCTGGCTCTTGGGGGTCGCCTGCGAGACCGGGTCAGAAGCTACAATGAGACTTGGAAGATTTTGAGTAAATCGAACCTGAGCACCACATCGGACCAGATACCAACCAGATGGTCAACACTCGGTGAGCTGAGAAGAGCGAACCGCGCTTTTGAAGAATCAGTGGATATTGCGCAGAAGTTACAAGAGGAGTCAAGAGTCCTGTCAATTTTTGGTTGGGAGTACGGAGCTGTCCCGAACAGAAATAAGTCAGGTCGCCGCGAAATCCCTTGGAAACCGAGCTATCTCACGGATGGTCTCATTCCAACCTTCCTTGAGGAATTGTCATATATCTGCCGATATGAGTACAGGCAAGAAGTCTTGGACATTCCTTCACAAGAGACTTTTGTCAAAACGCTTCTGAGTCAAGGGCTGGATCAAAAGATTATTACATGCGCAGCAATGGAACCGAATTTTGAAAACGTATCTCGACTCCAGCAGAGGTTCCAACGAAGCCCTGTACCGTGGGCGTACGATTTTTTGAATCTAGAAGTCGAGGATTCTCCTTGGAAGAGTCAGTCATGGGGGGTCTTCGCGAAGTCCTATCACTATACGTGGGCGGCCAAGTTCATTACATCATGGACCGTCCTGGCAAATGAGAAGACTCTCAGCTCTAACCCTCCGCCCTCTAACATTGCTGAAGAAGGACATGGTAGTTCGAACGGAATTTGGTCCATAGGGAATTTCATGTGGGCAATATTGGACAGCCTTTTTACAACCACTGAGGTAAAGCCGGCACCCTTGGATCTTGTGAATGAATTAAAATGGGAGCCGCTGCTTGATCTTGTGAGAGAGACAGAGGCGCGGCTTCTTCCTCTGGAGGAAGCATTCACCCGTACTGATGATACGTACGACGAAGATATGAAGGGTGTCCCTTTGGAGGATATCCGTATCATTTGATTGGACGCAGACTCCCACTTGGATAGCTTATTTGCGTAGGTCAATCTACGTACGACGGATGGGATACAGAGAACATCTTCTTGAGACAAATTCTTACGGCTAAGACCGCACTCACTAGTTACACACGAAAGTGTAGGTCTTCGGTAGTTGAGTGGTTGTACGGATCGGGCTTGGTTGTTCTTCGAGTAACGACATGTGCTTTGGTACTCTGGGCTGGTAGTTTCGTCTTGGCATTATGTATTACACTCATATCTCATACACATCTCAATCCACCCAAAAATCATATGTACAAGAACATATACCCCTCCGCTCCAACAAAAAACCTCACAACTAGCACCCACAAACGTTGAACAGCGCAACAGAAGGATCATGATCGCTAACAAGATCATCATACAACTCCCACGAGTTCACGTGGATGTGCTCGTACGCGGTGCCGTTCTTGTTCGCCAGCGCGGGGCTGACAAACATGTGATCCAGCTCCTGCGCGTTCATGTCGTAGACGTAGGTGTAGCGCTCCTCGACAGGGACGCCGACCGCCTCGTCGAGGTCGATGAGACCCGATGTGGACGCGAAGACTTTGAGGGGCTCGACGAAGGCGAATTCGTTGAAGTCGCCGGCGGTGATGATACGGGCGTTTGCGTCGAGGGCGAGGATTTCGGCGATGAAGGACTGTGATCTTGAGTTAGCTGAGACTTCTTACGAGGGTGGAGTGATGAAAACGTACGCCGGTGATCTTGGCCTGCTCAATACGCGGGTTCACGACGCCATTGACAGGAGGACGGGGGTCGCCGTGCAGGGACGACGAGCCGCCTTTGGACGCAAAGTGCACGTTAACAGTGAAGAAGGTCTTGTTGACGGGCCCGTTGACGGCGCGCCACTGCGCAACGAGGGGCTTGCGGCTGGCGTCCCACGCGGTGTTTGTGGGGTCGATGCGGCCCGGGTTGTACTTGAGCGCGGGGCCCTCGAGGACCTCGTTGGCATCGAGGGCGCCGCCCGGGTTCGGCTTGTAGAGCTCGACGACGTCGGGCTTGTAGAGGTACGCGACGCGGATGTTGCCGCCCGGCTGGCCGCCGTCCTTGCCGTCGACGGGGTCGATGACGACCCAGTCGTACGCGACACCGGACTTGGTCTCGATGGCGGCCGTCAAGGTGGAGAGGGTGAGGTTGGAGGAGACGACGCCGTTGTTGGTAGCGCCGTTGTCGTCTTGGATCTCTTGGACGAAAACGAGGTCCGGGGTCTTGAGGTAGTCTACGATGTGGGCGGCGACGGAGGGGAGGTGGGCGACGGTCGGGGAGAGGTTCTCGACGTTGTAGTCGCCGACGGTGATGCCCCTGCAGTCGCCGCGGCTGACGAGGGTGGTGGCGGGGGCGTTGTTGGTGGCGTTCTTTGCGATTGTGATGCCGGTCAGGGGGAGGATGCGGTAGAAGCCGAAAGCGTTTGTGACGATGCCGGTGATCTCGGTGAGCTCGTCGCCCATCTTGGACTCGGGGTTCTTTGTGCCGTCGAGGGGGGAGCCGATGATGATGGCCTCGGGGTTAGAGTCTTGTTTGCCATCTTAGTGACTTGCGTGATTCAGAGAAAAGAGATGATGCATACCCTTGTCAGACATGGTGAGACCGCCGTGCGCATTGCCGCCGGTGACGGGCCAGTCGCCAATGACCCAGGTGTCGCCGTACTGGTTGGGGCGAGAAATGCCAACGGGGCTCTTGATGGTGACGAGCTCGCCGCTCAGCGACTCCCAGAAGTCAAGGCCGTAGAGGGCCGGGTTGAGGATGGGGTTCTCGGTGGAGATGTTGGCGACAGCGTTGGGGACGGCGTAGACGTCGCCGCCGTCGAGACCGCTGTACTGCTCCGTTGGCGGGGGCAGGGTATCGACGCCGATGACCAGAGGTGTGACCTCGTTACCCTTTGAGACGACGACAACGTTCTTGGGGGAGCTAAGCTCTGTGAGGTAGATGTAGTTCGTGGCGGACCTGTTTGTTTTTGTCAGAGGAACTCTACGTGCCATCGGGAGTCCGACTGTATCTTACCTGTACTCCTGAATCTTTCCATCCAGAGTGACGAGGTCGCCCACGGTCAAGTTCGCGCCGACGGTGCTGCCGTAGACGTAGAGCGCCTCAGAGGTGGCAGCATCGTCGTCGGGCGTCGTTGAGCGGATCCAGATTCCGGCGGGTCCCTTTGCGAGAACGAGACCGGTGACGTTGGTCACGGACTGGTCCTTGTACGGAGAGAGGAACTTGTTGCCGTTGATCTCGGCAATGGTCAAGGCCGAGGCGGCGCCGGCGGCGGAGAGGAAGAGGGAGGTCACCTTCATCTTGACAGTGTACACCGCGTCAAAACGAAAACCAATGACTACGGAAGCTGTTCACTCTTCTCTCTGGAATCGCAACGTCCTGAGCACACAAGAGCAAGAGAGGGATCGTCCATGTTTACTCCCGTCGCGGGGCAAATCACCACTATATGTAGGATGGAGCTGAACCTCTTCAGCCCATTATTGCGGTTCCCGTTTCCCCTGGTCAGGGTCGTATCGAGCCGAGAAAGTTGCAAAGTGCCAAGAAAGCTGCACCATATCGCTTCGCTGGGTCCCCCGGGATCCAGCGATCCATTCCGCCCTTGCATCGCGGGAGCTGCCTGCTTTGCATGTGAGCAACCCGCGTCGGATGCGCTCCAAGAGTCCATGTACGCGATAAGATTGGACAACGAGAGAGAGGAGGGCGCGGCCAGCTCCGATATTACGCACTCGATATCTCTCAACTTGTAGCCTATAAGGCCAGCTGGACATGCTCACTGGAGGGAAACGGCAAGACAATGATTCTTTCCCGTCGAGCGGAGAGCGGAGAGCAGGGGTCCTGTCGTATCAATTGACCTCTTAGAGCGATGCGTGCCTGGCACGTTCTTGTCAGGCTGTCATAAGAAACCTGGGCTAACGGCACCGGCAGAGACATTAGATGAGCCCCGCATTAGCCTTGATTGACTTCAACCCCCCCATCGCGGCGCTGTATTGGTTGGCCATGGCTCAATCGGGAAGGTGAAGGCTTCCTGCGAGGGCGGGAGAGTGGCCTAGCTGGTGTCTAGTTCAGTGGGGAACAACCCGGCCTAAGCATATTCAAAAAGGTTGAATTGAGCAACGGGTGTGTGGGGGAAAGGCGAGCGGCGGAACGTTAGAAAGCAACTTTGCTTCTGATCCTGGGTCATATCTGTACGGTATATCCATACGGAGTGCAGAGATAGGGAATGAGAGAGAGACTGGTATCACAATCAGCGTGTCATTTCCAACACTACAACAATGATAGGCGTAGCAAACCAAGGTGATCCGGAGAGCCGAACAAACCGTAAGACAAGCCGGGCCAACTCCCTTCCTAGGATAAGTCCGCTTTCGAGGCCAAGACCTCGGTGGGCGCGTGGTGTCTTGCTGTTGTTGGTCGAGAGCCGTTGCTGGCAAGGTGGAGGAGGAGTCTGAGAGGAGGGAGCAAAAGTCAATTACCTACTCTAAAAAGATGGACAAGGGGTCGTTGAGGGGCCGCTAATCTGCGCCTTATCGCCTGCCAATCATCTGCCTCACGTGTCGATGACCGACCGCCGGCCCCGGAGCTCCAACCCCGGTCGTCCCTGGATGTGCCCCTGTCTATCACCGCTACCAAGATTCTAAGCTTGACTCGACTTCCGCTGGGCCCCTTCAGCTCCCTCCCTCACGGCTGAGTACCCATCCTCACAGTCACAGCTCACTCATCCACATTCTTTGCGTAGCATCATCAACTCTTACCCATGAACATGCAGTCAACAGTCTATGATGCACCACTCTCTCCTCATACACTCATTTGAAGAATCTCTGGTCCAATTCTCACTATGGTATCACAACTAATCTTTTTCAAAGATGGGGATCTGGCCTAAAACCTGCGGTGCACATCTTCACTCAATTTCCTACAAATGAAAACTGTCCCAGAACATTACAAAGAGCTGTACAAATCCCAAGGACCTCTTGTCCATCGAGTGAAGTTTCCCCCGTAGATGCCTCAGAAAACTTTTGGCGACGACAGGAACAGCTGCCTACTGATATCTCAAGTGAGATCAGGCTCGCAAAATGTATGCACCAACAAAAAATTCATTTCTTTTCCGTCCTCGAGACATACACACTCGGAAACAGCTCTACCAGCGTAGCTGCCTTTGCTTCAGACTTGCCACCGGTCGAGCCCGTCAAAGACCGCCCCGGTGATCGCTGGGACCGCCCGGAACCGTCCCAGGCTCCGACTCGGCTTGTTGCCCTTGGGCCCCGGCATCTGGAGCCGCTCAACACTCGAGCGTCCACTCCCGCTTACTCCAGATCGGCTTCCTCCTCGTCGCGCTGGACAAGCTCGTGGTCGTCACGCTCAGCCAGGTCATGCTCTTCGCGCTGTTCCAGGTCGGCTGACTCCTCGTCACGTCCGAGAAGACCGCTGAGCAGAGCAAGAGGGTCGGCCTGGGCCTTGTTGGCACCACCGTTGGCAGCGTTTCCACCTGCAGCGCCTCCACCAATCTGCAAGTGAATGTTAGCTACTGTTCAATGGCCTGCGTCTCTAGGACCACTTACGCTCTCGAGGATGGAAGAGAGGATGTTGTTGCCGTCGGCTGCCTGGTTGTTCTTCGCAGCGGCGCCTCCAGCAGCGTTGTTCTTCTTGCCGTTCTTGCCGTTCTTCTTCTTGCCACCAGCGTTTGCAGTTCCGTTGTTCGCAGCACCACCAGCGGCACCACCGGCGGCACCACCAGCAGCCGCGCCGCCAGCTGCGTTGTCGGCTCCGTTGTTCTTCTTGGCAGCAGCGTTACCCTTAGCAGCCTTGGCCTTCTTTCCGCCAGCCGCAGCACCGTCGGCGGCGTTGGCAGTTCCGTTGTTGGCAGCGCCACCGTTGTTCTTCTTGGCCTTATTCTTCTTGGCTCCGGCAGCACCGGCGGCAGCGTTGTTCTTCTTGCCCGCGGCCTTGGCCTGTGCGTTCTTCTTGCCCTTCTTGCCCTTCTTCTTGCCTCCGGCGTTGGCAGTTCCGTTGTTGGCGGCACCGCCGGCTGTGGCACCTCCGGCAGTGGCACCACCGGCCGCGGCACCGGCTCCTCCGGCTGCAGCGGCGTCCTTGGCGGCCTTCTTCGTGGCGACTCCGTTCTCGCCTGCGTTCTCGCCCTCCTGCTGGACGTCGGCGTTGTCACCGGCTGGCGTTGAAAGTTAGATGAGTTTCGGATGTTGATGTGTGGAGTTCTTTGACATACCTTGCTCGCCCTTGGCGCGGCGCAGAACAGGCCTGACATCAACTTGAGCCGGGAAGTTCAGGTCTCGGACGGGGAGAGCCACGGATCGGTCCTCCTGGGTAGGGAGGGCGATGACCTGGGCGGCGATGGCCGCAATGGAAAGGAGGATAGAGCTCTTCATTTTGAAGGAGTGCTAAATGTCTCTAGTCAAAGAGATGAAGAAAAAAGTTGAAGGTATAATTTACAACTGAAAAGGGTTCACAGAACCTGGAGAGAATGGAATGTGAGAATGGAAGAAATGAGAAAGGCACTCAAGGAAAGACTGGACCAGCCAAAGTGAAGGAACTGAACCAGAAACGTTGTTGTGTTGAAGACTTGAGAGTGTCGAGAGAAAAGAAACCGAACTCAAGGCCAGATCGGGCTGGGTTGATATAGAGTATAAGCTTCCTGGGAATCTCACTCGGATCCAGATCCCTCGGAATATCATGCCGCAGGTAGAGCAGGCACAGACTGCACCCATGAGGTCACAGTGCCAAGGAATTGAGACGTCTTGTCAAACAAATGAGGTGAACGCTATCTTTGCCCAATGTCACCATGTCAGCCATGTCACAGACTGTGATCCATCGCGAGGGCAGTGCAGTTTGGTGGAGCAGGGGAGTCGGGTCCTCAGTTTGAGAAAGAGACGTTATGGCGAATGGGAAGAGGTGTGTGCCAAGCACCACGACGGCGCCATGTCGCGCCAAACCCCGGAGCAGCCGTGAGCCGGGGAAAGCGGAGACGAGGTCCCAAAATAAAGAGAGAGCAGAAAAGGTGTCTGTAGCCGATTGATGATGGGCATCGCTACCATGCGTTTGTGGTTGAGGGTGCCGGTGGTGGCCATGGAGGGCGACTGTTGATCAGACGGTTGGTGATTCAGAACGGCCCCGCCGCGGCGGATTCCTGTATGTACTTCTCCAGAACTGAGGCTTGCGGAGGTGGAACGGGTCCCCAACGGTGGTGGCTACTCGACGGTGGCCAGACCTGGTAATAGGCTGCATCCAGCCATAAGCCCGTACTCTGCACACACACAGAACGTGGGAACTAGTGTCCGTCCTGTCCTGGTTGGCATGTGTTGTTGATGCTTGTGCGGTGGTGGTATTCCCAAGGTCGCGTACCTTGCGGTTAGTGGAACAGCCATGGGGGTTGAACGGTTTGATCGGAGGACAGGTTGTCAAACCTGGGATGAAACACCGCCCAAAAGGGCGCTTGGCCAAAATCGCGAACGCCTCTCGCTTCCCAACTGAAGTCTTTCCCCCCTTCTGCGCGATTGTCTCCATCCCAATACACTGGTGACGAGTGGGATGCCGCCCATTTGAAGAGTGAGTTGCTGGGATGGCGTTTGAAGGATGAGCATGCGCGAAGCGATGAAGTCTAAATTTCAGAACTGCAACGATGCACCCTGGGCCGTTTCTTGACAAGCAGGGGAATCTCTCGTGAATCAGGACCGGCCCCCTAGGCGTTGCAGAAGCAAAAAGTGGTCTGAATGACAGGATTTGCAAAGAATTGTTCGATCTCTGCTAGGGCACCGGTTACGATGGCCGTAATTGTACACTGCATGTACGAAGTAGCGTATAGCAAGTAAGACACGCTTCGAGAGTCTCCACGAGCTTGATTTGTGAGCCGCAATCCGGCGTGGAAAGTTTGAAGGGTTGAAGCTTGGCCCTGGTCGATACCGTTACATCGCTCTCCTTCTTCCGTCATTCGCCGCACTACTGTTCCTGAAGACTGTCTGATTTGCAGAGTCTTCTTAGGCCTTTAGAAATTGGGGGATCTCGACTGGAGAGGTGCTTGTTTGGAAGCGGTGCCGCGGGTTGCGGTTGCTGCGCCATTCCGTCCCATTCCATGCCGTCCGTTCCCATCCCTTCACAGTTCACACAATAAATGCCGAGGGCTAGAACATAAAGCAACGTTGGGAGTCTCCGCACCCTGGTTGACATGGCTCGAGGGTTGAGGGATCGAAGTCGAGAGAAGGGACGGTGTTTCAACTGGTGCATCGAATTGCCAAGGACTTCTGTCTCGAGGAGATTGACAAAGTCGGGCGATGATCGTCGCGCAACACTGGCCAAGACCACAGCAGCATGGCGTTCTTGTTGAGGTGGGAATAACAGACCAGAATTAAGACATACCAAGAGAGATGCTCGGTGTTGGCGATGCTTCCGGCCTTGGTTGCGAGTATCAGAAGTCTCTTGGTTTCTTTTACTTTTTCAGGCCTGGCTTGTAGTTAGTAGTCTTGGGCCTAGTCTTGGGACTCTTGGCTTGGGTCAGAGTCAGAATCAGGCCTCAGGCGACTTCTGGAGTCTGGAGATCACCGGGGCGGCTCCAGTATTCCAGAATTACAGTAGAGGCCAAGCATTTTGGCGAGGGGAATCAGGGGATGAACGGATGTGCTGCAATCCTGTTTGGGAAATCATGGAGAAAGGAGGCGGGAGAGCAGAGCAGTGATCGGCGAGCGAGGAAAATCAGACACAGGAGAGAAGAGCTTGGTCAATGATGCCGGTGCATTGCTTTCCCCACGAGAATTGAAGAGGAGACGGACGGTTCGCATCACTTTGACTGAAGGGGGGCCCCTCCTTCCCAATTTCTCCTCAACGGCCCATCTTTTCCATTGGATTCCCGGGTTGTCTTCCAGCCCTCCAGGTTCCCAGTAATTATTCGCCCCAAGTTCCCAACATGGCAGCAGCAGTCTGTGAGTCCCGTCGTGACTGCCTTGTCATGCGATGTGGTCAACACAGACTTGACCCGAGCAGAAGGAAGGCCCCATTGGACTCCCGTCTTGGCAAGACCCATTGGAATCACGTGGCTGTTCTCCTCGCACTTGCTCTTTGTCTTTCCTCTTCCGTCAGTTATTTCCTTCCATCATTGTGCTACCTCTCTACCCAAGTGAGGTACCTAGGTAAGGCAGGTAAGATACTTCGTAGACGTGCCTTCCTTGTGCATCAACAGAGGCTAAAGCACAGTCCAAATCACGTGGGAGGTGACGAATCCCCATTTCAGATGTGGTTGGGTCTTCCCTTCCACTGCGGCTCTTCTACACGTGGGACACCGCATGGCTGGTACCATAAGGTTCCTTGCTGTCCCAAACTTGGGATTTCAAATGACTCTATCCTCTGCGCACGCCTGTTTTGCTTCGAATCGTACAGTTCTGTATTTAGCAAAGATGAACACAACCGACTTCAGACGACGTGATGGTGGTGGTCAGATGTCGTTATCGCTCCCGGATGAGTCAATTACCTACAGCCGTATTACACCCAGGCTGTCCAAAGGCCCCAATAGCACAGCAGGCAGCTTTTCGACCTTCTACACGCCTTGCCTTACATGACACCCGCCACATACATCAATCATCTCAAGTCTGGAGAAAGTCATCTCATCAACATGAACCTCTAACTTGGACGGTTCCACGGTCAGACTGGACACGTCCATCGGTCCCCGACTCCAGGTTTTCTGTCTTTTTCTGTCAGTGCTGATGCATCCATTCATTCATCTCAGACGCTCACACCTGACCTCCAGGCTACGGAGTACCTGGTCAGACCAATACGCCGTATTGTGTCGATGCACGGGGCCCGAGTCGTCCGATGCAACTTCCTTGACTAGCACCAAAATCCTGCCTGACTGCTCGGCGCTGTTGCTTCGAGCCGATCGGTCTTCGTCCCTTTCGTACATCGGACATTCAATCCTTCATCGTGGTTGACGTGGAACTGTCATCTGGTCCATCAGTCAAAGATGAGACTCGTTCCGCTTTGGGCAATTCACGGGGTGGCTGTGTCTAGCTGCCGCTATGCCGCACCCCGAGACAGGCACACCTTGATTTGATTGGCAACACCACCTCAACACCACCAGACTTGGCCCCTCTGCCTAAGGCTCTTACGGTCTTACCTCAAATCTGGGAATTTACGGAGGATTGCGGCGTGTGATGCGGTGACTGCAGGCTTGTCGCTTCCATTCTGTTCTGTCCTTTTCCCAGTCAATCTCGTACCATTTCCATTCATTTCCTTTTGTCTTGACGTGCAATAAGTTTGGGCGTACTGCAACTCTGTTTTGGAATTGTTCTCTTCAGTTTGGCACCTCGTTTTGAGGCTATTGCTAGTAAACGAAGTCACAAAGCGTTACATTCGGCTCATGTTTTGTTTGAAATCCCTCTTTGATTAAAATTGCCTCACTCCCTTGGTCTTGAAACACCATCAGCGACACGAGAGTCCCCGGTGCCCGCTCGCACCATGTGGGTCCCGCAGCCGGCTTGTTCTTCCGGCCTTGACAACTCTCTCGGTCCGTGGGCCGGAGAATTGTGCCGGGGCGGATTCGACTTTACACTTTTCTTCGAGGAGGTCATACTAGCAGTTCCCCTGCAATCTCTCCTCCTGCTGTTGCTTCCCACCTGTGCCTTACGCCTGGCAAGGTCCGATGTCAAAGTCGTGCCCAGCACCCTGCGCTGGTTCAAAGCTGTTAGTCCTGGCAAATTGCCTCCTACCACAATGGCTGATCTCTGAAAGTCTGCATCCATTTCTCTGGCTGCTCTAAACTTCGCTCTTCTGATCCTCTGGATCACTGCACCATCAACGACTATCACTCATACGCGTGCAACCATTCCCACCGCCATCCTCAGTCTAATTGCCTCGATAGGATTGGGTTTGCTATCATGGCTCGCCCATCAACGGTCTGTAAGGCCATCATTCGTCCTGTCAATTTACTTGTTTCTGTCAATTCTGTTTGACACTGCTCGTGCCCGAACTTTGTGGATGCTGGGCCCCCATCAGACCATACCCGCCATCTTCACCTGTACTCTAGCTGTCAGAGCTGTCATGATCCTTCTAGAATCAACAGAGAAGCGCAGGATCCTAGTTCCAGAACACAGAGGATACTCCAAGGAGGTCACCAGCGGCACTTTCAACAGATCAGTCTTCTTCTGGTTGACGTCACTCTTCATCAACGGATACAGAAACATCCTTCACCTAGATGACCTCTATCCACTGGACCCGAAGCTAGCCTCAGAGCCGCTCTACAGAAAACTCGCCGACGCGTGGGACCAAGGTAATCTATTTTCGGCCCCCAAACTAAAACACGAGACGTTCCGCGGACTAATATATCTGATTTCTGCACAAAAAAAGTCCCCGACAAGACGGTTCCCGGCGCTTTGTTCAGCACCTGGCTCCGCGCCTTTGCCGGCCCTCTTTCCGCGGCCATCGTCCCGAAACTCTTCCAGATCGCCTTCAACTACGCCCAGCCGTTTCTGATTGACGAGGCAATTCGTCTTGCCAGTCAGCCGCAACAGCAGCCCTACAATAATCACGGTTTTGGTTTGATAGGGGCGTACGTGATCGTTTACAGCGGTATTGCTGTGGGTTCTACGTTCCGTCATCTTCGCTCTCGGTCAAGAGAGCGTTCTAGAACTGTTCAAAGAGCGGGACGCTGAGATATTGTGGTGTAGGTCTCGACAGGTCAGTATGACTGGCGCAATCAACGTGCGGCCTCCATGACGAGGGGGAGTACGACAGCACTGATCTATCGGAAAGCGTTGAGGCTGAATTTGACGTCGCCCAACGTCAGCCCCTCGGGAGCTCTGACATTGGTCGGAACCGATAGCGAAACCATCAGCCAAGGCATCACTCAGCTTCACGAGGTTTGGAGTGGACTTCTCGAGATTGGTATCGGGATTTACCTGATTTACAGGCAGCTTGGTGCTGCCTGTGCCATGCCCGTTGCCCTCGTTTTCGGTAGGATGCCATATCAGCTTCGTCGGCTGAGAGAACCTCAGAAACTGATGCATAGCGGCAGTTGTCCTACTTGCCACAGCTTTCCTCGCCGTTCCCACAGGCAAAGCATCCGCGGAATGGATCAAAGCCTCACAAGATCGCGTCTCTACGACCTCCAAGACGCTGGGAAACATCAAATGGCTCAAGATCTCTGGCCTCAATGATGTTGCCTTTTCAGTGATTCAAAAGCTTCGAACCGTAGAGCTCGAGGTTTCCAAGAGATTCAGAGTACTGCTGGGGATCTCCATGATGTTTCGTAAGCTTTTTTCCTGCGTTGCCTCTTCGTGACATGTACGCTGAGACTGTTCCTTTCAAGTGATCTGCACGCCGATCTGGTCTCCAATCCTCACCTTCAGCACATTCGTTGCAACGGCGGCTCGAACCGGCGATACTTTGACGATCCAAAAGGCGTTCACTGCGTACTCTGTTTTGATCCTTGTGAATCAGCCATTGGTTGGCATCGTCATGGGACTTCCGCTCCTGGCTTCTGCCATGGCTTCTTTCCAGAGAATCCAAGACTTTTTGAATGGCAAGGAAAGAGTCGATGCCAGACTCGCTAGCGAGGGTGTCAAAATCGCTGGGGCTGGGAAATCCGTGACAGAGTCCCCAAAAGCTGCTGGTCTAGGCCCAGACGTCGAGCTATCTGACATGCGAGAAAGTGAGCTACTAGTCGCTGATCTAGCCCCAAACATCATCGCCTCTGTTAAGGGGACATTCTCTTGGTCAGACGACTCCAAGCCAGTCATCGATATCGACAACTGGAACATCCGGGGGCGAGCTTTCACCTTGGTACTGGGCCCCGTAGGATGCGGCAAGTCGACGCTTCTGAAGTGTCTCCTCGGCGAATTGTCGTCTTTCGAGGGCACCATTTTGACCAACTTCTCCGGCGTTACGTATTGCGGCCAAACCGCGTGGATACCGAATGATAACGTACGGAACATCATCACCGGTCAAGCCGCGTTCGATTCGACCTGGTACCACACAGTCATCAAGGCGTGTGCTTTGGAGCAAGATATCTCTAGCTGGCCGAATGGAAACAGCACTGTGGCGGGTACGAAGGGTATTTCCATGAGTGGTGGTCAGAAACATCGTCTGGTCTGTCATTGAGATTGTTTCAGAGTTGGGGAGCAAAAGCTAACATCATGGTAGGCCATTGCCCGCGCTTTGTACGCAAGACAAGAGCTGGTGGTGTTTGACGACGTTTTCAGCGGTCTAGACGCTAGCACCGAAGACATTGTGTTCAACAACCTCTTCGGAAGCAGTGGCCTACTGCGCCATACGGATACGACTGTCATTCTAGCATCATCCGATTGTACGTTCTCCTTTACTCCTTACGTCGTTCCCTCCTTGTATGACTTAGCACTTAACGATCTTGCGACAGCTCGCCGAGTCCCGTTAGCCGACGACGTCGTGCTTCTCAACGATGGGGGTCGGATCATAGACAACGAGATGGCCATGAAAGTTGGCCAATCAACCGAATACCCAAATGAACATGCCGGCATAAGCGCCAGCGACAGCGCCGCACCGCTGCCGATGATTACATCGAACGATAAACCACCAGGTACGGTCCTCGGCCTACTCGAAGACCAAGCAGATTCCGCCCGTCAACTCGGCGACTGGGGAATGTATAGCTTCTATGCCAGGGCAGCTGGGTGGTTCAGCCTGTCGACGTTTGCTGGCGCCATGATTGTCTTTGCCTTTTGCGATTCATTTCCTGGTAATTTCTCCCAAGAGGCTGTTCACGTAGAAACAGCCAAAGACTAACAAAGTTATTGGCCAGATATCTGGCTCAAGTGGTGGGCGGAGTCCAACGAGAAGAAGCCGAACCAAGACCTGGGCAAGTGGCTTGGTGTCTACGCGGCTCTTGGGGTCGGGTCCGTGGCTTCGGTGCTCTTCGGAATGTGGTGAGCACATACTCCATCGCAATGCTCTGCAGAGACGTTAATAACGAAATATTCTAGGCAGCTTTTTATTGTCATCATCAACAAGTCAGGAGTCTACTTTCACGGTGTTCTACTGGATACCACGTCTCGGTAAGGCACTCAACCGACTTGATCATTGGTCTTGATACCAACAGAAATAGTGCGCCCATATCATTTCACAGTTCAGTGGACAGCGGCATCACAGTCAACAGATTCAGCCAAGACCTCCAACTCATCGACATGGAGCTGCCAGCCGCAGCACTTGGCCTGGCCGTAGGTAGGCAATACTCTCCCCAATCCCAACGAAACCGAAGCCCAACTAACCTGCCAATCCTCCAGGCGTCGCATTCGGCGCGGCCCGCTTCATAGTAATGTCCGTCTCCTCACGCTACATGGCCGCCATCCTCCCCTTCCTCATCCCAGCCTTCTACGCAATCCAGCACTTCTACCTCCGCACCTCGCGACAAATGCGCCTCCTCGACATCGAACACAAGGCACCCCTATACTCCCAACTCATCGAGACTCTCGAAGGTCTGGCCACCATCAGGGCCTTCCGCCGGGAAGATGGCTTTGAAAAGGTCAACTTCCACCGGCTCGACGACTCGCAGCGACCAAAGTATCTCCTCGCGTGTCTACAAAGCTGGTTGACGTTTTCGGTTGACATGGTGATCGCTGTCATCGCCGTCGTACTTATCGTCTTGGTTACGACGCTGCGCGAACAGATTGGGCCTGGGTTCATTGGTGTTGCGTTGACGAATGTGTTGGCGTTTAGCGGGTGTGTCAAGGCGATCATCACTTCGTGGGTCATGTTGGAGGTCTCGCTTGGTGCGGTGGCGAGGGTAAGGAACTTTTCTTTGACGACGAGATCCGAAGACGACTCTCGTGTGCAGCTTGCAGAACCGGAGGGAGAGTGGCCGAGTCAAGGAGCCGTTGAGCTCCGTAAAGTGACGGCGTCCTATGCGTAAGTTTGGACAGTAACAGACCCTCGTACTTGGGAGTGTGAAGCTGACGTTGTAACAGATCATCTGGTGCCGTACTAAAAGATGTCGACATCTCAATCAAACCGGGTCAAAAGGTTGCAATTTGTGGCCGGACAGGCAGGCAGGTGATTCCCTTCCCCCATCTTTACCAGTCGAAGACATCTAACACTCCATCCAGCGGCAAAAGCTCCCTGATCCTTTGCCTCCTCCGCATGATGCAAGTTGACTCCGGCACAATCACCATTGACGACGTTGACATCGCCACGCTACCCCACGAATACGTCCGCTCCAAGATCGTCGCGGTCCCACAAGAGTTCTATATCTTCGACGGCACCGTGCGGTTGAATCTCGACCCAGGCCAGACTGCGTCGGACGAGATAATCATGGCGGTGCTGAAGAGGGTGCAGCTCTGGGATAAAGTCGAGGAGCGTGGCGGTCTGGATGCCGTTATTGATGACAAGTTCTTTTCGCAGGGTGAGGCGCAGTTGTTGGTTTTTGCTCGGGCTATGTTGAGGAAGGGGAGAGTGTTGATTTTGGATGAGATTACGAGCAGGTGAGTTTCTATTTCCTCTTCGCAAGTGCGTGTTCAAGATGGAACCTACTCTACCGACCGGGAGTGAACGAGGGAGACTAACATTCTGTGCGAATAGCTTGGACGACGAGTCTAGCAGAATCATCGACGAGGTGCTGCGCTCGTGGTTCAGAGATTGGACCATCATCGCTATCGCACATAAGCTTGAGTCGATGATGGACTTTGACCGAGTTGCGGTTGTCGATTCAGGAGTAGTTGTCCAGTATGGGGAGCCCCGCGAGCTTCTGGGAAGCGAGTCTTCGTTCAAGGCGTTGTATGAGCGGTCATCGGGTGTGGCACACTAGGGCTGGTACGAGGGAACTGAGGAATTGTAAGATGAGCGTATATCCCAACTCGACATTTGTATTTGTAACGCATCAAGATACCCCTCTTTTCATTGAAATTCGATACACAGAAATATCTTCCCAGAACTAGCTAGCAATCATGGAGTGCTAGTATGTATAATTGTTGCTAAAGTGGTGCGCTGGAGCTACTGCTGATCATAGTCACGATGCCAATGGCTTCTGATACATCATATGAGCAAAGGCAGTCACGTAAATGGAAAATGGAGAGCCGGCCATGCTTCTGTCATTTACCTCACTTATCACATTTCCGGGAAACAAAACCGCTTCACCTCGTATTTATAAGACTGACCGCGCGAGTGAACATCGAGCCATGGAAAGAAGCAGGCTGTAGGATCATGCCGCCATCCTCTTCTGGCTGCATCAATAGTAGGGTCAGCAAGAATCGGCATTTGCCCTGCTGTCACCTCATTGGCGGCAAGCGACTGTATATTTCCCCTTGGGCTTTTGGGTTTACGTTGAAGTTGGTTGTCATTACCCAATAGAACTTTCTGTGCCATCTCATTTCAGGCGCAGCACTCTTTCCAAACTAAAGATGCACTTTTGCTAGGGCTCATGACCAGGCGCAGGCTACCCAGGCTGAAAATGCAAAATCGCCTTGCCTCGCTGCCGCCCTGTTTGAAGCAGCCTGCAGTACTCTTGATGATTCTGGTTAGGCGCTCACTCCCATCACTTTCATTTTCACTTTCATCATCGCTCTCATACCCATATTCACCCTCATCTTCGTCCTCGTCTCCCTCATCTTCACTCTTATCTTCCCCCCCGACTTTCCATCCTCAATTCCACCCTTGTTTTCACCCTTAGATCCACCTACAACTTACACCATACCTGTTGCCGTCTGGGCCCAGTGATCTCCGAGAACTTACTTACCACAGCCTAGATGGAGCTTCAATCATGGGATGCCTTTCAAGAGACATTGCCTCCTACCAAGCACATGAAAGAGATCCATAGAAAGAAGCTAGCCCTTCGACATCCAGGAACATGTAGCTGGATTTTTGACAGCAAGGTGTACCGTCAATGGGAGAATGAGAGCAATAAAACGCTCTTCTGCATTGGTCCGCCTGGTGTGGGCAAGTCGGTTCTAGCTGCCGCGGTGATTGACGAGTTCAAGAATTCAGATAGTCTAGTACTCTTCCTATTTTGCGAGAACCATTCCCAGCAAATGGATTTCCTCGCGGGATGTCTGATCCAACAACTACTCGAGCGTATCGATTACGGCACAGATGTGGAATTGTTGTCGAAGCTCTCAGGGCCGAGGAAAGACGACAACGTCGGGAACAACAATGGTCAAACGGCTCTTGAGTCGCTGCTGTGTCATCGTAGCACCAAAAGTGACACCGAAAGGGCAAGAATCTCACTTGTTTTGGATGGACTCGATAGACTTGACAACGGAGTGTCTCGCAGCCTTCTATCCTTCTTCAGTCGCCTTCGTGCGAAGATCGACATCAAGATCTTCGCCACTTCAACGTTTGATGTGTCTCTGGCAACCGAAGACAATTCAGTTACGGCCCTACCGATGCCGGTTTCGGACACAGCGGACCTGAAGGAGTATGTTACTTCCCACGTGAAGCCACCAGCGTCGTACTCGACCCCAGAGCACATTGAGTTCTACGAAACTATCCTGAAAGCAACTGAAGGGATGTAAGTCACAGTTCACAAGTCCTGAAAATTACTGCGTCGCTAAGTCATCCCAGCTTCCATGTCGCGAGTCGCATCGTCGAAGAACTTTCACCGATGCACACGAAGTTCGAGTTCCAACAATTCTTGAGACATTGGACTCAAGAACGCCGGCATCTAGACCACGTCTTCGGCGAACTGATTGAAGCGCGTTCAGATCATATTCAGTCTAGTCTCGCTTCCCGCGTCATTGACTGGCTGACTTTCTCCCATCGAGCACTCACAATGCTAGAGCTTCAGCATGCTCTAGTGGCGGACGTCTCAGAGTACCTGCGTGTGCCCCCGACGCCAGAGAAGATCACATCCGCATTGCATGGGATCGTCACGATCAAGGGAGAGCAGGGAGAACAGTCAATCTTCTTTTTCCATAGCGCTGTCAAGGACTACTTTTGGCACGAGAGAAGTGACAGGGCTCCTAAGATTCATGACAACATCGTCAGCTATTGTCTGAGGCAGCTATCGAGGATATCTTCCGATGATGGATTCTGCAAGTCGGACGAGGACTTTGAAGAGAGATTAAGCCACAATCCTTTCTTCCTCTACGCTGCTTGCCACTGGGGTTTCCATACTCAGGCATGTTCGGAACCTGTTGCAGCCGCCATGAGGTTTCTAGACAACCGCGTCAATGTTGTGATGTCAAGCCAGGCCATTCTCATCGACCAGTCCTCGTCAAAGGCACCGGGATACACGCAACACGTCCCTCAGAACGTCACGGGACTGCACCTAGCAGCTTATTTCGGAATACGAACTGCTGCTGAAGAGCTCCTCAGCGAAGGAACTGCACCACTGAGCTCTGTCGACACACAAGGCCGGACGCCACTATGGTGGGCCGCCCATTACAGACAGGACAAGGTAGTCAGGCTGTTTTGTCGGAGTGACACAGCCACACTGTCGCTGCTTGTCGTGGCTAAAGAGGGAGATCTAATCAAAATCTTGCTCGATGGCAAGTACAATGTGAATATCGCCGATGCCTCTCTGGACACCCCGCTGCACCACGCCGTACGCCGGAGCTATGAAAACATAGTAAAGAATCTCTTATCCGCCGCTGCCAACGTCAACGTGCAGAACATGGGAGGCGAAACGCCGCTCGCTATAGCACTCAATAATCGCAACAGCAACATAATCAATCTTCTCATTGGAAAAGGAGGGTATACCGATTTCGTGAATACGGCCAAGTTCCGCAAGGCGCACGGGTGGCAGGACGACCAGACTCTAGAGATCTTTCGAGATGACAAGACCACCGTTCTACGGCTGAAGCCAGAAGACAGACGCTCGTTCGAGGACTGGGGACCGACGGAGAGATTCTCATTGCAAGTGTCTCCCTTTACTGTCGCCACTGACTGTGACGCTTACCATTTCCACAGGCAACAACAGATTCTCGGCGACGTCCCGTTTTCACCTCGGCTTCGTCGTTTGACAGACAATCTTCAGATTGATGAACTGAACCTCGAGATCATCTCACAAGAAGACAACAAGAGTCACATCACCTACTACATTGAGGCATTCATGTGGAACTCTCCCAATAATGACGAAGCTCTGCCTTGCAAGCAATTAGTGTTGTGCTGGGATGTCTTTCGTGATGAGCAAACCCATCAATGGCACACAAAAGCTCACTTCACCACCATGCCACACATTTGGCTTCCGGATAATGGCGCGGTATTCTTGAGACATTTTCTCGTCCATGTCAAACATACCTGGCTTGCTTACTGCGATGCGAATCTTGTGGATCTCCATGTGCGTACCTCCTTTGCCCCAGCATAATTGACTTCCGAGAGGTTCACTGACGCATTGCAACACCTCAGCTTCGTAAGAGAATCATCGAATCCAAGGGATCTGACCCGGCGCTTCTGGACCATCTGCTTGAGAATGGACAAAGGTGGCTAAGTCATCGTCATAACCTCTCCAAGGTCGCTTCCAGCATTCGGAATTTTGCGAGGAAGTACTGCCTACAGCACAACGAGACCGGCGATCTCGAGGAACTCACAGAGGCGATAGATCAGCTGGCTGCTGCGGTTGGAAAGAAGCTCGGTGAGCTGGACGAGAACTCGAGAGATCTTATCCAGCTGGTAAGTGCAAAGAGTGTTGCCACGGTGTTGAACGTGTCACTTACCGCGTTACAGGAGTGCAATCTTGTCTCTATCAAGGAAGCGCGGCAGTCGGTTCATTCGTCGACAAGCATGAAGCGACTGAGCTGGATTACGGTAGCACCACCCCCTCACGTATGACTCAAAGAGATTCGCTGACATGTTGGCTAGTTCATCTTCCTACCACTCACATTCATAGGAGTAAGACTCAAAAGCTGAACGCCGTTCATCAGGCACTGACGGTAGACTCTTAGACCTTATTTGGGATGAACATAGACATTTTAGACGGCAAACCAAAGCCTGCTTGGTGGACTTACATCCCTTTTGCCATAGTTACCTCGCTTCTAACCTCTCTTGTATGGCTTATCTTCAAATTTACCGAGGTCAGTAGCTTGAGATCTCCAGGGTGTGAGGAAGCTGACCATAAGAAACTATAGCTCGAGACAACGATTGAAACCAAAGCGAGGGCATGGCTATCTCAAATCAAAGACGCTGCCACCAGGCGAGAGCAGCAAGATGTGAAGAGCAAATCCCAGTTCTCATCTAGGAGCGCCAATAATTCTTCACATGTAGAGTTGTCGATCTTGGAGAATGGCCAGGGAGTGACGAACGGGGTTGTATGAGCAGACAATAGCGAGCTCAATTTGGCCTAATCCTGAGTCGTACAATCCATTATTTTGAGAAGCCGATTTAGTCCTCGGGACACTTGATGACAGCTGCGGCACACGATCGCTGGCAATGGCTGCTGTCCCCTACCATCGCAGCCTGATTCGAGTCAAGACTTGCATTAATTGCAGCTTTCCGATCCGTTGCTACACACTTTCTTTCCTGCCTCGCAGCCAGTCAAATCCATGCATTGCTCTTTTGTGATAATCAGTCGTACATTTGATGTGATGCAACAAGCCAATGGAATGGGAGCAAAGAGGGGAAGTCCGTCGAACTTCGCTCTTCCCAACTATTCCCGATCGCCGCGCCTAGCCAGCCTTCTCTCTCCTCGTGACATCTCTCATCCCGCTCCTTCGAAGACCCTTCTCCATCTTTCTATTCAAACGTCGGAGCGTCTTTTGCGCGCTTCCTATGAACTCATGGACTTATTCGAGAACATTTTCGACAACTTCGGCTCTATTGACATGTCGAGCAATCACTGCAACCAGTACCTGAGCCGATATCTGCCAGGCACATGCCAGTGGTTCTTTGACCATGATTCATGTCGCGGGTGGGAAACCGAAAAAGGGAGAACGCTCTACTTGATCGGACCTCTTGGGGCAGGGAAGTCAGTAATAGCATCCGTCGCGACCGAGAGGTTCACGAAGAAGGGCTGGATCATTGCTTCACTATTTTGCGAAATAGAAGATACTGATGCACCGGAAGTTCTCACCGCTCAAAGCCAGCCCCCGGAAACTTGACTTGCTTGACTAACACGAACGAGAAACGCCCCTCTGTTCGGGTATTCCGCATGAAATGATTGGTCAATCGCATTTTGGTTCTTATTTGCTGCGCGGACCTTGTCAAGATGCGCCCGAGGTCCTTGTATGCCCCCGGCCGGTGTCCGGCTGGCAATTCTGCGTTCCTCTCCCCGACCTTTCGGCATCGTGACCCGGCAGTCGTCGCGGAGCACGGAGCACCCGAACGCTTGGCACACAATCGATTTCTTCAGTATATCCATAATTTGACATGCGATGCTGAGTATCACGATCCCCATCTGAATCATACGAGGCCACAGTAACCCCAATCCACTTCTTTTCAGAGCCTCAAACGTGAACCAGCAGATGAGGCTATCTTATCATTCGATGTCCCGTGAAATCACAACTCCGGAGCTGACTGCCCAAAGGTGGGGGAAGAACACTCTGCCGGGAGCAATCGTTCCTTCCGCCCAATTACCGCCACATCTCCCGAGCAGCCCCTCCAAATTGCGGCGACCCCACACTCGAACTGTCAAAAAGCGGGCCCGTCTCTCCACGCACCGGGTGCTGCTGCTGCATGCCCCTCGTCGTGTTGTCCGGGGTTCGGAGACGAGGGGCAGGAGCTGTAAGGTACACCAAACTTGCCTGCTCTTTTTCTTAAATCTTTCGTCACCTCGATTTCTTCCCATCTTTCCCACACCTACCCCTCCCTTTTCACATGATTCTGTCTTGACGTTTCTCGTAAAGAGTACTCCCCTTACCCAGTCATCGTGACGTTTTTTGCCAATCAGCTCGACATCCCTGGAGCTGCCTCTTAACCTCGGCGGAACTCACCCGACTTGCCATACTTTCCTCGCTCCTACATTCTCCGAACATCGCGAACCTTTCTTCCTCGTGAAGGCTTCATCCTCCTTCCGCCTCTCCAGTCCATGCTCTCGCGGTCCTCCCGTCTCCTCTCAGCCTTCCAAGCCAAGAGCTCACCTACTAGGCTCTTCTCGACAACCGCAAAGATGCCCGTCCACCATCTCATGATCGGGACCTGGACCCCGCCAGGCGCCATCTTCACCGTCGCTTTTGACGACGAGAAGCTCACCCTCGAGCTCGTAAAGCGCACCGAGATTCCTGAGGACCAGCCGATATCATGGATGACCTTCAGCGTAAGTTAGATCAGCTTACCCTTAGATCAGCTTGAGTTCGGATGAGCTTCAGTCTGGACTTGCTTCGCCGAGAAACCTGGCTTACACAAGATACGCACAGCATGACAAGAAGAACCTCTATGGAGCCGCCATGAAGAAGTGGGCAAGCTTCGCAGTCAAGAGCCCCTCAGAAATCGTCCACGAGGCCTCTCATGACATGACCCACGACCGTAAGTTCATTCACCTTCAAGCAAACAGGCCAATGTCATCTCAACTAACACTATCCCTCTTCAGCCAACGCCGCCCTCTCCACAACAAACACCCGCGCAATCTTCCTCCTCGCGGCCCAAAAACCCCCCTACGCAGTCTACTGCAACCCCTTCTACAAGCACGCCTCCCACGGCAACATCTTCTCCGTCTCCTCCTCGGGCGCCCTCGAGACAAACGTCCAAAACTACCCCTACGACCCCAACACGGGCATCCACGGTATGGTCTTCGACCCCACAGAAACCTACCTCTACTCCGCCGACCTCACCGCCAACAAGCTCTGGGTCCACAAGAAGACCGCCCCCGACAGCCCCGAACTCGAGCTCGTCGGCTCCGTCGACGCCCCGGACCCGGGCGACCACCCCCGCTGGGTCGCCATCCACCCGACCGGCCGCTACCTCTACGCCCTCATGGAGGCAGGCAACCGCCTCTGCGAATACGTCGTCGACCCGGCCACCCGCCTCCCCGTCTACACCCACCGCTCCTTCCCGCTCATCCCCCCGGGCATCCCCGGCGCCACCACAAAGATGTACCGCTCCGACGTCTGCACCCTCTCCCACAGCGGCAAGTACCTCTTTGCCACGGCCCGCTCAAACAGCTTCGACGTGACGGGCTACATCGCCGCCTTCAAGCTCGACGACAGCGGTCACATTGAGAGGCAGATCTGCCTGAACCCCACGCCCACGAGCGGTGGACACAGCAACGCTGTCAGCCCGTGCGACTGGAGCGACGAGTGGATCGCCATCACGGACGATCAGGAGGGCTGGATCGAGATTTACCGGTGGCAGGACGAGTTCCTGGGCCGTGTTGCGCGGTTGCGAATCCCCGAGCCCGGATTCGGAATGAATGCTATTTGGTACGACTGAGATGGCAAAGCAGTTGGGAGGAGTTGAGATAGCGGGTATAATAGGAGACACAAATACAAACAGAGAAATATAGAAAGCATACAATCAACACACACATCGACTTCATCATGCTACCAGGAGATTTAGTGGTTCAAAAATTTGACTTGAAGAGCAACAACGGTGGATGAGCGCCGCAACCGCTTAGATTACTATGCGATATCATACAGGGGACAGCACCAACACCTACACAATTTTTACTACGCCCAATCTACGACTTGTTTTTCCTCTTCTTCCTCCTGTTCTTCTTCTTACTTGCTGCTTGGCTATTGTTACTGGTGCTCTGGGCCGTGCTAGACGCACCGTCGCCATTCTCTTGTTCCTCGCCTTCTGAATCGTGGCTAGAGGACTGCTTGTTACTCTGGCTGGTAGCCCGCGAGCGGTGTCCGGAAGAGCCCTTGGATCCTCTAGACCCGGCCTCATCAGAATCGGAGCTGGCGGCCTGGATGATGATTTTCCGCACTCCACTGCTAGTTTCAACCACGTTCTCGCTGATGCTACCACTTCGAACAAGGGGTCGGCGCTTAGGAGTCGCAGATCCGTCATCGATAACATCGGTGACGCTCGTCGCGCTGCTTGCCCGACCGGGCGACACGATGATGGTCAAGTCCGTCCGGGCTGCTTCGGGGCTTGCGCTTCGTGTGGCCTTTGGACTGCCATGCTCAGGGACAGTTGGGGGCAAGTCGACTCCTTCAGGAGCCTTGGCGCCCTCCGCGTCGTGATCGTGAGCGGCACTCGAGAGCCTGACCTGAGTCTCACTCATGCCCGCCCCGCCATAGCTCTTGCGAATAGCATGGACGCCACCCTTTCCGGTCAGCTTAGGACGCATAAGGGGTGTGTGTTCATCCGTGTCATGCTCCAGTCTCTCCTCGCTAATTTCTCCAGCTATAGAGGCGGGGCGAAGATTTGGGGATGGGCTATGGATCTGCGACAAGGGCGCTCCGGTCTGAACGGGCTTGATTTTGACGGTTGTAGACTTGGTGTTCTTCGGGTTCGACGCGCGGTTGGAGGGTCCGAGATGCTTGAGGTGCTGCTTAGCCTCGTCGAAGGTGGCCTTCACAGGAACAGCAGACGAAGTCATACGCCCGTCAGGTCCGGCCGAGCTTCTCCTCATAAGGAATGTGGTTCTAGGCGCGCTGCTCGAGAGGTTCTCCGGGGCGTCACTAAGCGCACTGATAGAGCCATTGCGTTCACGCGGAGGTTGCGGCTCGTCTCCGAATTCGATGAGATCACCGTTCTCAGGGATCGGTCGAGGGGACGGCTGGCCTGTCCGCTTGGTGATTCGGGCCTTCGGAGCGGGGGTCATGCGGCGGATGGCCTTGTGAACGTCAATGTAGACGTCGGATTCATCAATGATTTCCCTATTACGAGTCAGTAATGATTCTACGATGCAATCATGTTTCGCAACTTACTCTCCAATAAGCTCCTCAATGACATCCTCAAGGGTGACGACACCAATAGCGCCGTAGTCGGCACCGGGGTACTCGGACACCAGGACCATATGCGACTTGCCCTCCTGGAAGAAGTTGACAATGTCCAAGCAGCTCGTCTCAGGGCGGGTCTCGGGAAGTGTCGCCAGTGGGAAATCCTTGACCTGCAGACAATCTTCAGGGTCGTATGTGATGAGAATCTTGACAAGAAGCATTCCAACGAAGTCGGTTGGCTTTCCGGTGGCATGGATAGGAATACGGGAGTACCCCTCCGAAAGGATCTGGTCCATGGTCTTCTCGTCCAACACAGTATCTTCGGCCATGACAAAGACATCGTCCATTGGGGTCATGACGTTCTCGACGGGCTTGTCCTTCAGGTCCAAGACAGCACTGATGATGGTGACCTCGTCCTGGTTCAAGCGTTCGCCAACCTCGCCGAGGGACTTGTGCAGGGTGACCAAAGTCTTGAGGCCACTCTTCTTGTAAACGGTGCCGTGGTCCTCGCCCAAAGCCCAGTCGAGCAGCTTCGCAGTAGGCCAAGCCACAGGCGCCATAAGCCACATGAGCAAAAGCACAGGCTTGGACATGTAGCCACCGATTTGGAGACCGTATCGAACGCAGATGGATTGAGGTACGACTTCGCCAAAGATGACTGCCAATATGTTAGTCAAGGTCGTTCATCGCTAGGGATATACTTCAACATACCAATGAGAACAGTACTGCCAACGACGGCCTCAACGCCGCCGCCAAGACAGCGGTCCAAAACAACAGGTAGCGATTCGTTGACGATGACGTTGGAGAGAAGTAAAGTGACCAGAACCCAATGCTTGCCCTTCTTCAAAAGGTCGTAAACACGCTTGGCGTTCTTGGATTGCGATTCGTCGGGGTCGCCGGCGACAACCTGGAGGTAGATGCTGTCCTGTCCCATCAGGCTAAGTGCCAAGGTCAGCAAACAGGTATAGGAGTTGGTAGGAAATGCAAACAACGCGAGAACTTACGCAATGGTCAGACCTGCAAAGGCACCTCCCAGCAAAACCAGAGCAATGGAGGCACCCATGAGGGGCCAGAAAGCATCGCCAGCCTCTGGCTCTTCATCGTGATGGCCTCGCGCGTGAATGGGCGCGGCGGCGACGGAGGAAACGCCCAGGGTCAAGGCTTTGGTAAGACCGAGAACGGCGGTGCGGAAGACGCCGAAGCCGCCGGCATTGTTGCCCCGTCGTGTCGGGACGACTCCCCTTGTGGCCATAATACTCGGCTCGTCAATTGAGGAATCGGATGTCGTGAGAGTGTCGTGGAGTAGTAGGTGGGAAAGCAGCGAAGTCAAGCGCACATTTTATGCGGCGGACGCGGGAGACGGGCGAGAAACGGGGCAGAGTCAGGGTGGTAAAGGTGCTGCACTCCACCTCTGTTTACCTGCAGCTGCTGTGCGTACGCAAGTGCACAAGGCGAGCGGGCAAGCTCCACCAAACGAGCCAAGATCGGAAGACGAGTGGATATTGCTGTGGGTAGCAATGGTTCGAGTGACGGTGCCTTGCAGATGGGTCTTGCAATAGCACTTTGTTGGAGATGTGAGGAAGGCTGCGATAGAGCTATGTCGAAGGCAGGAGGTTGTAGGGACGAGAGTTGACAAAGTTGAAAATAAAATGATTGAGAAAAACACACAGATGGAGATCAATAGCTCGAGGAGACGGAGAAATCACAAAGGCGCCGAGAGAGGTGAGAGGTACCCAGACCTGAGTTACTTAGGTAGCTTCGGGGGGCCGAGGGGCACCTGTCGCCGGAAGCTTTGCTTCTTTCTCGTTGGTGTGCTACTGAGACCAGCCAATCACTCGCTCTCGTGGCGCACAAGCTTGGCGTCATCAACGGTCGGGGGGGCGGGTCGTCTACAATGCGAAGACTGAGAGAATGATGCATCATTGCCGCAGAGACCTCAAGAACCTCCGCACTGGCATGCAAATTGTTCAAGTAGACTCTAGGTATTGCACAGGAGACAGCGCTGTCATCGGCACGTACCTCTCTCTCGAGGTCTTGAAATCGGCTATTCGGAATGGGCAAAAGTCTGTATTGCGCATTTTCCCTCGCAACCTCGTCTCACTCGCCCCGCCTTTTGCCTTTCTTGCCGCGATACTTTTGTCTCGTCATTCCATACATGACGCCAGGGATTGTGCAAAATCTGGGGTAAATTATGTAAGACTTGATGAGGCAGCATATCTGTATGTAGGTCTCCTGAGCAATTGATGTTCTGCCTGTTCGCTGCTGTTCCTGAGCCAAGACAAGTCGACATCTCGAAGCTTCTGCCAGTTGAAGCTCAAAGTTAGGGTCGACCAAATATCCAGGCCTATCCTTATCCGTACCTAGTGCATGCATATGTTCAAAAACTCTGATCGGTGCAATTGAACTATTTTCCTAGCCTGTTCCTTGCCTCCTATCGACGTTACCTCGCGTCTGGGCGCCAACCACTAAGAGCACAGAACCATGTACCTCGCCTCAGTTTTTCGGTCTAGCAATACAAGCAAGCCGATGATCGCCATCCTGAGGTACCTGCCTTACACATAATACCAGCCAGAGCTCGAGAAACACCATGAAAAGTATCGTGTCAGCGCCTAGCAAAGCTCAACCTCGAACCACGTCAGTCAATGCTTCTGCTCGACCAGCTCACGTGCAGCTGTATACTCAGGATTGCTAGTGCCGAGATCATGACCTCAAGGTGGGCAACTTCAAGTTTGCAAGGTTGTGCCTTCGCTCTCAGTGCTCACAGACCTTGACGTGACATTGACCCGCTTTCAAGAAAATCCCCACGCCATTTGGGTTGTTTTGTGCATTTACTGGGGAGGCTTGCATAACACTTCAGATGTGCAGGTAAGTTGTCGCAAGAGTTGCAACAGCACGAGTGAACGGTCCTTCTTCTCTGCCGATACCCGAACTCTTACACCCAAACGTAAAGATGTTTATTCAGCTGCCAGTGTCGAAATATGGCAAGAGATCTCGTGCCTCTCGTGCATCTGGTGATAGAATTGCCAAACCTTAAATATTCCAGACTGTCAATGATCTCGTTAGGCACTCAATGGCCGCCCACTAGTGTTGCGATAACAATTTCGAGTACCCAGTTATTTACCTCATGCCACCTGCCCCTTGAGCTCTGCTACTCGCCAATGAGATCACAAACGTTGCCAAGCTCCACGAACTCGTGGGGGCCATTGACCACCTTCGCTCTTGCCCACGTCTCGCAGAGTAACGATTGTGAATGGCGCACGTGAGGTGGAATCCACTTGACTTGAATTCATCATCTACGAATCCCCAGGGAAACATATTGCAATACCGTACCCTCACAACCTCACCAAGCTCACGTTCAAGATACCCTCTTCCCGCTGCAAATCATCCACCACTTTACCGCTTATCTCTCCCCTAACGCCCAGTATCATCAATGCCTCATTGCCTCCTTCTGCCTTCCTCTCCTTGCCGTCCAAGCTGGCCACCTGCATGAAGGTGATATTGATCCCATGCTGGCCCAGCACCATACCGACACCGCCAATCTTGCCCGGCTCGTCATAGTTGTGCAGCACCAACATCGTTCCGTGCGGCTGGAAAGTTGCGCTGAACCGGTCTAGCTTCGAGATGTAGATGCTCTGCCCCGACACGTATCCCTCGATGACCTGCTCGCCATCCGCGCCATGTGATCGGAGCGTCACCAAGCTGGCATACACTGCGTTCTTCGCTTCCCCGCTATGCGTCTCGCTAATGATGATGCCTTTCTCCTTGGCCGTCAGGCTGGCGTTTACGATGTTGACATCTCGGCCGCCTGAGTCGCTGATGGATGAGACGAGTCCCTTTACCAGCGCGGCGTACAACGGTCGTGTATTGGAGATGCTCGCCAGGTCGCCCTGGTAGATGAGCTCGAATTTCCGGCCACCAATCATACCACCTCGACTACCGACAAAGTGCTGCGTGTATAGCCCGCCCATCTTTTCGATAAGACGCACAAATGGTTGCAACTTGCGATACTCCTCCGGCATGATCAATGGTGCATTGACGGCTGCTGTTGGCAATCCACCGCGGAGAATCTCGGACACTTGCGTACAGACGTCCATTGAAACGTTCTCTTGAGCCTCGACAGTAGAGGCTCCCAGGTGAGGGGTGGCGACCACTTTGGGGTGCCGGGTCAGCTGAGAGGCTGTCGAGTCAGCGACTGGTGGCTCTGCCGTGAAGACATCGAGACCAGCTCCGGCGATCCATCCCTCATCCAACGCACGAAGAAGCGCTGCTTCGTTGTACACGCCGCCTCTCGCAACATTGAGGACTCTAGCAGTCTTCTTCATTTGCTGGAACTCCTCCTCCTTCAGCAAGTCGAGTGTACTCGCCATCAGCGGAGTGTGGATGGTCAAGAAGTCTACGATCGGCAATAGACTCTTGAGGTCGGCTACCAGCTCGACGTTGGCCTGGCCAGCAATTTCTGCGCTGGCATATGGATCGACCGCTTTCACTTTCATGCCGAGGCCTATGGCCATTCGAGCAACCTTCATTCCCACCTTGCCGAGGCCGATGATACCGAGAGTCTTGTTGCCAACTTCGACTCCAACTAGCTTGCCTCTCTCCCACTTTCCATCCTTCATTGTGGTATCGGCGCGGCCGACATTGCGAGCCGTGGCGAGGAGGAGGGCAATCGTGTGCTCAGCAGCGGCAACAATGTTGCCAGAAGGCGAATTGACGACAATGATACCCTGGTTTGTCGCTGCGTCGACGTCAATGTTGTCCACGCCCACACCGGCTCGTGCAACGACACGGAGCTTCCTGCCGGCAGCAAGTACATTCGCATTCACTTTCGTCTCGGACCGTACAATCAGTGCGTGGTAGTTGGGGATCGCTTCGATGAGCTCTTCGGGAGACAACCCCGCGCGGTTGTCGACATCGTACTTGTCCTTCAGCAGGGCAAGGCCATCTGATGAGACCTTCTCAGGAACAAGGATGCGGAGTCGATCAGACGCAAAGGAGGACACAGTCGACGTGATCTTCTCGATTGCAGAAGGAGCCATGACGGAGGGACAATGTTGAGCAAAGGATGGTTTGATTGGGCGCTAACTCTTCGGAAAAGGATGGGTAGCAGCCGACTATTTCAGAAAGCCTGAGGTCGGAGCGAGATTTTGAACACAACAAACAAGTACACATACGCGACAGCCGACAAAGGTTATATACCAACTCAGTATCCCCCGCATTGCATTGTTAGCTACGTCCGATGTCGAAGTTGCCACGACGGGTGGAAGGTTGCACGTTTTGGCCGGCTCTCCAGGGACGACACTCCGAGATGGACGGAAAGCGATATCGCGCCCCTCCACCCTCAAGACAAATTGGCTCAGCTAATGGCATGTGCTAAGCTGGATGTCCGATGCGGGATGTGACGCCGCAGGTCACACAGAGGCGGACACGAGAGATATCCTGCCTATAGTAAAGAGAGGATCTGTTCGAGAGGCCTCAAGATGTGACGGATTAAGGTGCGAGTTCAAGTCGCGGACGAGCGACCCCTCACTTCCCCCACGTTCAGCTAATGCACCGGCGTCCCGCCCCCGCAACTTTACTGGGCGGTTTACATGCTCCGGCCTTTTTCGCTTTGCGACATGTTTGCAGCCATCCATGCTGCTTGGAGCAAGCGCTGCCGACGTATCCTCGATTGGAGGAGCGCTGAGCTTCCAGGCGGACTGCAACCCACACGACGTGGCACAGTGCGGTGATCTTGGGTGCTGTTGCAGGTCCGAGACGAGATCTGCTGACGTCCTTGCCATTGGATGGTCCATCAAGGTAGTGGTGAAGCCATCGTGTTCTCGTGAGAGAACCAGGGAAACCTGGATGGTTTGGATAAAACCTGTTCATTCCGGAGCATCTATTCATTCTGCCAAATTCCGATGCCAGTGTTCGAAGCAAACACTAAAACTACAGGAACTCAGTAGATGTCAAATTGCTGTCATTGACGGAAGACTGGCTAGAGACCGACATGATATTTCGCAGGCCTGGACCCGTGTACGTGTGAAAGATGGAGTGGGCAAGGTCTCTGCTTAGGTTGAGGTGGTCTCCAGTCAGTTCTCCGCCGAAGTTCCAAGTGCTGATCTTACATTGGACCACACCACTTGAGTGTATGTGTCCATATACCGTAGTAGGCCAGAAATCGCCAGATGGCTTCACCAACCATCTCAATTGCACTTTTCGTCATCCTGCATTTAGTCAGCTACTAAAGCTCGACGGCGGAAGCAGCAAGTCCTCGGCTGCCTACCCTAAGACCTACATGATTCCGACATATTGGAGGTGATCGAAGTGATAACCCATCAAATTGCAACAGAGTGGCATCAAGAACTTGCCAGTTCTGGACGATAGAAACGAGTCAAACGTCAGATCTCCTTATCTTATCTTTTACTTCCTCCACGCATCACCTTTTCTCTTCCAAACTCTCTTCACATGGACCTAGCGCAAGAATGCTGTAGGCCAAGGCTTCGCGGCGTACTCAGGTAGTTGAATCTTGTACTGCAGTGAAGATGTGCACCAGTGAGATTCTGTGTATCTGGAAGATAATTGAACATCTCATGAGAGGATACCATAACTGGGCTTCGGCCATGGATGATGCATTGAATGAAGACGTAGCCAAGTACGAAGACCCAAGAATACATGACTTAGACGCAACCGACTTGCAATGTATGGGCACCTGCCATTGAACCGCAGGCACCTGCCAAAGCATGTCACCACAGTTTGAGGACCCCACCTCCACTGCCGTCATCACTGCCTTAGGCAGGGACGAATTCTACGGTCTCGACCCCAGTTGCCCCTTACCTGACCGGTATCAGCGCCGCGTGGAGTCTGTAGGCAATTCATAATATTAATCACAGGCCCACGACATTCAAGGTCAAGGTTGTCAACTTTGCGATCCTGCGCTGCGTCCCCCTTTCTCCGACTACACCTGCCACCACGACGAAACAAGAGCCGCCCGTCGAATCATTGCTTCAATCGCCTCCATCACCTCCCGCCGTCCACCTCCCACAAAACGACCAAAGGCCACCATGTCTAGAAGACCGCCCAATCCCGCCGCCGAGAGAGCGGCCCAAAACCAGCAGACCATCAAGAGCCTCCTGAAATTGGAGTGCAACAAAGTATGCTCCGATTGCAAGAAGAACAAGCGTAAGTCTCAGGCAATTCGTTTTCTAGTTCAATCTGAGATATCCGCTGACTGTACCATGATTGCAGACCCGCGATGGGCCAGCTGGAACCTCGGCGTCTTTATCTGCATCCGGTGTTCAGGCATTCACCGTGGCATGGGTACGCACATTAGCAGAGTCAAGTCGGTCGATCTCGACTCCTGGACCGACGAGCAGCTTCGAAGCATCCTCAGCTGGGGCAATGCGCGCGCGAACAAATATTGGGAGGCCAAGCTGGCGCCCGGCCACGTCCCCTCGGAATCCAAGATTGAGAACTTTATCCGCACCAAGTACGAGCTCAAGAGATGGACAATGGACGGCCCCATTCCCGACCCCGCCAGCCTCGACGTAGACGGCGACGACGATGTGCCCTTGAGCCTGGTCAAGGAGAAGCAGAATGTCGAGCGCAGAGAATCGGTTCGCAAGAGTTCGGTCGGCAAGTCCGCCGCGCCCCCCAGAAACGTCGCTGCCCCGCAGCCGCAAATCGATCTTATCGGCAGCGATGATCCCATCCCCAGAGCGAGCACTACCGGCCCCCAGCCCGGCAAGGTACCCCCGAAATCCGATCCTGCTCCTCCCAAGGCCACGAGCACCAAGGATTCCCTCTTGGGCTTGGACTTCTTCGGCGAGCCCGCCGCCCCCCTCGACCAGCCAGCACCAGCAACACCGGTGGAATGGGAGGACCCTCCAGGCCAGACCTCAAGCAATCCATCCTGTCCCTGTACGCCTCTGCCCCGCGACCGCAACCCCAGCAGCAGCAACAAGCGCCTCAGGCTCAAGGCGGCGCGTTCGGCGGCATGCCCTCACCCACCTTTGGTCACCAGCAGCAGCAGTCCTTTGGCGGCATGAACGACGCTTTCAGCAGCCTCAGCTTCTCCAACAACACCACCAGCCCTAAGCCTGCCGCGGTAGACCCATTCGCGAGCCTGTCAAGCCCGGTGAGCAGCACGAGATCACCACCGCCTGCATCATCATCAAGCGCCTTTGGAGGTCTCAGCGGCGGAAGCTTTTTCGACTCCAAGCCCGCGGCGGCACCCGCGCCCGCTGCGCACCAGAAGCAACCGTCCAACAGCGGCTTCGGCGGATTTGGCTGGTCCAGCTCCCCTGCCCCGGCTGCGGCCCAGCCTAAGCCCGCTCAGCCGACGTCATCCATGGGAGATCTGTTCGACCTCTCCGCTCCCTCCCAACCCGCCGCCGCCCCGAGCAAACCCTCCCCCGCTCCCGCATCCAGCTCCGTATTCAACCTCTCCCAACCCAAGGCACCTTCTCCCGTTCCCACCCCGGCCGCCACTAGCACAATCAGCTCAGGAAACTGGTCTGGATCCGACGTCTGGGGCTCCAACGCCTGGAGCACGCCCGACACGACTACCGCTGCCGCTGCACCCGCCGCCCCCAAGGCCGCGGAAGCGCCTAAGCCGTCCCTCGGAGGCGACTTTGGCGGATGGGGCTCCTCTGGCGGCCTTTCTTCCAACTCATTCGCCAACACACCGATTGTCCCTGGAGCGTCTGGCGGCTTCAGCGCCGCACCCAAGGTTGCGGCGGACGAGGAGTTTGGTGGATGGACGAGCAGCACCGAGCCCGCCGCCGGCTCCGGTTCAGCAAAGCCCATTGGAGGCGGGAGCGAGGACCTCTTCTCCAACGTTTGGCAGTAAACGCAGCATTCAATTGCGAGCACATGAAGGGTGGCATAGGTCTCTGGGGTAGATGGGATGAGCGGTTTTGCAACCTATTGCAGGGCCCATCTTTTACGTTTTGGCACATAGACACTCGATGAAAACGTGACGACATGCTTGAAGGCAGAGAGAAAGAGGGAGTGACAGTCTCGTGGCATCTGTAATTCAATTGCAAAAGCGTCATAGATGAAGAATTTAGCAGAAACTTTGAAGCAAAAGATTGAGACCTCCAAATCTCAAAACGTAAAAACAAAGTGTACGCCTTGCTCAATCAGTTTGCTGCTAGTGTTGATACAATCAGTCGCCGCCGTGCTACCCCCCAAACTCCGATTCCATGCGCAGGGTATTTGAACATCCTCGCCCGTCATATATCAGAATACTTCCGTTATGTTTGTTTCCCATCCTGTTTGATACCAAGGCCCCGATATCGGGTTGGACCTCCACCTTTACTCCGTTGCTTAAATACGAGAAAAACTCAGTTCTCCCTTGGCGGCCGATGTGCTCTCCTTGTCGTTGATTTCCCCCATGCTACGCAGTTCTCTGCCTGCTTGTCGTAAAAAGTGGTCTGTTTTGTGTTCCTCCTTCTTAGAAGAACAGTTTGGCGATGTAGTAAAGGACGATAAAGATGCCAATGATGATGCCTGACAGCTTGAGGATGGCGACCTTGTTTCCAGAGGCGGCCATGCGGGTTAACCGGCCGGCGGAGCCCTTGAGCTGGGTCGACATGGATGAGAACGTCTCGGACTAGATAGAGCCATGATCGTCAGTGACCTATCTCAAAAAAAGACTGATGACTTGATGGGCAGAATATGGGCGGGATGGTAGGGGGTCAGAGTTGCACAAGGTGCTGGTTCTGTCGTCAAATAGCAGGTCTTGAGGCTGCCTCCGAAACACGGACCAATGTTCCTCATCATGTGATACCATGGGATTCTTGCCAACGAAATGTCGAATAAGGGGGTGCAGGAAAGGAAAGTGGAGCGAAAAGAGAAGGTGACGAGGGAACATACCGTGCTGTCAATGACCTCGTGGGCGCGCGCATTGTCGTAGATGTCGACGGTCACGCCTCTGAGGGCGGAGACCTTTGCTGAGAGCTCGTCGAGACGGGCGTTGTTTTGGCGTTCGCGCTCGTAGGCTTCTGACATTTTGGAAATATTTTTTTGGATTCTTCAGGGGAATAGGGGTACGAAAGTTGTTCGATGAGACTTGGTCAGGGCCGGCGGTGGCGAAGGAAATCCCAGCACCCGAAAAGTGCGGGTTGTTTTCTGGGTGTCGTTTCTCGCCGCTGAGGCTTATGGCGAATTGCCGCGCGTGCGAGATCGTCGGTCTCTGGAGGTGGTGTGTGGCTGCAGTCGTTGGGAGACGACTATGTCACGGTCTAATGCTGCACTTTTCTCGTAGATGTGATGGGTTTCCTCCTAAGCGATGAGTGCTTCGTTAGAGGAGGAAAGGAGTCGAATGTGGTGCGCGGTGGTTTGTGGTTGGTAGTGCGTGATTCGTGAGGTTTGATGATGAAGTTGCGAAAATGGTTGATTCAGGCGGCGAAACCAATGTCGGCGGAGGTTTCGGGGCCGATGCGTCTTTCCTCACAAAGGCGAGGCTGGAACTGCGCGGATGGAACTGGAGCCGGGTGGGCCACTACCAGTCCCGTCAGCAGCAGGTGGTCACTGCGCGGCCGAGGCGTCCATCGCTGCTGCCCGCTGGTGTGGGCGCGCGCTGCTCGGAACGCCATCCTTGCCGGTGGGGGTTGCGCGTCAGTGACCTGCGCCACACTGGCCCCGAACCCGAACAGACAGAAGTACCCCGCGAATTACCTCACTCCGTCCAGGTCACGCCTCCTTTGCGCCGCCTCACCAGAGCAGCCAGAGCCCAGCTTACACCAAGCTCCCCCGGTCCTTGGTCCGTGATTTCTCGAATTTTTGCTCCGGCTATCCCAGCCCGGAGATAATGAAGGGGCATGTCACCTGGCACTCGAGAAGAAGCATTCATGATTTGAAAGCTCCCGCCAGCTAAGATGACGCGCTCGAGTGGATATCAACGAGCTACTGCGCTTCGTTTGTTTGATGAACCTGCGTCGTCCGATACGAGAGTTCGGCTGAAAAGCCATGAAAGCTTAAAAGAAGCAAGAAGCAGGAAAACAAAAAAACAATTGAATTCTCTTTCCTCCCGGGATACTTTCCATTCGCCAAGCCCAACGGGATTAATAAGATTAACAAGACGTGCCTAATGTGACTAGTAGAATAGCAAAGCAAAGCTCACGGCACATAGCAACCGACGAGGGAAAGAACTTTAGAAGAGGCGCAGGCCTCTCGGCGGCTCTCATCCTCACCTATCGCGGCACAACCCCACTAAATCGTTCATTACGTGGAGGTGTGGGTGCACGCAGCTACCTTACTGCGGGAACCGTGGACGAGGAAGGATCCCCAAGAAACCGTATCCGTAATACCTACCTGACCTACGGATACCTAATCGCAATCCCAGGCACACGCTTTCACCTTTTCGTGTCTCTCTTTCTTCTTTCCCTCTCTTCACCTCCAACCCTCGACACCTTTTCTCACTCCTTCTTCCTCCCCGACCGAAACTTGAGGGAACGACATCCGATTCAATCATACTTCCTCCCTCTCGACCCCTCGATTTGCTGTCAGCATGGGCCTCCACAACCCGCTCCCGTCGTCTATGGCGTGTAAGTCCACCCATTATTTTTTGGCTGGTGCCGGTGATCCCGCTGTAGCGCCGCACCCGTCATCCCGTTCAGTTGCAACAGATGAGCTGACCAGATCATTACAGCGGAATGCAAAAAGTGCGGCAAGATCCTGACGTCGTTTATCGACCCTCGTCAAGCCTTCAGCCCCGACAAAATCATTCCTCCCTCTGTCCTCGCCAACGCGAAGGTGAGCCAAATATCCCACCCCGCGATCTGCCATCCCCCGCCTGCCTTGGCGCATTCGATGCCCAGAGGCCTCCCACCGCTCACGACAACAACCCCCAAGCCGATACGATACTGACAGACAATGCGTGCAATTAGGGTCTCGCGATTCTCACCGTCCTCAAGGCCGGTTTCCTCGGTTCCGGTCGCTTCGGTAGCGGTCTTGTCGTCTCGCGACTTCCTGATGGTTCATGGAGTGCGCCAAGCGCCATCGGTACGGCAGGTGCGGGATTTGGTGGGCAGATTGGTTTTGAGTTGACCGACTTCGTCTTTATTCTCAACGATGCGAGCGCCGTCAAGACCTTCGCACAGGCTGGTTCGCTTACGCTCGGTGGAAACGTTTCCATCGCCGCTGGTCCCGTGGGCCGCAACGCCGAGGCCGCCGGTGCCGCTTCGCTGAAGAGTGTCGCCGGTATCTTCTCCTATTCCAAGACCAAGGGTCTTTTCGCCGGTGTTTCGCTGGAGGGTTCCGTTATTATCGAGCGCCGCGACGCCAACGAGAAGCTGTACGGCACCCGTTACACCGCCGCCCAGATCTTGACCGGCAGCGTCCGCTCCCCGCCCCAGGCCGCGCCCCTGATGAACATCCTCAACTCCCGCGCCTTCAATGCCGGCCGCACTGGTCAGGCCAACGATTCCATGTACAACGATATTCCCGTTTACGACCAGGGCCAGGGCCAGGACGATTGGAACGGCAACAACAGCCGCGAGTTTGGAAACAACAACCGCAGCAGTGTTTTCGGTGGTGGAGATAGTGGCGCCAGCGAGTTTGGTGGACCCAAGAGATCCAGCACGTGGCAGGACGACGTCTATGACAGACCTGCTGGAGGTGGTTTTGGAGGAGTTTCGCGTTCCAACACTGGAGTCTCACGCTCCAACACGTTTGCCTCAAGAGGCAATGACGACTACGTCTACAGAGACAACCCATCGCCCAGCTACGGCCTCAACGACCAAAAGACGGGTCCTCCTGGTAGACCCGCTGCTCCCAAGCCCAACTTCACTGGCAAGGCGGCCATGCTCAAGAAGAACGAGGCTGTTGCGCTGTTTACATTCGATGCCGACCAGCCTGGTGATCTAGGATTCAAGAAGGGCGATGTTATCACGGTGCTGAAGAAGACCGAGAGCGAGACTGACTGGTGGTATGTGAAAGGGTATTTCTTTGTTTTCGCAGGTGCAAAGCTGACATTCACGACAGGACCGGCATGATTGGAACGAGACACGGCATCTTCCCCAGCAACTACGTGAAGATGCGTGAGTAAGCTGGATCGACGGCTCGAACGCAAACCCAGTGCAAATTTGAATACCCAAATGCTTTCCAAACGAAGCATGATCGAACCACAATGCATACCTGATGCAGATACAAAGGGGATGGTGGGGGGGAAACAAACACGGCCATAAGGTCCTATTGCTTATTCATGATACTCCGGATGGTCCTTTTCCATCCTGCTTTCCAACGACGTCCTTAATGATAACGACCAAACCTCGTTTTAACAAGTCCTGGCGTTTGGATCAAGGAGGCGCGGGAAGATATCTCTTCTTGTTTAATTGCCTCACAGCATAAACGTCCATCATTGGCCATAGGCTTTGGGAAAACGAAAAGAACATTCCGTCTTATGACATACTTCATCGCACCATCCGTATCCCCGAGTGACAAATCGACTATGTGATGAAGCAGTGGCACAGACGCGGTCAATGGTCGGAAGCAAGTCCACATGCGGACCGGACCGACTCTTTCGTCAGTAGACCGACCTGCCGTTGTGTTGCTATCGCCGAATCAGCCGAGGCTTCTCCCAAACACTTTCAAGAAACACAGATCAGCAGGTGGGTGTCAGAACCATGATGTCAGGAAGGATCGACGCTTGCCGCTTGCCGACGGGTACGAAGCAGGGGCAACTTGTTTCAGTAGTCCTTGGGACGATCTGGGGAAAGCTTGTCGATGCGGGTTGAAACGTTGTTTCTGGAGGTGGTTCTTGCTGAGTCAGGAAACGTTCAACAGTGCAACTTCACCTCAAGACGATAATAGGATTGGCTGTAGACGGGGCTGTGCTCAATCTCTTCACGAAGAATGTACCGGTTTGGTGGTAATTGAGGCACAGACATGCTTCTTGGATTGTGGCTTAAGCTGCATGTCTTTTATTGATGCTTGACTGTCTTAGTGGTGTACTCTTTCAGAGGGCCAACACTGGAGATGGCTCTGAACGGAGACGGAGATAGAAACCGTGCAATTACTTCTCGTGAGAGGCCCTTTTCTCATATGATATCATTCTTTCATCTGCCTCGTTGGGTCATTAGTAATATCAGATGGCCTAGAAAGACTTACCTTCCGAAGGTCACTTGACTCAGTGGTACTAATCCTGCCCTGCTTGTGTTCTCGACCAGGCTACTGTTCTCGGGGAAGCTGTTCTCGGGGAAGACGCGCTTTGTATTGACGGTGTCCATTCGCTTTGACGGTTGCGGATACCTTAGCTTGAACATGTAACTAAACAAGCGCCCCTTGGTCCAATTTTCCCGATGCTACTAATAGGATACAACTCCTCAAACTAACACATTACGTTTGAGAAGATGATCTGAAAGCCTACGCTGTATCTGGTCTGTAATATATACATATATGGCTCGTCGTAGCACTGCATAAGCCCGGAACCTTTCCAGCAATGCGTCACTGTCGAGATCGCTTCTTCAATCTAATTTGCGCGCATAGACGATGCCATTCCAGGTATCAAGAGCTGCCTTGCTGTCAGTGATTACAATGACCGCAAGCGGCATCCTGATGACTCGCCTTGTTCATTCGTCGTCCTCACCGCCAGGCGAGGTACCTGGCTCGAGGACATCAAGGGAGTCGCCGATGGGGGCCAGGTGTTCACATTGCGAAGAGTGGTACGAGTTCCTAGACCGATCTAGTGCATACATTGAAGGGGGGGATGACCCAGTTGTGCCGCCGGTTGTAAAAACGGGCGTCGCTCCTAGTCCGCTAGTGGATCGGGAGTGGCCGGTGGCGGGCTCCACTGACATCAAATCGGTAGTCCGGATAGTGAGGTCCACATCGGCGACTGGTCGACCCACTTGACAGCCGGCACGTCCGTGACTGATTGAACTCCGAAACGCGGCGATGGTATCGATACCGATGATTTGTCCCGATGCTGACAGAGGTACATCACCCATCTCAGGCGGAAGCGCGGGTACGTCTTCGTCCATTTCGAGCTGCTCCCTCTCGGGAACATCGTCGGTAGAGTCCGAATGCGTCCCAGCTCTCGCCATCTTCCTCGCAAGATTCATGCCGAGGAAAATCCCAACTTCTGGGCAGCAGTTTTCCGAGTCGATCACGGCGACATTGACGTCGACTTCCGGCACGTTAGCCTCGGGCACTCGAACTGTGAAGAAGGCGAACTCTTTGAGCATCATAATACCGAAAGGTGTGCGAAAGAGGCGCCTTCTATGGGCAGGGGACAGAGGCAGCTTGCGGAGTCCAAGGGTAGCTACGGTGCTGGAACTGGCATAAGAGTAGTCGAGACCAGTACTGGCCGCGAGGACAGTCTCAAACAAGCCTTGGCCATTCTTTGCTTGCATACCGATGATCTGCTGGGGAGTCAAAGACTCCAAGTCCAGCGTCGGAAGCAAGTGCGACCTTAGCACGCTAATAGATCCAGACCTTGTGGGGATGCCTCCATTTCGGTTAGGTGGTGGTTGGCCTGCCGGCGTTGATGGTGGGCCATGATGACCCTCGTTCAGCTGCTCGCTGTAGCTCATGATGGCAATGTTGTTTTCCAAGTCTTATTTCCACACACGATTCAATGAGTGTTCGGTCGTTGCTCGAGGTTCGTGTCTTTGCCCGGGATTTCTATCAGGCACGTTTTGGAGTCGCGAGGCTTGGCAGTCTAGACTGGGTAGAAAGTTAGATATCAAGACGTTTGCACGCTGGTAATACTCTACGAACCTAAAAGTATGTGTTTGGTATTATTAATAAAATTGTCTTTCTGAAATGAGGTTGTACACAAATGGTGTATCAAGGGAGCGAATTGAAGCGAAGATTATCGGGTGTGTACCAGCAATAAGACCAAGCTCTCAGGGCAGTCGAACTACTTAGGCGGTACACACTTGATGTCGGCAGCCTCCGATAGATATTGAGAGAGCTATAAGCTCGAGGCAAGGATAGTGAATCTCATCAATGCGAACCACAAGGATGGCGAACCACTAGGGAAGGCGAGCCGCTACGAAGGCAACCGCAAGGATAGGTCCTAGGCAGTCGTTCACGATGGCTAGTGATGTGAGGCTGTCACAGATTGTTGCCAGCACACACGAGCAAATGAGGAGCGATGTCTTGAAGAGCCAGGGTATCTTCGTAGTCAGACAGCCGTTCGTTCACACGTATGAACCGCAATTCTGGATGCAACGCACAGGCTGGTATGGAATTTCCTCGGTTGAGCGGTCGTAATTTCGAGACCGCTCTATGCAAGATATCGGTGAACGACAGGGTTCACACCGATTCAAGCCGGAGCCTGCAGGATGAAGTGCAATTTTGGTGTGACGACACACTGGGCCAAGGTTGGTGTTGCCCACGACAACACACGTCTTAGACATGACTACACGATCGATCCATTCACGTAGCAACACAAGGCGGATTGACGGGCGCAATTGATGTCATCCAAATCCAGTGCCTTGATTCGCTCATTCTGGGCCTTACCCCTCAACATGCATGCCGAAATGCGTGCCCCGTTTAATAGAAGTACCGTACCTACGGGGGTGTGAATATCCTAACCTCGTCCTTGTGACACCTCAGACGTCGTTCCGAACCACTACGTGCTTCGGCTCGAGAAGGCTTTAATGGGTTACTAGTTGTCGCGGAGGCTGGATGGTATCCTGCGCTTGGCTGGAATGACCCTGATTGTCTTGGGAGTACATGTCGAATGATAGCTACAGCCCTGGAAAAGTTTGGGGCCGGAGCTCTGTGCCATGATGTGACTCCAGACGGTGTGTTATGTGCAAAATATGGATGACATTGTTAATATACTCAATCCTCGGCTTGTGTTGTTTACCTCTGAGGCCCATTGCCTTCCCAAAGTCAACTACTAGAGCATCGAGTGCTCCGTGAAATTGGAGAAGCTCCTCGTTTCTATCATCCAAGCCATCTAGAGATCAATTGAATACCTCCTCAGAGCCTTTGCTCACTAAGTATCTCACGTTGCATCCGCCAAAAAATCTGTGAGTATCAAGCTCCAATCATATCGAGTCAACAGCTTGTTAAGTAAGCGTGTGATGTAGACGGATCACCTCGAATTCCGCCACCAAGTCCATCGGCACCCAAACTAATGGACCTTAGGCTTGGACCTCAGTCAGTCAACGACGAACAGTCAAGGGCGTCCAAGTCCGATAGCCATCTACCACGGAATGGCACTTGGCAGTCTGGAACCTCTGGGACGTCCAGAACGTCTTCCCAACGCAATGGGTGCTCTTCTCCAGTATCGTTTCCTGGGACAGAACCGACAATCTTGGGAAGTGTCAAATCCCTGGTTCCTTTAGCTCCGCGTTCACAGCTTTCCAAGAAGGTATCATTGCCAACATGGCCATCGTCTCCCACAACACTCGGAGCTGGGGAGCCAGTAGAACAGCAAAACGGGCCGGCAACTGGAACCAATAAGACCGAAAACATGATCAGTCCTAGCCAGAAAGACTTCGAGATGGACCCTGGTCATGCCTTCTGGAGCTGGTCTGTCAAAAGTGAGAATTGGTATCATGTCGATAAACACACGGGATCGGTTCTGTGGGCACCACGCGAGTTGGACTAGTGTTGGCTCATTTCATGCCGTTTCTTTGACGGAGATTTGATTTCTCATGTCCTAGCGATGAAGATAATATTGTGTCTCGGTACCCGTTCCTCGTTTTGGTTTCAGAGACTAGTCATGGAGTAGGGTCACCGCTACCACAGATTTCAGCTCAACAGATTGAAAGACTAGTCATCTCTCAAAAGTTTACTGATTCAGGAGCATTTTCGAACGTGACTGTCGATGTCACCCTTGTATCATGTTTGGGAGTCTATTGGGGCATCGTGCACGAGGTCGTCATATACTGTAACCGTTGCTCTACAAGTATTCCTCAGCACATCTGTGGCTTCGTTAGACAGACCTACCTTAAGACGCTCATGTGTTACAGGAAAGGGGAATTCAGATGGAAGAGGACTCATTGTCAACGCGTCACGATGCTCTGAAAGCATGGTGTTGTTTATAGCCCAGCCATTGAGGCAATAGCTACGCCAATGGAGGTAGATTACGAGGGAATACATCATGGTATAATATGATTGGCACTCGATAGACTGTGAGAGCGTTGAAGAAGCAGGCAGAATCACGCATAGTGCCATGAAATGAGTCTCGAGCGACGAAGCATGTATCTAATTAAAAAAGGTTGTAAGCCGAAAGAAGTGACCATGAACATTACGCCCTCATCGTGCCTCTATCCGAGTTAGGTCCCAATCATTCCACGAGGTGTGTGTAATCAAGAGAACGCCTGGTTGTAAGTACAAGTGTTGCGAAACAGACTCTGGTTTTTATGCGATCCTCTAAGCCGACATTCCCAAGTGAGCATGCCCCTGGCGATTCTAATCCAGCTCTACTGGACAATATATCACTGATTTGGTGTCTTCATCCTGGTGAGCCCATTGTTGTATGGCCTCATCCCACCTCCAGAAATTGTGGGCGGGGTCATCTTTAAAATCTTTGAAAGAGTCACTGGCTTCCCAATTGAAGCCATCGAGTGAGACCATTTCAAGATCTTCTGCCTCATCACTTCCATCGCACAGCTGCAATTGACTAGGTTGAGCTTTCTGATCGAGCTCAAGGGTTTCCAATTTCATCAGAAGCTGAGTATGGTCACTCGGATAGTTCGAAGGCCTATTTTCAAAGAAAACCGAGCATGGTGTAGGCACATGAATTGGTTGACAGAGGTGAGTGGCCAGTTGGCTCACTGCGCCTAGCTGGCAGTCGCAACCCCTTTGCGAGAGAGACGAAGAGCTGAGATCGGTCTTGCTTTCAGTGCCCGAATATGTTAGGGAACAGACTTGATCTTGGGACAAGACACTCTCTTCTGACCCTGACGGCTGGGATTTAGGGACCCGGTAGGGGTTCCATTGAAGCATGGACTCTGGAGGGGTTCGAGGAATTGTTGGTGATTTGGAGTGTTTGTGGATATCAGTCGAAGGCGAAGGTAGTGGGTGTTCATATTGCATCTGAAGAGGGCTGATCGGGTGGTGGAAATCGGCTGTTAGAAGGTCGACGTCTCCCGCATAATGATTCATGGTGATGATCTTTCAGCGTCGATGAGTTATTGAAGAATGAACAAAGGATGACTTAGGCATTGGCAGTACGTAGTGGATGATGGAGCTGCCTTGCTGTAAGATGTGTAGGCAAGGAGGCCATTGGTGGAAAGGATGAGGTTGTTGTGAAGTTGCTGGACCTCGTCGACTTTATGAGAAGGAATAATTGAAGAAGATGAAGCTTTGGGAACGCGGCTGATTTATCGACTAGAGCTCTGAGCACATAAACGCAGTTTCGGTGAAAGTAAGTGAGGCTGGCGTGAGCATTCTTCGTAATGACTTTTTGCCTTGGAGATCTCGTGGAAGATGAGTCGTCGCAACCGGCCGATGAGTTACGGGAGACCGACGGGAGCTGGAAAAACGCGGCTGAATACAACCGGAGAGTCCGACTTGGCCTGCAGGATCATCATTCCAGGGCGTGTAATTGGAATTGTAATTGTTATAACCGTAGCAGGAGGGTATGACTAGAATTCCAATTGCTAAAGCACTGAAGGACGGGACATTATTAGGTGTTTGCATCTATCATTGGGAGGTTGCGGATAAACCCTGCACATGCATACCGCACCGAAAGCTGGCCATAGGGTACCCAAGCACAAGGTCAGACATGGCTATCTGAGAAGGAGGGCCCAATCTGCAACCACCCGCCTCAGCACAATTTTGGGCATCAACGACTTCCTTCGTATCAGCTACCCGACCGACGCGAATGACCTCGAGGAGTGCTCCATGCCCGACGCCGTTCCTGATACCACAGCAGGCATTGTACAGAGTATCGGAGCGTTTCTGGACTATAAGCTCACGTGCTTTGAGACATCCCATGGCCTGTGATGTATCCATTTTTTTGGATACAGAGCGGCTTCGACGATATCTTAACCGAGCTAATGTACGACCGGCTGCTCGCCCGGAATCTTCCCCGGCCCCTCAGTATCACGCACACCGAACCATCTGCATGTAATAACTGTATGAGCTCAGGGCGTATAGAAATAGCCATCAAGCGTGTCCCATAAGAAACGCCTTGGGGGCTGGGCAAGGCGACCAAGGCACTACACGTCGACAGCCTCACTGGACGCCGATGCTTCCACTTGTTATGGAGCGTTGAATGTATCTCGTTTTGTAGTTCTATCAATTACATTTTCTGTTGTTAATCCAAACTCCAATTCTCTTGGGATGGCGGGGTTTTCTTCTCCATGGCCGCTTGGTTGCGTCTTCCCGGCCTGATATTATCATGTCCTCCTCTCTGCCCTTCACTGTGGTTTTGTTCTGATTTTGCCTTTCCCCTCATCTCTCCATCCATTCACTTTGGGAGCCCAAGTATATGAACCCGATCCTGCAGAGCCATCCGCTACTAGGTTTGCCACGCTTCGCAACACCCACCTCGTCCCGTTTTCGCAAAGGACAAGGCTGAGGGGTCGGGAGTCGACAACCTGGTCGCGCCCATTTAGTACTTCTTCTACTTCAGCAAATACATCAAACCACGGCTTTGCGCTGCCACAGAGGTTCCTGTAAGCATCATTCATAACTTTAGGAAGATACCACTTCCATAGCTATAGAGAGACAGCCTAACACACTCGTATAGGTGACTTTCACTGCAAGTTGAACCGTATCAGAGTTCTGCAGCCCCCTACAACATTACAGCCACAAAGAACTATCATGAGAGGTTCTCTGAAGGCAAACGGGCTCTGGGAGCAACGGAATGCCAATAGAAAACGTCCTTTGACCCCGAATCCCTCGGAAATACAGGTCCCAGTGACGGGAGAAGCTCATGACCTGCCGCAGCCTTCTGCTCTAGAGGCACGCCATCGAAATGTTTCCGCCGTTCATCAGAACTCCCCAAGGCCAACACAAGGAACGAAAAACTTGAATTCTTCTCACAGTCAAAGTAGTCACCAGAAGCTCAACCAAAGACTGCGCAAGCGGGCTCCTAAGACGGTCAAACATGAAAGGACACCAGATCTAGACGGCTTAAATCGACCTTTGAGGCCTAAGCACCACGAGCACCTTTTCTCTTTACCACAAACTTCGATGCCTTCGAGCGCCCAACGCGACGAAACTGATCCGAAGAGACAATATGATACACGAGTGCGTTGGGATCAGGACCCAACGACGGCTAAATTTCTCAGCCTATTCGCGTTGTCTATTCGACCGACCGCAAACGGTGCAGGTATCGGTCCCCTGATGACTCAATTTGATTCTAGCTGCCAAATTTCTCTGCTCTCCAAGGCCGTAGCACAGAGCTTGGGGTTACGGCCAATGCCCTGGCGCCCCGGAGGTCATCTTACTATCATCACCGAGTTCGGCATTTTTGAACCGAAAGAGTACACTACTTGTATTGTCCAAGCCAGCCAGCTAGTTGACGGAGATCTCGGCGCATGCAACGTCGCTCTCGTGGAAGACGAGCAATTGCGGTCCTGGGGATTCCAGTTCCTGGTCGGAAAGAAGATAGTCGACAAGCTTGTGGAGAAGGGTCGACTCCCCAGAGAAGAGCGTGCCCATATCGACCTTGGGTTTCACAAAACTTCTCCGAAACAATCTGCTGCGGTGCCTTGGGCGCCGGCCCAAAGTAAGTGCCCCTGTCACGATGTCCAGTATGTGAGACTAAGGACTAACCTGAAAGCTGTAGGTGTCAATAGCCATGATCGCTACATCAACAGTCATCTTCAACCTAATCTGCTTGAACAGGCATCAAGCTTCTCGACAAGTTATACGGGCGGCGGCAACCCATCCGGGTTTTCAACGAATGATGCTGGGCCAATTTCAACTCCCAGAACATCCCTTGATGGCATGAGGCTTGGAGGTGACTCCGCGAGCGATGTGCGAACCGTCAACGGTTCCCAAAGTCTCTATGAACACAGTCAAACACACTCTCACGATGGTCTTCCTCAAACCGAGCCTTTCGGCGGCATTTTGAGCAACTTCAAGCACAAATACCATGGTCAAGAAGCGAGCAACTCGTCCGATGCCGCTCAGATGAGCCTGGCAATCGGAAACGGGACGATGTTTGGGACCTCTAGCGCGACAAACGGGGCAGAAAATGTCAAATCGCCAATGCTTGCTCGACACGCTGCTTCGATGCAAACTCCTTTCGGGTGGCCACAGAGCTCAGCCAATGGTCATGAACTAGAACGCTACGATGGAATGTTCATGGGTTCAGCTTCGGACTATTGCAGCCCAGATGGATCCTCGTGTCCTGGCGATCACCAAGCTCAAGTGACAAGACTTCCGCCGATTGCCCAAAACAAGGAGATCACTGCAACGACTTGGAAAAATTCAGAGCCTGGGGTCCAGTCAGATAAGTTGCTGCCATCGCCAGGAGCGGCGCTTTTGCCTGCGATTCAGGTCACTTCGTCACCCGCAGACAATTGCAACACTATCAATCCCCAGGTCTTGTTTGAGCCTGACATGTGCATAGACCCGTCCTTCTTCCCGTTCTGACGTCGGTCACAAAGAGCCCCGATTGAGGGCATCAATACGTTTAGCTGTCGATAACTGAGGCCCTGAGGGCTCTTGGTTCGACGGCATGTTTAGCTGGCTAGGGCTTCATTGCTCAAGTTCAATGCTGTTTCGTGTGGTACATCACCTTATCGCCAATTCTGTTGGATTGCAGAGTCAGAATGTGGCCTTTGAGGATCCTCCTCATGGCATGTTGTAGGGCTGTATGAAGAGTTGAACAGAGACAAGTGTCTCGTCTTGTAACAGTGAGTTTGGGGGAGTACAGTACCCTGTATTGACATGACCTCCATCTCTGGATGATGTTCTGTCTAGCGATTTTGGGAAGGTATTTGTCTCGGTCAAACATTACGTGTTGACGAATTATATATACTCTGGGATTCTTTTCTTTTTGATTTCCTTTCACTAGCTGTTTATATTTTCTACCTTTGCTGGCTGCTCGGGCGGTTCTCGATATCGTTTACACAGCATTAATACACGGTATCAGTGGATTCCTTTCACTACATCGAAGATGGTCTTGTTCCCTTCAGTCGCTAGGACCAAGTCAGTCGATGTTGTAGGCATCACATACCTCTGTTCATCGACGGAGAGGGCTCAAGATAATCCCTCCAGCGGCAGATCTTCATGACACCGAGGCATGTTTCTGCGACATTTAGGAACGCCCTTCGTCAACACCTTGCTTACATAGACTTTGCTTTAAATGAGGGGACTCCAGTCGCGATTGGTTCAGAGGTAGTGCTTGCGCTTCTCTGGACCACAATCATTAAGCTGAAGAGAGCCTAAGTTCGAATACACAAGGTAGCTTATCTTCTCGCTTATGTATATAGATACACAGCTTCTATTGACTTTTTCACGTTCATGAAATGCATTTCCATCGTCCCCTCATTGTTCTGATATCCCTTCAAATTACCATACTGTATGCAGCCAAATAGGCAGGGAGCAGTGCATACTAAGACCGCCTCCTTCAACAAGAACGCACTCTTCATCTCAACGTTGATACTCCTCGCCATCACGTACAGATATACCAACAATCATGTTGTCTAATATCTTATCGAGCATTGCATGGGCCTGATCATGCGGGCCATGGAGCAGAAACGCGTCATGTGCGACATGGTCGATGACTGACTGTCCGTCTGGGCCGTCGCTGCCAACCCTGGTTCTGCCCTCGGATAAAGGGGCCATTTCGATCTCCAGGCGGCCAAACACTGGAGCACCTCGTAAGGCGTCGCAATCTGTATTGGCTTCGTTCTCAGCAGTCGCGCCGGGAATGGCGATATCTAGTAGACAAGTAAGTCCAGTAGGCCGACTCGAGATAGACGTGATGCTCACTCTTCGTATGGGCCACTAGCCTTTGGGACTGCTCGTCTCGTTGGACGTGTTCCTGTGTCATGGTCTTGGCGTTCACCGTCTTGGTATTCGCGGCAGCGTCTTGGAACACTTCTCTTCTTTCCATATTGACTAGGCAAGTTAGAAATATGGCAAGGCGGTAAACAATTCAATGACTTTCCCTCAAAGTGCTAGCTATCAAAAGTTCCGTGTAGATGTTGTGATGAAGAAATAAGACGGCCAAAGTCGTGTAAGTGGAAGGACTGGATGGGGTCCTTCTGGAAAGGGACAGATGTCAATGAATCATCAGAGCCATGAACCAAAGGAGCCTGTTGAGTCTGGGGAGGTAGCAGTCTCGTAGAGGGACAATGATGATTGGGAGTTGATGCTGCACGCCGTGGTAAGCTACCTATACAGAAATGAACACTTCGTGAGATCGTTAAGCTTAAGTCTACTTGTCATATTAGACCTACCCTCTATATCCTCCTCTCTACTAGAGATTGCTCTCTAAAAAGTAAAGAATGAAGAACAGTAAGGAAAGAGCTGGGGTCATAGAGCGGCAAAAGATTATGTCACCCACTTTGGGAGTCCAAAGGTGAAGCATCACACCTTCCCTTTGGATCCACTTTTAGCAGTTGCCTCGTCTCGATGAGATATCTTCTTGTGATTTTTCTCTTCCTTCTCATCCACCATTCTTTTCAATCAATTTCTCCAGTCAAAAACCCAAAAGTCACAAAATGGGCGGCAGACCACCAGAAGATTGGCGAATGCCACCACAGCAGAACCCTCAAGCGACCAACGTCACCCATCTGGCAGAGATGAGCCTGGCCATTGCTACGCAAAACCGACAAAATGCCGAGATCATTGAACGATTTTGTGCCAACATGACCAACGAGTCACGACAATCCAATCGACGCGGCAGTCGTCCCGAGTACAATAACGACTATGTCGAGCTCGGTTACGACCCAAACGACCCCTACGGGACAATGAGCAACAACCAGGACCCCTACGAGGGCGGAGGCAACAACCAGTCGGGAGCACCTAGCAGACCCAAGTACAACAACCAATATACCGAGCCCGAATTTAGCCCAAACAATCCATACGGGACAGAGAATATCACCGAAGTCCCTATTCAGGACAACCAAGCCCTTTATCAAAGCAACAATCAGACCCTCTACGAGGACGGAAGCAACAGCCAAGCCCCTTACCAAGGCAACAACCAAGCCCCCTACGAGGGTGAAAGTAACAACCGGTCGGGACGTCCCAAGTACAGAATCGGCTATATTGAGCCCGGCTTTGAGCCCGGCTTTGAAACCTACGACCCCCCCGACGAGGGAGGAAGCAACACCCAGGCCCCTGACCAAGGCAACAACCAGACCCTCTACGAGGGAGGAAGCAACGACCAGGCCCCCAACGAGTCACGACAAAATCGACGCGAAAATCGTCCTAAGTACAGAATCGGCTATATTGAGCCCGGCTTCGAGCCCGGCTTTGAGACCTACGACCCCCCCAACGAGGGCGGAAGCAACAACCAGGCCCCCAACGGGTCACAAGAATATCGACGCGAAAATCGTCCCAAGTACAGAATCGGCTATATTGAGCCCGGCTTCGAGCCCGGCTTTGAGACCTACGACCCCCCCGACGAGGGCGGAAGCAACAACCAGGCCCCCAACGGGTCACAAGAATATCGACGCGAAAATCGTCCCAAGTACAGAATCGGCTATATTGAGCCCGGCTTCGAGCCCGGCTTTGAGACCTACGACCCCCCCGACGAGGGCGGAAGCAACAACCAGGCCCCTGACCAAGGCAACAACCAGCCCCTCTACGAGGGAGGAAGCAACAACCAGGCCCCTTATCAAGGCAACAACCAGACCCCCTACGGGGACGGAGGCAACAGCGAGGCTAGAGCCCAAGCAGAGACAAGCAACCAAGAGAAAGAGCTGTTCCCAAGAGAAAGAGAGAGAGATTTTCAAAACTCGCAGCCCCGCAACGACCGCAGTCGCTCGCCGCCACCGCAGCGAGAGAGAAGCCTTGCGGGCCGTATCAGATATCCGCCGAAACCGAAGACTATTCTTCACGAGGTTGTCGATAGCCCGCGACTGGGGCTGCCTTTTGGAGGCAAGTACAAGATGACGGAAGAGGAACAAGAAGACATTCAGCTCTTAGGCAAGGAGGTGCTTGAGAACAACCGTTTCGCTGACGATAACCAATGCGGCAACTGTGGTCACTTTGGTCACTGGCTCGGCGACTGCGCCTTCCCCGACGACCAAGGCACCATCATGGGCTGCCCGCTGTGCAATACCACACTGCATTTTTGGGACCAGTGCCTTAAAAAGAATTCGCTTACAGCGACACAGCAGCTTCAATTGATGCTGCTGAGGCGCAGAAGAAAGCCCATGATCCGCTCTTCGACATCTCTACGAGATCTTTTAGCGGATGCTATACAGGAGGGAATGGAGAGCTTGCTCGATAGCGAAGGTCTGCCGTGGACCCAGAGCTACACGATGAAGCTCATTAAGAAGAGAAGAGACCAGCCATGGCTCAAGTACGGCCCCGATGAGACGAACAAGTTTCCTGAAGATCCTGATACTGAAGGAAATGTACGAGAAGTTATGAATAGCTCCATTGCTGAGAATGAATGTCATCGCCCACGCGCGGTGATACAACAAAAGAAGCGACGAGGGTAAGCCTCTTCGCAATACATATGATGAGCCGGTGAGCAAGTGAGGGGAGGAAGGACACAACGTGTCGGGGGTAGGCAACGTCCTATAGCAATAAATTGAACAAATTGATGCATTACCTTTTCTGTCCGTCACGTGAACTTGCCGAGGTGAAGTAACAAGGTTCACTCTTGTAATCACCATCATATCACAGAAAAAAGGCAGTGTGAAAACGTTCTCGTAGAGTAAAGATCCTTCTCAAGTGCTTTCCAGGATAATACTACGGTACGGCGGCAATTGTAAATGCGCTCTGTGCATCGACATCTCCTCCAGTCCGTGGGTATCGTGGAAGTAAACGGAGGTCCAAGACACGGTGGATTTCCCTATTTCCAATAATCCGAAAATTAGCTTGACGGTATGTAGGAGGTGTTGGCGATGAGTTAGCCAGCCAGGTGGCGCCTTTTGGAGGCCACGAGGATGTCTGCCGTGGCTGAAAGAAAGCCTCATTGTGTAATCGCGAACACAAGGTATCTTAGCTAGGTTTTTCTTACATATGTACAGCCGTCCTTGTGCATGATTTCCAAGAGAAGAAACCTCATCGATGTGACGACTACCATTTGCAACTATCGTAGCCATGTCGATCATCAACAGCCTGCCCGCAGAGCTCCACCTCGCCATTATGAAGCGAATGAACCCCGAAGAGATCCAGCCGTGGATCCGAGCAAACCCGGACGCATTCAGATGCTTTTCCACATACAGCTTCACGATTCTAAAGAAATACACTCGGGAGATAGGCCTGATGTCCGATCTCCAAAACAGGGTCTGCGACTACCAGTTGACCGGTGTCCAAGTTCACGACGCATCCAACCCTTCAGCCGGCCCCAAATCCGGCATCACATCCAAGACAACTAGCCTTGGCTGCCCAGCGACCCAGGTCACCACACTGGCACTACTGAGGCTCCTCGTGGAAGCCCGCGTTCATAGACGTAAGGCCAATCGTCTTCGCTTCAACCACTGGTGGGGGGCATCATTTGACCAACAACTATGGACGGAGGAACGCAGGATTTCCTCAATGTTCGTCGACTTGCTGAAAAGAACCCCGGGGAACCACACCACAGCGTTGTTCATGGCGATGTTTGACAATTTCGTCGCAACATAAACGATTCAGCCGCGAAAGTATCGACACGGTAGACTGTTCTGGTTGGGAGGGGGTCTGTGGATCGGGATGGATGGCATGCATTTGTACAGAGAGGGGCGAGTTCGCTCAGTATCACAATGAGTCTAATTAAGAGCATCACCCTTAGCACAGCTTGCGACCATGTCAAGCTGAAAATTCGTACTTTGACCCAGATATTTGGGAGATATACCAAGGATCCCTACCGGACCTGACTCTCATGTCTCCTTGCCATCCCCTTGATTAAGATCCTGAGAAGCAAAAAGCAGTGTATTTCCTGCTAGACTTGACTGTCATTTCCCATGCCAATTCCCTTGTCTAGACCTTGTAGAAGCAGAAAGCGGTGTAGAAGCTCGCCGCCTCCAACTCCTCTGGGGAAACAAGGAGACGTCCGCCACCACGTTCCCGAACCCCCATTCTCTCACTCAAAGGACCCAAGGTCTCGTCGTCCTTCTCCGCATCCCAAATCTCCATGAAGGTCTTGTGGTACTGCAACTCGAGGTTGTAGTCTTCAGCAAGAGCTCTGAGGACTTCCCATGGCACGACATACTCGGGGACCTCTTCGACAGCTTCATCGAGGAAGAAGTTGTACTTCCAACCGAATGCCGGGCGGAAGACGCCATCTGCAGGTGTCTTGCCTGGGAACCGGACTCGATAGATGGAATTGCCCCACTCTGCCGACTGATCTGCCTCGCCATCTTCCAATTCTCCCTCCTCTGCTTCTTGCGGCGGTTCCTCGGCGGCCTTCTTCTTCTTCTCTTCCTGTTGCTCGTTGAACTTCCGAACGTGGTCGCCAAGGACGTCAGAGTTGGGAATGCATCCAATCAAGCGACCCCCCTTCTTCAATGAGCCCGCCACGTTGCGCAGCATGGTCCGAGCCTTCTGCTCCGTCTCGAAGGCATAATGCATGCAGAACATCATGCTAACGACATCGAATCCTCGTCGGCTGAGAGGGCTAGTGTCGAATCCGACTTGTCTGATGATCTCGACGTCCTCAATGTTCTCGCCGTAGCAGTCCTTGACCTGGAAGCGTGCCTCGAAAAGCCGAGGAGGTGGTCGTCTGTATCCTCCTCTACCGCCTCTGCCACCGCCTCCGCGGCTGCCCATCTGGCGGTAACGCTCTCGAGCCTGGTCAATGCTGATATCTGCAGGATCGAGACCGACGTAGAGCTCTACTGATTGAGGTGCTTGCTGCCATTTGCCAAGGTCACCTCCCTTTCCACAACCGACGTCGAGCACGAGGAGCTCCTTTGCGCCCGGCTCGCGAGAGCCCGGGGCGTAGTCTTCATCTGGCGAAAACTTCTGAATGATGCAACTCTTGATCCAGTTATTAAAGGCGCGCAGGCCCTTGATCTTGCTGTCGGTTCGTCTCCAGTCTCTACCGCGCTCTGGTACACTGTTGTAATGCTGCGTGACAACATCATTGTTGGTGCCGCGCTGGCGCTCAGCTGCAGCATGGGCCGCAGCTTCCAACTCCTTCTCTCTATCGAGTGCTCTCTGGCGGATGGCCTCTCTTTCGGTCTCGGAGATGCGAGCTCGGGCACCTGGTCGCTTCTGCTTGCGAGGCTGTTCGGAGGGAGAGACAGCTCGGCGCTTAGCGGGCTGAAGCTCCTTTGCATTGTAGGGTTGGGGAAGTTCATCGGTCCCATCTTCGCGCTTGTTTCCTCTTCGCGAGGAATTGCCGTTTCTCGAAGGCGATTGTGATCTTTTGCGTTTCTTCGCGTCGTATGAATGAGACTGTCGCTCGTACGAATCGTCGTCGTCGTAACCCGCCATTGTCTCGAGTCAGATGCGAGAATTCTTTGAAAATACAGATATTCTCTTCTCCCGTGGAGATTGCAGTGGGTTGTTTTTGTTTCCAGAAGTTGATTGTGAAAGTACAGATGTGAGAAAGTTAATGCGAACTGTTGGAGAGGCACAAAAGCTGCTGTTGCGAAGCGTCGCAAGAGGGTAGGTAGGGGGAGTGTACTGGGGTACCTGCTGAGGAAGAAGGTAAAACCCACTTATGGATTCATTAAAGGTACGGAAGGTGTGGCGTTAGGAACGAACGCTCTTTCTCAGTCTGGACCCCAAGAACAATATTCATATTTACTATGCTGTCAACTCATATATGCTGCTTATGTTTGGATATAGCCAACTTGGCATCTTGGAAATCTTTTCAACGCAATTCGGCATTTCAACTAAGTAGGTAGGCGCAGGGCGGGTTGTCTCGTGCTTGCAGGCAGGTCCGGTACGTGTCGCACTGCAGCCTTGCTGGCTTGACTAAGCTCACCCCCAGCAGCAGACCAATCACGTCAGCCTTTGACCAGACGCTTGCGGGTTGCAGGGGGCTTTCCTGAGCTCCCAGCTCCAAACACCACCATACAACGACATCACTCTTGCTCACCCAGTAACCCATCCCACAGCCTCAACCTCTTTGATTTCTCCCCTCCTCAGCAACCGACCACGACCCTTTCCAGACGCCTTCGTACAATCAACCGCCAAGATGGGCTCAGAACCCCAGTACGCAAAGTACCCTCTCCTTCCTCTCGCCCAGCATGTCTTCGCCCTCACAAACGCCTACGCATCCCGGCCATCCCAACAATCCGCCGCGAAAGCTCTCAATGATGCCATCACCGAGCACAAGATGGCACCGCTTTACCGGTACCTCGCACACCCCCTCGAAGGCATTTTGAACCAAGTTGGCGAGGGTGGCAGTCAGACCCCCGGCAAGCCGCTGAGTCGGAAGTCGAGTCTGGCGGGCATGATTGCCACCAAGACCACCCCCACCGCAGTCAACCTACCCTGGGATGAGGCCAGATACCAAGAGCTGAAGGCCGACAACGACAAGGAGTTGGAAGAGTTCCAAAAGGAAGAGGATGAGGCCGTTGAGAAAGCTGGCGAGACGGAGATCCAGGCCGCGCGGGGCAAGCGCGCGGAGTTCTGGGCTAGAGTCGGCGACAAGGTGCGATTGGAAGGACTATCAACTCACCAAGGAAACACTGGCTGACCCCTTTGACAGGACCGGGCGATCGCCGCATACGAAGACGTTTTCGAGAAGACCGGCATTCTGGGCACCAAGATCGACTTGGTTCTGGCAATAATCCGCATGGGGCTCTTCTACGGCGACAAGCTTCTTGTCAAGAAGCATGTTGAACGCGCAAAGACCCTCGTAGAGTCCGGTGGTGACTGGGATCGTCGCAACCGTCTCAAGGCGTACGAGGGTATCTACCTCTTGACCGTCCGGTCATACAACTTGGCCGCCCCGCTCCTGCTCGACAGCTTGTCCACCTTCACTAGCTACGAACTCTGCACCTACTCCTCCCTCGTCGTCTACTCCGTTCTCGCCGGGTCTGTTTCCCTGAAGCGTGTCGACTTCAAGAGCAAGGTCGTCGACGCCCCCGAGATCAAGGCCATTCTGGGTGATGGAGAGGACAAGCTCCTCGCTCTGTCTGGTGCTCTCAGCGCCGGTCCCGGTGCCGACGACGCCATGCACGACGCACCGCCCGCCGCTGCCAAGACCGCGGTGAACTTGACGACTCTCGGCACAAGCACCGACCAGCCCGAGGCCGAGATGGCTATCGACTTCTCGCCGTTGGCCCAGCTCGTCTCCAGCCTGTACAACGGCCAGTACAAGTACTTCTTCCAGGCTCTCGCCCAGGTTGAGGAGTCATTCCTCACCCAGGACCGCTACCTCCACGAGCACAAGAACTGGTTCATCCGTGAGATGCGTCTGCGCGCCTACCAGCAGCTCCTCCAGAGCTACCGCGTGGTTGGCCTGGAGACAATGGCGACCGACTTTGGCGTCACTGTTGACTTCCTGGACCGGTACGATTCTCTCCCTTTTAGCTGCACCGGTCAGACTAGACAACTAACTCCATCTCTAGTGACCTTGCCAAGTTCATCGCAGCTGGCCGTATTCCCTGCACAATCGACCGCGTCAGCGGCAAGGGCGTCATTGAGACCAACCGCCCCGACGACAAGAACAAGCAGTACCAGGACGTCGTTCGCCAGGGAGATCAGCTCATCACCAAGCTCCAGAAGTACGGCCAGGCTGTGCGTTTGAGAGGAAGCGAGCGGGCATAATCGGCTCAAAAGCGCGGGGTGACTGGAAGAATGACGGAGAGCTTTTTACCACAATCCTATTACAATCGTGTGTCCCTTAGTCAGGCTTGGGACTTTACAAGGCGCGGGGTAGAAACGGCAGGCGGCGAATAGAAACCGGGGATTGGGGCAAGCAAATGTGTGCTACTACAATAACTCTCTGTATGATACCTACGGATTAGACAAGCCAATTTGAGAAATCTTGGCTTGACCGAGGCTCACATGACATGACTGTGATAGGTCTAGATGCGGAATTGATGGGAGCGGGATCTTTCTATTCTCTCAAGCTATGCTCATAAAGTGTCATCAACACCTGCCAAATCCCAGAGATCTTGCTAAAACAAACGAGATATCTACTCTGCGCCTCGTACGTGCTCATTGATATCTGCTTTTATCCACCCTGGATACGTGATTGCGGAAAAAGACTACGCAAATTCGTTCGTTTCATACCTGGGTATTCCCAGCCGCGCTACCATCCAACGCGACTGGCCTCCTCGCGCCTTCGAGGTCCCCGCACAAGAAAAAACGACTAGCTGCTGCACCAAACTCGCTTACCGGTACTTCTCAATGAAGTCCTTGTGGAAGTTGATGATGCGGCCAACCCAGTCGGTGCCGGGGGCAAGGAAAGTGGTGCGGAAGTGCAGGGTACCCTCCTTCTGACCAAACCCGCTGCCGGGAACGACGCAGACACCGGTGGCCTCGAGCATGCGCATGCAGTAGAACTCGTCGGCGGTGCGGCCCTCCTTCTGGGCAGCCTCGGTGGCCTTTGCGGGAAGCTTGATGGTGGGGAAGAGGTACATGGAGCCCTGGGGCGCACCGCACTCAACGCCCTCCATCTGGTCAAAGGCCTTGTGGAGGGCAGTGGCGCGCTCCTTGAGACCGTTAAAGATACCGTCATACTCCTTCTTGTACAACTCGTAGCTCGGCTCGCCCTCCTTGGGGGGGTTGACCATGAGCTCGACGATGCACTGACCAATAACGGGAGCGCAGAGGGTGATGGAGACGAACTTGTAGATGTTGGCCTCGACCTCGGGGTCGAAGTTGACGAGCTCGAAGTAGCCGCCGCGGTGACCGCACTCGCCGACCATACCCTTGGAGATAGAGTGCAGAGAGGCGAGTTCGACACCATCGTACTTGCCGGGGGTCTCCTTCTGCAGCTTGCGCAGAACGCTCTTGAAGGAGTGGAACTTGCCAACGAAGACGTTGGTCTGGTAGACTTCGTCAGCCATCACCACAAGCTGCTTCTCCGCAGCGTAGTCGTAGACGGCGCGGATATCATCCTCGGACAGGGAGGCACCGGTAGGGTTGCCGGGGTTGATAATCACAATAGCGCGGACATCGGTGCCTTCGGAGGTGGCCTTCTCGTAGGCAGCCTTGATAGTGTTCAGGTCGGTTCCCCAGCCTGCGGCCTCGTCGAGGTAGTACGGAACGCAGGTGGCGTTGAGGACTGACAGCGTTGCGGTGTAGAGCGGGTATTGAGGAATGGGCACAAGAACACCGCTTTGAGCGTTCTGGGCGATGATGTGAAGAAGGGTGTTGACTCCGGAAGAGGCACCGCCAGAGAGGTAAATGTGGGCGGGATCGGCGGGGAATCCGTCGCGGCCTGCACAGATCTTTGTCAGTTTTCACACTCGGCCCAAGGTAGACATAGATAAGGACATACGCTCAATAAACTTAGCGATGCTCTCCTTAATAGCGGGAACACCAGCACTGGCACTGTAGGCGCCAACAGAGCCGACCTTGCTCAAGAGGAACTTGGCGCGGGCGATGGCATCGCTCTTGTACCCGAGCTGGTTTTGCAAAACATCCTCGTGCTCGAGAAGCAGGGGGTTCTCGAGAAGACTGACAACCTGGCGGAAGAAAGTAATGGGCTTCTGGTCGAGCTGCTGGGGGTTGCCGATGTTGGCCGAGATAACGGCGTCAAAGGGGAGGTCCTTGTCACCCTTGGACAGCTTTGCTCGGTATTCCTCCGACTTTACGGCCAACTCGCCGCGAACGGCGTACTCGGCAGCAACAACATGCTGGTTGATGTTGTGCACATTCAGCCGACGGCTCGGTGTGGTAGACATGGTTCGATGGTGGGGTGACGAACGGCTGTTGCTGCTGCTGAAGAAAAGTTGCCTTTGAGATGGCGGGGTATTGGAGAGGAAGATCTTAGGGGACCGCGGGGTATCTGTGCAAGAGTCATATAAAAGTTAGTAAAAGGGCTTCTGCCGCGCAACAGTGGAGATCAAGGTAGAAAAACACCTAGAATCGAATCGATAACACCGGGAAGAGCCGAGCAATAAGGAGAAAAAGTTGGGATTCTCAGAGGAAGGGGAGGAAGAATGAATCTCAAGAAAATCCCGAAAACGTACGCAGCCACCTCAAGTGCTATTTATTTAGCTCTTCGTCAACGAAGGGCAATCAAAGAGCAACCAAGTCTCGGACGCGGGGGCCGTTACAACAGTGCGCAATGTTTAATTGATGGATTAAACGGGTAGCAGGAAGAAAAAGACGGCCAAGTTGACAGGAAATCAGCGCATCTTCTTCCCGTCATCGTCCGATGCAGAAGCTCTTATTCAATAACTCTGACAGCCGCAAGCCTACTTAGGCTGGTACTGTGACCTCGGGGGCACGAGACATGACCCTGCGTGGCATCGTTTCTGTGCTGCCGCGGGATGGCTTCCATGACGGGCTGTGTTTGCCCCCCTCCAGTGCGGGACGCCAGCCGAGCACTTGCTGGTGAGTCGTAGACGAAGACGTGGATCAGACCCGGCCGTGTTTGGCGCGGGTTTGCCTCAAAGGCCTGTGTCCGAAACCGGTGACGGCAGGACAAGGGGGAAGCCGGTCAGCGCGCCTAGAGGCTAGAGCTTCTACGGATTCTCCCGCCAGGGTATTTCCGAGTCCTCGACGCCTTGATGAGAAAATCCAGTTGCTTATGCCGCAAGAGAATGGAAAGTGTGGGGGTCCACGTGGGACTCAAAGATGCTTGATCGAACTTGAGAGGAAATGATCAAGTGCCTTGTCCGTTTGTTCGGTGAAGGATGGCGAATAAAGAGGCGTGGCGTGCGGTGTAAGCTGGCGAGCAAAACAGGTGGGGTAGGAAAGCGTAAGGTAGCTTGGACGGGAGCTGTCCCGTTTGAGCGGTGCTGGAAAAGCGAGCTTGGGATAGCTTCGAGCTGCACCAACCTCTCACTCTCATGAATGACAGGAATAGTGCTTGGCTTGGGGACAGGGCTGGGTAACAAACACCAACCTGGAGCAAACAGAATTTCTTGAAGGCAGTGGAAAGACAATTCGCCCAACATTGCGACGTACCATTTGATCTGCCTGCGCTGCTCATCATTCGCACTTGGCTCGCGGCAGCCTGACTCTTCGGTGCTCCCAGCGACCTGGCCGCGGTGCAAGCCACTCTGTTCGCCGCCATCGTCGAACGTATCGCCTGGTCGGTTGGTCGGTTGGTCGGTTGGTCGGTTGGTCTACTAAAAGTAGTATTTCGTAGAGAGAATCGCCGCTTTCGACCTCGGTGTACGGTGTATTCGGTGTGTCGATTGGTATTCTCCGTTACTGGAAATGCGAGACTCGAAAAGTGTCGAAGAAGGAGAAATTCCACGACGAAACGCCGTCTGCTCTCGGCGGTCTGAAGGCGGTCGCGGATCGTCAAGTACGTATCCCGTACAGCTGAGAATGCGCAGAAGGAAAGCAGTCGGCGGCGAAATGAAAGTCTCAGAACCACGACTTGGGAAAGTGCACGCCTTCCTGAATCACCACTCTCCATGAAAGCAAGTAAGACAGGAACAGAATGGGATGCCCGTTCCTCTTTATTTGTCTACTTATCCGACCTGCTCACGCCAATTCTTACGCCCTGCCCACCCTCCTCCTCCTCACCATCCTGCCGCTGCTACTGCTGCTTTCCCCGGCCACGGCCACGGCCCTGCCCATCTGTTGAGAAACGCGACCCGAGCTGCGAGATAACCACTTTGCCCACACCCCTTCAAAGCCCGGCGCCGACGGGCGAACCACCACTCGGGGGAGTCGGGGGTGGCTAGATATTCGCGATAAATCTACCTCAAAACTGCGGGCTCATCCTCAAGAAAAGGGCCGCGTGCAGGGAATGGCGCGCAAAGAAAAGAGATTCCCACCTAAGCTCCAGCAACCCAAGCCCAGAATGTAGTAGACCATCACCGTCCGAACATGGGAAGAAGCATCGTTGGCGGTGACGCTTCATGCCCAGGTCCCTGCAAGCTCTAAAAACGTTGCTGGGCCCCCAACGGGGGGATAGAGCTATTGACCGAGAAAGGACCCTGAACAAGATCCACCAACCAACATCTCCGTTGCTCGGATTACGATCTCGTAGACTTCTGACCGCGCAGCTTGACCGCTGAGAGAGGCTGGCATAAGCCGAGCTGCAGTTCCATGCTGCGGATACTTACGTTGCAAGGTGCTGCAGGCCCTCAATCGATCATGGCCCCTTTGGCCCCTCTTTGCTTGGCTTCTTTCCCAAGATGTATCACTTGACTAGCATCACGTCGCAAAGTTCCTATTGATAGACATTCAAGGAGAAGTAAGTGAGACTGGTTTATACATTGCCATGCGATCATCCGTCCAGATGCCAGCTGGCGCCATCTGCGATGGCCTGTGTGATGTTGGAGTGCACGTCCACCACACCGAAAGTTCACCGACACACGGATCTCGGTGAACGGCCCTTTTTCCGCCGACAGTCTCTCACCACCCGCAAAATTCCAGTCTCCATATTGCGAAGCTATCCCGTCCTCCCGTGTCCAAGCCTCAAGCTATCCAACGCGTGCGGCGCAAACCCTTCTTCAAGATGGCCAAGAAAGGTATGCAATCCCTCTGAGCTTCCTTGAAGCGCGCTGCCTGCGTTCCTCCAAAATCCCAAAGCTAATTGATTGTGTCGAACAGCGAAGTCCCGTGTCATGATCGTCCGGCTCTTGTCCATGGCCGCGACTGGTTACTTCTACACTGTTAAGCGTCTCCGAACCGCAACACCCATGAGCTTGCTGAAATACGACCCAATTAGTAATGCCGACCCCTTTCTCTTCGGTTCGAGACATTTGGTACCCGTCTCCAGGGCGAGCGCCAATCGACACATACCATGGGATGGAGATAGGGATGACAGGGCTAACGTCTTCGCAGTTCGGCGGAAGGTGCTTTTCTTGGAGCAGAAGAAGAAGGGAAAATGAGCTCGCGCACTCTCGAATTACCAACACCATATGTAACAACACTTATATCACCATAAACGGCGTTCACGGCGGCATACGATTGGGGCTCGAAGACCACATGGATGAACTGTACATCATCAACCTGCAGTCCCTCAGACCTTTCGTCAGGGACAAGGCATTGGCACGTCGGACTGTGCCCCAGAGGCGGAACGAAAGCGAAGGCTTCGATGGCCGCGACCTAGTTGTATATTCTACCAAAAGAGAACAAACCTTACGTAAATGCAATATTCCTCTGCATGATTCCACCACACATAAATCTTTAGTCCACGTCCAAGAAACCCAACCTCGATGGATGATACTAAAGCTGCAGACTCTTGCTTAACGGGTGCCCTCGTTCGGCTTGGAAGCGCTTGGGAAGAAATGGTGGGAAACTTGATCATCATCATCCACGGTTACTGGAGGCACCCCATTGCCGTCTTTTGTGTTGCGTTCTGGCGGTTCAGCCTGGACACGGTCCTCCTTATTGCTTCTCACGGCCTGTGAAGTCTCCATATTGTCCTCATTCTCAACGAAGCACGGTTTTGACCGTTTTGGGCCTCGAGACCATTGCTGGGCGTTGTTAGATCTTTTGGTTCCTCTCTGATCCGAATAGCTCGCTAGTCCTTCAGGTCTCTTCCATTCGTCAGGGTTGGTCAAATCTCCGAGGTTCGCCTTGCGGTTGCCCACAAGGCTGTTCTTGACATCCAAGATGGCCTCCTGACTGGACTTAGGAGCACTTTGCACAGGTCGATTGTACGAAGAGTGTCCTGCATGGCGCGCGACCATGCTATCGTTAGTTCCTTTCGATGCTTTCGCAGCCGGAGTTCTCTGGGGGCGGAGGATCGATCTTATTTTGGATCCCTGAGCGGCCACATCCATTCGTTGCGACTTCTCCTGCTCAACTGATGGCGCAGGCATCTCATCTTCCGACTCTTCAACAGGACTGCGAAAAACCGTTCGCTTGCTGGCTCGAATCAGCGGGATGTCAGAGGAGCTCGGCTGAAAGTTATTCAGAGGATCGTAAACATCTTGCTGCAGCAACACGGGAAGCATGGGTTCCGGCAGCACAAGACTGTCAGGGATCAGGATATCGCCGTTTCCCGTGGCATCTTGTCTGTCGAGCGTGTTTGCAAAGTCCTTGCTGACCGCCGCGTATGCCTTGCCATTTGACATGAGCTGCTTGACTTCTTCCTTCAGTGTTTGGAGCTGGGCAAGCTGTTCGGCTACCTGATCAAGCTGGCCGTTGCCAGCAGCCGGGACCTGCGCGTCGCGAAGCTTGAGTGTGAGATTGGTGACTCTTTGATGAGTATTCTCCAACTCCTTTTCGAGTTTCGATGCTCTGATAACATTGTCCAAAGCCTTGAGACGTTCAACCTCCGTCCCGGCCATTGTCAACTGTTGCTGAGCCTGGTGCAGAGATTCTTCCGAGCTCTTTAGCCGCGTTGCGGTTTCGTTATCTTCTTCGGACCTTTTTGCGAGGTTCTTTTCCGTCTCTTCGACTAGCTGTCGTTGTAGATGGCCATTTTCCTCGGCAATTCGTAACTTCTCCTGAAGCTCTCGGATCTTGATCTCGTGCCCTTGTTGCTGGAGCTGGAGCTCAGTTTGCGTCTCTGCGACCTGACAATTCTTGCTTGAGAGGCTCTGCTGTAACTCTCGGAGCCTTTCTTCCATGATTGCTGCCCTCTTTGATGCCAACTCTGCAGATTCTCTCGCCTCTCGCAGTTTTTGATCAAGTTCGGAGACACAGTTGGTCAAATTTGCGATTTCAGCATCCTTGGCTAGAAGACTTTGTGCGAGTTTGCTGTTCTCATCCTTTCTCTCCGTAAGTTGTAGCATCAACTGTTCCTGACAATGTTTGCGCTCCGTCTCCATCGATGACGACTGTTTCTGGAGCGTCTTCTGTAGACTTTGCAGTCTTTCTTCGATGGACTGACCAGTCATAGTGGGTTTCAACTTGTCCAAAAGTCTGGACGTACGTCAGCTGAGAAGTTAGAATGCACCAACGGACACCTACTGTGGCATCATTTCCTTTTGAAAGGTCTTTAGAGCTCGCTGAACCTCATCTTCAACGTTGACTTGAGAGGAAAATTGCACATGGCCCGCAATCTCGTCCAACCTGCAAAAGTCAGTTACATACGGATGACACGAGCGCAGTTGAGAGGTACCTTCTCATGACCTCGGTTGGCACAGCGGGCGCTTCGAGAGAGCGCGCTTGCATATTGTCCACCTGCAAGCAGACTCCAGCGACATTTTCATCGATCTGGCGCAGCAGGCCTTTCAAGGCATCTGCATCAAGGAGCTTGCCCTCCAACTTCTTGGCTCTCTGTGCCTCAAAATCGAAATCTTTTTCAAGGCTGTCTAGGGCCGACGTCAAGTCTCTGATTTTTGATGCCGCTTCTCAATGTCAGTACAGCGACCTTGCATGTTCGAATCGAATCTGCTTACCCGCTGTTACTTCCTGCTGGAGAAGTACCTGTTTGTCTTTGGAAATGAGATTCAACTTGTCCTGGGCAGCCTGTTTCTCTGCCATGGCCAACTTGAACTTCTCTCCAGCCGCTTGATGCTCCTCTCTCATGCTGTTGACGGTTTTCTGAGCGATATCTTTGGATTGTTGCCAGAGCAGTTGTTGTTCTGCAACAGCCTTGTTGAGGTGGTCCTTGTACGAGCGGCTTTTCTCTTGAAACTTGTCGAGCTTGGAGTGCGTGACCTCCAGCTCTTGGTGCAATCTAGCTGCCTCTTCGTCTTGCGTTCCTCTCTCGGCTTGCAGATCAGCGACTTCCTGTTCTAGTTCATGCAATCGTCCCCCTTGGTGGGCTAGATTCTGGGAGAGCTCGTCCTTCTGCATTTGTAAAAGAGACAGCTCCGAGTTAGACTGCACCCGGCGGTCGCAGTCTTTCTGATAACGTGCTTGATACTGCTGTAACCGAGTCACCAGTTCTTCGATCTGCTGCTTCTGGCCCATGAGACGACTATTCATCTTGTGCTCAACTTCTTTTGAGTAACTGAGAACTTTATTGTAGTGAGCCGACATACTTTCGAGTGCTTCGTAGTGGCTCTCGGCCGTGACCTGCTGGTTCTCCAAGCCTGGATTGACCTTTTCCTGACTCGGTTTGCCGTGTTGTGATTGGCGATGAGAGTGTTTTCGACGCCGGGAAGTATTTGAAAGTCGCGATTTCGTCCGTTGCGGAACATCTCTTGCATCTTGATCGCGTCTGATACGTCGGCTTGACTGCTCTCGAGGCGAAGAGTGCTGTTGATTCGACTTGCGAGCAGAACCGGGAATTTGTTTCTGTGGCATTTCCAAGTCGCCAACTGGAGTAGACGGCCGAATCTCAACTGCCTCGAGATGCTGTCTTTGAATTTGGGATATCTGACGAGGTATCATACGATTATCATCGACGTATTTGCTAGTTTCGGAGAGGCGTGCTTCCAAGTCTCGATCTGAAACCACACGTTGCTGTTGTTCGCCTTCACTTTCTCCCCGAGAACTGTGCCGCTGTGAATGAATGACCCTGTCAGTAGCCGTTTGTTCAAGTGTAGGCTGTAGAGTCTCCCGTTGATCGCAGGGAAGAATGACATCGGCATCAGCAAAGGGTCGAATTCTGTGGTCCTTGGTAGCAAAACCATTGATCTTCTGTTCGGCTCTGACAGATGGACGTTGCGAGACCGAATCTCCAGTTGGATCTCTTCCAGAGCTGGTAGTAATCTGATCTGAGAGACCTCGGCCCGGTAGCTGACCGTGGCTACTCGATTGCTCCGGGTTGACTTCTGCAGCCCTCAAGCGTTGAAAAGGAGTTCCTCTTCGTTCTTGATCACCTCGAGGGATAATAGCTGACACATTGTTCGCATGGGTGTCGACGTCGCTGTAGTGGTGACTATTATCGTCTATCAAAGCTGGTTGATCCTGGGGCTGGGCCGGTCGTACGTTGCCGGCATCTGCCCAGTCCTCTTGAGGCACTGCGTCTTGCCGTCCACTGAGGGCACTGAAGTTGATAGATCGACGCTGCTGGTGGCCAGAGAACTGGTTTGGCTTGTACTTGGGCTGTGGTGCGAAGACAAACATATCAATCTCCCCAACAAGTTCTGGGTCATCCTCGGGATGGTATGAAGGATGGCTTCCGTGGCCGCGTGTCTGAGATACATGGTATTGTTCGTTGACATCATCTTGGATAACGTGCTTGACATTCGGCTGCGAGGCTCTTAGCTGGCTGAGCAAGGACGGTTGAGACTCGGCACTGGAGGGGGAGTCTTCAGCCTGGGGACCGTCCTCAGGACAGTGATCTGGGCTGGATCCTTTCGAACGGGACTTGGAACTGTGCCTTTGTCGGGATGTGCCGCCATTTGCTGAGAGAGAGTCGAAGCTGGATTTGTCCGCCATGGTATGGAAGAGGCTAGAAGCCGTAGTAGCTACTACGGCCACAAGCTGTGGTCAATTTCTAGAGTCTCTGGTCCAAGACAGCAAAATTCAACAGAGAGCCAATCTGGACGAGGAAAGGTGGCGACAAGTAGGAGGGCGAGGAGAGACAAGAAAACAATCCAGCAGCTCTGTCAAATAAAGCGAGCCGTGAGAATTGAAGTTGGGGACGATCAACACACCACAACCTGATGAACTGACCTTCAGGACGGGGAGGTATCTCCTAGGTTGCCTGCCGCGCTACAACTGCTGATGGCTTTTTGGTAATCGTAGAGCATAGAATTTCAGCGTTCCTGGCTGAGATGTAGAAAGAGCCTTCGTGACTTGAGATCAGGAAACAGCTGCCCTCTACCATAGACAAGAAGAAACGGCAGCTTTAGAGCAGTTGATCAAGGTACCTGCCTTAGCTACTTGCATTCGCCCGCCTCTGCCTTCCAGATGCGTGCGTCTTTCCTTCCCGTTGACGGACCATGCTGATAGGACGATGTTTCTTTCTATGGCAAACAAGAAATCCCGGTTTGTGTCCAGTTCAGGGCAGCTTGCGGGTATCAGATGAACTAGACTTTTCGTCTCCAAGACCATTTCGGCATATAATGAAAAAATCATTCACCGTTTACATATGATAAAAGCTTCCCATGTCCTACCTACGTCGGCCGATAAGATTTGAAGGCGCGGAACAGTGGTCGGTCCAAGTGGAAAACATGACAAATTGCCTGAGAAATTTGCTGAATTGATGAAGAGATGGTAGTTAAAAGGCAGTAGTAATACCAATCACTCGATCTTGCTTTAGCCATCCAGCTCAGGACGGTAGTAAGTAGTGAGATACAATCCATCAGCACATCTGTATTAGGTAACATTAACCCGAAATACAAAAGAAGTAGAAGGAGGCATCCCCAGCGAGGACTCCCCCTTGGCAGTCGCCGGTTTCAGGACACTTTCCTGTGATCTCTCCGCGTCAGCAATGCCATTTTTCGGGACGGCCTTTGGCCGTGGCTTCTCTATGCGTTCCATGGCCGCCGGGACAGGAGACCGCTTGATCTTCGGCCGTGGAGGTACAACCTTCCTCTGATGCAACGTGCTGACTGGTCACGACAGCTCCGGCAGCAAAACCCCCGGATGACAAACTGAGAAAGATGCGTAAAGTCATCCGAGAAATCAGCCTGGAGGCCCAGACAGTCGCCCGCCAAATTTAGAATGTCCCAAGGAAAAGCCAAGCAATGCCAAAAGAATCCCCACCGAGGAAACGACATGAGTGATAAGCAGGAAGGAGAGCAGGCGGCAAGTGACACCTCCAAGGCATCATCGTCGGAACAGAGGTGGCCCGCGCTTGATCTAGGAAAGACCAAGATCTGCTTGTGCTACTCGGCTCTCCTGCTTTTTGGTCCTACAACGGATATGCTCTGCTTCTCTTGTCAGCGGGAGGAAAAGAAGTAACAGTGACGAGCTGTGCAGACGGCATCACAGATAGAGCGGGAAACCATAGGAAAGCATATCTCTCAAAACGCAGGCCATTCGAATCAGCTCCAGATGCGCGCCATCACACCGCAGGATCGCCCCCTCCCCCATCACACAATTAAGCTCGTCGATATTACATCCACTGCCGGTGACAGTCAACCTCTCAAAAACCGATCTCAAGTGACTGACTCCGGCCGCGCACACATGCAGTGAAAATAGGAAATGCAGGTCAAAAGATACACTAACACAACACTTCAGGTAGGATTGTGACGGGACGCAGCTTAACCCCTGCACCTCACCAAATTCGTCCGAGCCGCCCATCCCAGACTCCTCCCGTTGATTGGCCACCACATCCCGGCCCCGATGTGAAAGCGCCGTGTGCCGGCGCTTCGAGGCCGCTCAACACCAATGGGAACGTCGTGAGCCTATTTCGACCGTCCCGTGGGCTCAAACGAGGTTTCTCTCTCTTTTCAAAGTCTTGGAAGTCTCCACGGTCTTGAACAAGGTGCTTCGATACGGTTCCTGCGCCTCGGACGTGGGTCTTTGGACCACACACGCACACCCCGGCCGACGTGCTGTCGTGCGTGCTCGCAAGTGCCGTGTGGAAATGCTATGTATGCACTTGCACGGGGGTGTTGTGAGGGCCCCTCGCTTCGTCAGTCACATCGCTCTAAGTGGTTGCTTCCTCTGTATGGCTGCTTGCAGAAGGGGGAAAAGGGGAGGAGGATGGAGTAAACGATTGGCGCTGGGCTCCCATGTGAGAAAATATGCTCAGGGCGCTTGAACAATGTAAATAGTGAGTTGGGCCACGTTCGTGGCGCCGGGTATCCTTTCGATTTTTGTTCAGCTTCTTTATTCTACCTTACTCGTACGATTCTGACGCCGTTTTCTCTCGTTCGGTTGTCTTCCCACCTTGCTTGGCTGTGCCTCTCTAGGAACTTTTCCACAATCCTTCCAAATCATCATCTTCACCGTTGCCCCTCTGCGAGTGGCACCTCGACCTACGACGAAGATGGCGACCACAACCTCCAACTTCTTTCCTCTGGCGACCGAAACCTACTATCCAGACTCTCCTGGAGACGCCAGCTCATCCGGAAATGGTGTCGATACCGAGGCAGGAGCCTCGGGTGACAGCCCTGGGGCCGTCAATCTATCCCGCGAAGCCATGATTGCCATCATCGTCGTCGTCTCTGTTGTTGGTGCTCTCGGAAGTACGTAAAATCCATGCAGGAGAAATCGCAAACACCAACTCCTTGAAAAAACCCCATTCACTAACCCGATCCTTACTCGTACAGTTGGTATGGCCGTTCTGTTCTACGTTGCCAAGAAGCGAGAGTGGAAGATCAGAGAGACCATGCGCAAGTCCGCCAGAAAGGTCGTCACCGCTCTCACGCCGCGGAGAACCGAGTTCCCTAGATCAGTCAAGGAGTCTTCGTCTCCGCCACGCAGCCACCGCGGACGCGCGAGGCTCGACGACGTTCCGCCTACGCCCAGACTCCGCCCGGAAGATCTCGAAAAGGGCCTCAAGGAAGCAGAGTCGAAGCGCAAGTTGATGAGGTGGGGCCGGAAGTAGGCGAGGGTGAGAGGAAACTTAGGGTATGGGAGGAATGACGGCCGCCAACTGGCTTGGTGCTGGTGTAATGGTTCATTTGCTGAGGCGGTCGAGACTGGATGACTGACGAACTTGGATCTGCGTAGCGTATAGAGTCCTTTTTCTTGTACCATTATTATGCCCTTTGAAAATACATAGCGCTTATACTTAAAGTCTTCGGAATGTGTTTGAGCTGGCGCTTCTTCTTGCGTTGTTCTTGTGGTCGCGCGGCCGGGAATCGTCGTGAGTGTCCACAGGGCCTCCGTTCTTCTTCTTCCCTTGAGGAACGAATGTGACCGCCTTTTCGCCGTAGGCATTTCCGCGATGCGTCTTGCTGATGCGGCCGGACTTTTGTACCCTGGCGCCCAGAGCAGTATCCCGCTCCTGACCCTTCTGGTTGGAAGACGAGATCTTCATCTGGTACTCCTGTGTAGCCTTCTTACCCAGACCCTTGGGGCCCTGGTCCACAACAGGCTGGGCAGCAGCACTGACACCAACCTCGTGAGTATCCTTCGCGGCGACCTTGGTGCTGGGGTTGAGAGCGCGGAACTCGTAGGTGGACTCGTCGACGGCGAAGGCGTCGTCCTCGAACATCTTGGTGAAACGATCGTCGCCGAGCAGGCCGGCCTTTTCGTCGACAACCTCTCTGTTCTCCTGTTTCTTGAGGAGCTTGTCGGCAAGCTTCTGATTGACCTTGACCTTCTTGTTGCCTCTGATTCTGCTGGCGCGCTCCTTTTCGACCTTCTCCTTGATGCGCTTCGTCCTCTCCTCCTCCCAAACGTACGGGTTGGCGATGAGGCGGGCCTGTTCGTAGAGTTTCGACGCAACGAAGTAGCCGTGCATGTACGGACGGAGCAAGTTCGTCTTGCCAATTAGGTGCTCCATGCTCAACTGTCTGAGCTCGGGCAGCGTCAAGAACTTGTAATTGTCGTATGTCTCGGTGCGGACCTCCTCTGCCATCTCTTCGACCATGTTGTCGAGGAAAGAGCACCATCGTGGTGCCGGGCCGAGACTGGGAATGAAGAACGAGTGTTGAGACTTGCCTTCGTTGGCAGTCAGAAGCATACCGGTGTCCTTGCACCAAGCGCTAGTTTCTGGTTAGTGAGAATTCAAAGGAAAAAGATTGCAGTCTCGCAACTCACACATCGTTCAGGTCCACAATGGGTTCGACTGAAGTCCATGGTGTACCGTCCGTCTCGTCCCAAATCTTGATAATCTTCTTATCGGCAGACATAATCTTCTTTTCTTGGGAAGCTGTTGTCATGTGAATGAGCTTCTTGATTGGGAAGCCGTATCCCTGGTCCTTGGTCAAGAGAGGGACTGGGCGACGGAGATCGAACAGCTGAACCATGCCCGTCTCGGAGCCAGTGGCAATGGACAGTCCCGATGTGCTGAAGTCCAAGGCAGTGATACCACCCTCTTGACAGCCTAGACGTGCGACTCTTGACTTGGATCTCGGGTCCCAGAATTCCACCGTGCCAATAGAGGTTCCGAAAGCTGCAAGGCCATGGGAGCCTTCGGCCAACGCCGCAGCGTTGACACTTCCGGCATCAATACTTCCCTGCAGCCCAGCTCCCTCCTCATCACCGCCGACATCGATCTGGAAAGACTTCATGAACCTGCCAATCTCCAGGTTCAAGCGGAAGACTTCACCCATGCGATCCTGGTCGACTCCTACGGCTGGTACGAGTGCTTCGGTCGACTGCCGATCGTAGAGCAAGTCTCTGCCGTAACGGGGTATGCGAATCTTGTAATGGCAGCCCATCGGGGTGTGGAACTCGAGTTGTCGGTCATCCTGGAGGAGTAGGGTCTTGGAGTAGTCGGAGGAGAGGATCGTCAACTTCTCCGTCAGAGAATTTGTGTGGCGCGCAAACGACAGAGACAGTTGTGGGAGGTTGTGAACGTGAATCTGAGGCTTGTATGTTCCTGCACTGACAGCCCAGTCACCGTCCTCACTGACGCGAATGCAGGTACTGGCTTCTTCGAATTCGAAATCTTGGAGAAGCTCGACTCGGCTCTGGTACTCTGCGTCGTTCTTGAGCGATCGCTTTCTTCGTCTAGCCAGCCAATCCGGCAGCGGTCTGGCAGTCGATGCACCGGAAACGGTGTAGACCGGAATGGTTCCTGGGTTCGTCAACTTCATCGTGTTTGTCGGAGACCGCTGGTGAAAATTGTACGGGGCGGGTGCTTCGCGACAATGCGACTAGGTGTGAAGGAATTGCGGCCGAGGGGACTTTTTTTTTCTTGCCCAAAAAGTTCCGATTAGATAAGAGTCCCCGGCTGGCTGGTGGGGGGGGCCTCACCTTGGCTGGAGCAAGGAAGGTCTCGGTGAGATGGTGAAGGATTAGCTAACTCCTTTCCGACTTTCAGTCTGCCCCACTACTTTGCGTTAGCTGCTCAGGGAATTTGGTTGATTTCATTGGTTGAAGCATCACCCGCTGATTCCCAGCAGGACCCTATTAGTGCATTCAGCCGCGTGAATCTGGGCTGTCTGCGTGTCAACGACAGTGCTGGATTTCCGGTGGTTTACCGACCCAACCAGGCTCGAACATCGACAAAGTAATCAAAGCGATACATCAGCTCTTGGACGACGAATCCAACAAATTCCGAACTCAAACGACATCCGAGTGTCTTTTATCGCACAATCAGTTGACAAGATATTTCATTTGGAATACGCTTGATAATCCCGTAACTGTATTGGACTCGGTTGATGCCGAGAAGCCGGTCCATTGGTCGCGCTTTCGACCTACGGAGATGGAGTCGATGACTTCGCGAATTCAACGAAACAACCGTATCAAAAACTCTGACAGTCGCATAACGAATTTCAACCGATGCCGTAACAAAACATTACTTTCATGACTGCCGGCCTACAACTTTGAACCGGCTCCTGCGGCCCCTGGGAGCTTTAGCGACCGAGAGTTGATGTTGCGACACGGAACACATCCCGCCGTCGCGAGACTCGACCGTCGACATGGACACGAGCGAATACGATACTAATACTCTATTCAATGTTTGTACTGGCCGTTGGAATGTGTGGATTGCAATCACTGATAACAGCTTGCTGCCAGAATAACATATCTACCATCAATTACCGAGTCTACGAGCCCTCTCCTGAACAGGCGTCAAGCTTTCCTTCAATCGCCGCCGATGTCGAGACCGAACTGAGAACCCTCAACCACATTGTATACTACGATGCGAACAGACGAGTTGTGTGGTATTTCCACATTCCGGGCAAGGATGTGGAGTCTGGCGACGATACCCCGAGGGTTTTGGATAGTAGTGTCAGCGTCGCCGGCGCAACATTGCTGATGGTTGACGAAGGTTCTTTTGAACCAATAAGTTTGTTCAAGGGTCGCGCTCAAGGACAGCAAGCCTCGAATACACCAACAAGCTCGTCGTCAAGTAATTCGGCCCTCGACCTATCCTTACGGAACCCGCAGATGGGCAACTCCGGACCGCCAAGCTCCTCCGACCCCGATTCCAAACCCCCGTCAGCCGGCGCACTCGATTCTAGGGGCACTGGCTCTGTTCCAATAAAGGAGGCATACGAGCAATTTATTACGGCCGTTCTGTCAACAACGTCAGCATCATTTTGCAACCGTGTATCAGCAATCCCCCTGAATCATCGAACCGTTTTACTTGCTTCCAAGGTTACACGAGATGGTCAGACCGAGAGAGCTCAGGACACGGAGTCTGCAGTCGTGGGAACATTCCGCGTATACCTCACCACGACGGGTGCACTAGTCATAAGCTTATCTTTATCCTGTTGCGAGGGTCTCTTGTCTGTGAATGAACCATCAAGTCCGAGCCAACTTGCACTAGGCTCTCAGATATTGGCTGCCCCCTTCGGCGTTCTAGCGAACTACCAAGGGTTCGTCGGTGGAGGCCTGTCGTACCCCGAACTTGGCCTGGGACAGACGCCGGATGCCCAACTTTGGAGGAATGCGGACGCTAGATCCTCACAATGGAGAGAAACCTGCATCAAAATCCTTCAGTCCCGTGGGCTGTCTCCTGCGTTACTACAGTCATGTCCATGGATCGCATTACAAATGCTCCGCCGGAAACCTGGCGAGTCTAGAGCTGAAGGGAAAACGACGCCACTATCGTCCGCTGTGACTACGGTATCTTGGCCAGCAGTCCTCTGTTTCCGCAAGAAGTCTGTCATGCTCGCGCGAAGTAACGGCCTGGGAGATTCTGTACTTCTGGCGCAAGACGAGACTTCTGACTTCCTTAATGAGGCTAGAACCTGGTTTCAGTTGGGCGTTGACAGGGACGAAAAAGTCACCAAGAGGAAGAAAGAGAGGGAAGCTGCGGCATCAAAAGAGGCTTCGGCAGCAACTTCGACACAACAACCAAACGGACATTCGCCACTAGGGCTAAGACGGGCTAGCAATGCGGCAGCTGCAGGCGCCATGTATCCAACACCGCCAGACGGAGTTCAGAACCCATTGGGTATCACGCCTTCGATGGACGGGACGACCTCTAGCCCAGGTGCCCCTGGCGTCACTATGGCGGTCGTTGACATAGATACTACTATGACAGATGCTACTGTACACGACGCAACTACGATGCATGGCACGCTACAACATGATTCCTACGCTGACGGTTGGCACTCGAACGAGCATGCAAACGAACCCACGAATGAGCATTCCAACGAAAATGGGAAAGGTCGAGCAGACTCCTTTACTGGGGGAGACAATGATGACAATTTGTTTGGCGACATGGGCCCGGACATGTTTGGGGATACCGACATTACTGATGCCGACTTCAACTTCTTCGACGAAGAGGGCGATGACCTCGACCTATCTGGCTTACCTGACTTGAGCATGCCTGACGGACCACCGACGCCTGCCATCCCCCCAGTATCTATGCCTGAGCCGGCAAAACTGATGCTACCTCCGGTAGAGGATACTAAGCCCGAACCAAGTCCTCCAGTTTTCACTAAGCCGGAGTTGAAGCATGCGCGGAGCACATTGATGGACGAGGGAAAACAGCGATCCAACACGGACAGGGCAGGCGGTATGAAGAGAGAGTCAAGTCCTTTCGATCCGGACATTGTCTACAAAAGAGTTCGGGCTTCTCTAGCAGATATTCGCTCTGCCCCTCAATCAACCCCTACGCGGAAAGGCAGCATTTTTGACAGCGTTGACTTCGACCCGGTCTTGCCTCTTGTCAATAAGAAGTACGAGCAAGGGGGCCGATTTGATTGCAAGCCGACGCTCCAAGGCCTGCCTCAAGAATCCAACAACCAGCCTCTTCATCAAGGGCCGCCTACTACCGACTACCTACGACGACACGGAAAGGGCAGGAAGCCACTGAAACAACCAGAACACACGAACGCCCTCATCCGAACCATCACAGGCAACCTCGAGAACAGTTCCCTGATTGCAAGTCCCGGAAAAGGTGATGACTTAGCATCTGACGCCGATGACATCAGCCTAGTGTCAGACCAAGACGACTCGAGCACATCAGAAGACGAGCCGACGTCGCCCTTCAAGTCAAGCATTCGAAGACTGAACTTGGACGACGACGTTGCGTCTCACGTCACTTCCCTCAGAGACATTGAGTCTGTCGAGGATTCAGATCCTACGCTGGCTTTGGACCTTCCAAAGCTAGCCAAGGCCGAAGCCTCAGAAATGCTCATCACGAGATACTTTGAAGATGCGGAGTCACTACCTATTCATCTTTCACTCCCAGATGAGGATACCATCACCATTGCTCAAATTGTCACTGAGCAAGCAGTGACTGGGAGCTTGAGGATACGTGATGCGCATGCGAATACGCTGAACTCGGCAATCATACCCGAAACCCGGCGCCAATTATCATCCCTAGGCCGGACTGCTTTGCAGGCTTTGCGCGAGGTGATTCCCGCTTGTCTGGGTGACTTCAACACATGCAACTTCAAAGGTGTGGTCGAGATCCCCGACGTTCCCTTACTTGGCCCACCCAACAGACTTCATCCGAGGCCGGTCAATCCGCGGGATACCAACGCAGAACCGCCAAAGCCAAATAACCTCTTCCAGATCCCAGCTCCTCATATGGAACTTCGACGTGCAGAAGCTAGACTATCGGTCTTGCCAGCGAGCGTTCAGTTCTGGGAAAGCTTAGGATTGGGTCCTGCCCAAGGCACAAAGGACGTCAATGTTGTTTGTGTCTTCCCCCATTGGGATGGAATGTCAGATGTTGCTGCCGCCTTTCTGGACCGCATGCGAAACGTTTACGAGCTTCTCAAGTTGGGCTCTTTCGAACGGCTTGCGACCAGTTCCAAGGTGGCTGATGGCCTTCTACCCTATGAGGTAGACAAAATCGCCACTTCTCCAGGAACCGTCAGTCCCCACATAGTGGCCGGTCTGGGTGACCGCATGGAGGCACTCAACCAGGGGCTCCTATCGGCCAATGCCTCGGAGAAGAACTATGTCATATACTTTGTATATCTTCCAGACCATCCTGGGTCTATCGTTGAGGCTTGCACTGCCTTTCAACAGCTGTTCGAGATGCACAAAAGGACTCTGACGGACAGGCGGCAGACCCCGGTCAACGAATTGGTCTTACAACTTGTGCCCCTGGACTTTCTTACTTCTTCTACCGGAATAGTAGAACCGACTCCTAGCGATGCGATCAAATTGGCGATAGAAACGTACGACCGCTGTACGCTATTTGGCGGACCGATGCCATCACCGGCCATTATGCTCGAACAGTCGCTTCCCAGAGGCATCGACTTCAAGCTTTCTAATCCATCTTCATCGTCGCTGATGCATGAGAACACTTGCATTCACATCGCCTACGCTCAGAGCATTGACGAGAGATGGATAACCGCGGCGTGGACTGACAACAGGGGATGCCAGCAGATGACGGCATCTTACAACCTTGGTCGCAAGGGCAAGGCGCTGTCTACATCACTCAATGACGTCTACCACGAGATATGGGAAACCACCCATGACTTGATTTCTAAGTGGAAAGTCCACTGGCGAGTCATCATCTCCAAGTGCGGGTTCATGGATGCGCAAGAGATTGGGTTCTGGCAGGGTCTAGCTCAGACGGAGTCGGTGGCAACGGTCAGCTTGACCTTGATTTCGGTCGACACGAATCCATCCATGCAGTTGGTTCCGCCGGCGATCAAAGTCCCAGCAACAACGTCCTCGGCCTTCTACACGACGCCTGTGTCTACTCCGCAAGCATCGATAGTGTCGCCAGAGCAGAGTGGTACGCCGGCCACGCCCATGAAGGAAAACACAACAAGCGCCGCAACTCCGGGCGGAACACCAGGCGACGGTAATGCCGACCCTGTCGAAGGGGACGCTATTCTCCTCGACGTAACAGACCAGACCTGGGGCGCCGTGCTAGCGCATCGACTGAGCAACTCTTCTTCGTTGGGCGAGCTGAACCCGGCCCTTATTAGCGGCTACCTTGTCAAACGTGGAGGCACGAAGCTCGAAGACCCGCCTGTTGTGCTAGAGGTCAACATTGTGCATGCGGACAACAACCCGCGCATGTACGAGCCTCTCATGCGGGAGATGCTTACCTACTTCAGGGGTCTTGGAACCCTAGCTCGCGCGAGGGGGGTTGTAGACAGAGGAACGGATATACGTCCCTGGCACATCGCGGCGGCGGAGAAGGGTGTTCGGGCATTATACCTTTTGATGTGATTTGGTACACGGCGAGATGGTTTGTTGGGTAGACTTGCTTTCTTTTCGCTTTGAGGGGGCTAGAACCGGCGTTTTGAGGCGTTGGGCCATGCGATAGGGACAATCGTAGCACAGAGGAGATTGCACAAGACCAAATTCATTGGACCACAGTGTTAACATCATTGGTATCGTACTTTTCATTTGGCACCGGGTTGCTATCCTGGTGACTACATTCGCTACCGGCCTGAACAGTTGATGCTCGGGCACAAGTCTATCTATCCACGCCATTTTCACCACTGCTTCTATATACGCTTACGCTCATATTCCTGCACGTATACCAATCCTTGGTCGCGTGCCTGGTACCGAGAACCGGACTATAAAATAACTTTGAAAAAAGGGGTTCAAAACAAAACGTCTTGTTCAACAATGTCTAGTTCCAGAACCCAGGGAACAAGAACTCGACATTCTTCATGGCCTCGGGGCTGCGGCCCTCAGGCTTGGTCATGAACTTGACGGCGCCCTGGGAGGCGCCCTCCCACTGCTTGGCGAGGACGAGGTCGCCGCTCTCCTGCTTGGACAGCTCGTCGAGGACGCCGCCGACGAGGCGCTTGGCGTTCTCGCTGTTGGCGGCCATGTACTTCATGACCATGGCGACGTCGACGTCTTCGAAGGAGTGCCAGCAGTCGTAGTCGGTCGCCATGCAGATCATCTGGTAGGCCATCTCGGCCTCGCGGGCGAGCTTGGCCTCGGGGAGGGCCGACATGTTGATGACGCTGCCGCCCCAGGAGCGGTACATGTGCGACTCGGCGCGGGTGGAGAATTGGGGGCCCTCTGTTTGATTTTGTCACATTAGTATTTCTTCTTTCTCTCTCTCTCTCTCTCTCTTTCGAGCTTCTTGTTGGGGAAGAATAAACCCACCCATGCAGATAATGGTGCCCTTCTCGTGCAAGACGACGCCCTCGCCCTGCATATGTGCCGCGCACTTCTTGACGACCTCCGCAAGCCCCTTATCAAACGGATCCGCGAACCCAACGTGGCCCACAACACCGCCCTCGAAGAAGGTGAATGGGCGCACGCCCTTGGTACGGTCAATGACCTGGTCCGGGACGACAAAGTCCATGGGCTTGATCTCCTCGCGCAGGGAGCCAACGGCGGAGAAGGCGATGACGCAGCGGACGCCGATGGAGCGCAGGGCGGCGATGTTTGCGCGGGCGGGCACCTCGTGGGGCGCGAACTGGTGGTGCAGGCCGTGGCGGGCGAGGAAGGCGATGGGGACGCCGTTGTGCTCGAGGATGCTGATCGGGGAGGAGGGCTTGCCCCAGGGGGTCGTGGGCGTCAGCTGGGCGACGGGGGTGTAGCCTTCGAGCTTTCCGAGGCCGGTGCCGCCGATGACGGCGATGTGGACGGGACCTGTTGGGAAGCAGGAATGTCAGTCACGTCGAAAGGTATTGCGCTTTTTGCTCGTAGTAAGAGGCTTTGGGCCGAATCGGGAGGGAGGCAGGAGAGCGTGGGTGAAACTTACGGTCAAAGGTGGTGGGGAGGTCGGCCATTGTATCGTTTCTATCGATTGATCGTGGGAAAATGGGGGTATCTCAGGTAAAGCAGGGGAAATGAAATAACAAAGCTGGGGAAAAGAGAATGTGCAAAGGTGTAGATCGACGCGAAAGCTTGGATAGGTTTGCTATGCGGTCGGAGTCTGACATCTTTTTTCGACCCCGCCGAAATTTACCCCGCCATCCAAACCACACTCGAGTGCTGCCGTTTCTTCAGTGCCCCGCCATTGCGTCGTCCCGGGTATGCCGCTGTGTAAACACCCCACCACATGTTCTCACCGTCCTCACCACGTGTTGCAGATCACGGCAAGATGTCGTTCCTTTCCGAATACACTCAAGAGTCAAGTTCCTTTACCTTATCACCAGTCTAGCGCAAAAACAATGAACCGACGCAGGATTCGAATGATCCCCAGCTTAATGTAAATCAGAGACATCTGGTCGAGTCAAGGAACCAAGACCCTCTATCCCTTGACCACCAGCCCATTGTCAAAGAAATAAAGACACAAGGCTGATGATAAGGGGTAGGGGCAAGGAGGAAGGAGGGACGAGACAGGAGCAAAACGTCAGGGCCGCTCTCTCGTTCAAATGTTCTTTTTTTCATCTGAGGTATCTAGCTGTCTCTCTCTCTAGACTTTCTTTTTGCTGGTCTTCATCCGAACTCCGACCCATTCCGTAGTAGCACGTACAGATAAAAAACGCTTTCTTATGCAAGAAACAAAATAATCACTGGCCCTCGGCAGGGCGCACCGGCAGCTCCGTCTCCTTGGCGGCGCCGTCCTGCGCGGCGGGACCCTTACCGCCGCCGGGGTAGCGGGAACCCTTGTCCTTTGGCTGCTTCTTCTTCTTCTTCTTGTCGTCCTCAACCGGGGGGTAGGCCCTCTCCGTGACCTGCTTCCACTCCTCGGAGGCCTGGAAAGCTTGCTGGATGGGGGCCAGAAGCTCGTTCAGGGCCTTGGTCACGGCGGGCTTGAGCAGCTGGGGCGTCAACTAAACATAGTGTTAGCTTGTTCTAGATATCGCGTCTCTTTCCGTGCGCAACTTACGACGTCGTTCTTGTAGTCCTCGTGCATTTGCTTGATATCGGTGTAAACCAGGGTCTCGAGGCCGTCGCGCTCACGCTCGACACGGAACTCCTTCTTGCCCTTCAGCGACGCAGCGGGCAGAAGGACGTACTCGACGAAAGACAGGACACCATTGCCCTCAGCAACCTTGGGCACACACTCGGCCTTGCGGAGCTTCTTCTGGACAACCTCGGGGGCGTCAAGAAGGTCAATCTTGCTGTCTGTGAAGCCAAGTTCAGCATTTTCCCTTGGAGAACGGTGACAATAGTCTTACCAGGATCACTTGCGCTCATCTTTCCACCGTTCAGACCCGGCACCATGGGGTTCAACAGATGCGCGCGCACTTGGTATCCGACCTTGGGCAACCATTCGGTGGCCGCAGCGAACAGCTTTCTTTGATCCATGCCTGTACAAGGTCAATCTGAGAACTCCTTCGAGATACGAGAGTCAAAGGCATACCTCCGAACTGAGCATCGACACCAAGGTGTTGCTCGTCGCAGACCTGAAGTACGGGGTACAGCAGACCACTCATGGGAGCGTTCTGTCGCCATTGTCAGCCCTAGTCCAAGCACCCAAACTTTGCAGGTATCCTCACGTCAGACTGCTTCACGACCTCGGCACCGGCCTTCTTCGCATCTCTCTCGCTAATGAGCGAGCTCATCTTGTAGACATCCATGATGTACTCGGGGCTCTTCTGGTAGGAGCTGCCGAGGACGAACTTGAGCTTCTCCGTGGAGACGCCGACAGCGTTGAGAATGTTTGTGATGGCGAACTTGTAGAACTTGGCGCGCTGCTCGACGAGCTCGATGGGGGCCTTGAGGTTGTCGAGGAAGCCGTGGATATCGGCGAGGAGGACGGTCATTTCGCAGCCGGCGGCGAGGAACTGCGCCAGCTTGATGGCCGGGACGAAGTAGCCGCAGTGAGGTCTGCCCGTTGTCGCGGTTCCTGTAAGGTGAAAGTAGGCAATGGTCAGCCAATGCGCCGACGAAGAGTATCAGCAGTGTAATTGAGATGTTTCTTACCCCAGTAGATCTTGGGGTTGCGTCCCTCGGCCAAAATCTTCTCGATAATCTCGGGGTTCATGACCTCAGCCAAGTTCTCCTGGATGAGGGCGAACCTCTCCTGCGCCTTTGTGCCTTCCGCCATCTTGAGTATGCTACGAGTTTCGTAAAGGTTATGATCGAAGTAAGAATGCGGTGGTATTCGGGGAAGCGAGGTTGTGAAGGATTCACGGCGTCGGGGGTAGGTGTCGAGAGGTCGTGGGACGATGGTATTCGGAGTGAGTCAAGCTGTGACTTGTCGCACAAGTGGCCCAAATTCGCGTCGAAGAGCAGACACCGCAGCGAAATTACCCCGCCGAGGGGCGGACGTCGGGGGCCAAAGTTGCACAGGCCGATAGAGGGGTCTAGGGCGTCTGTCACCCTTGCCATTGGCCGATGTAGGGGGCTCGATGGAGGGGCCTTGGGTACCTACCTTGCAACAGCCCGGAATTTCACAGGGCTCTCAGCCCAGAACAGCAGTTGTATCCCGACTCATAATGTGGGAAGGTCTAGACATGATGCGTGAATCCCTAATGTTGAATCGAGGATGCACCTATTCGAGTTTCTCAGTAGCATATGAGGTGATCTGTGAAGGACTGTTACATGAGTTCTAGAGTGTATAGAGTGTATCCTTCACACATGTATAGGAGTTAATGGTCACTGAATAATCACAGGAGCACTCATTGGATACTTGGTGTTGGAATCTCAAAATGGCAGTTGGTCTGTGTGTATCTGCTTACCAATTTGTGGTGCAGAGATACTTCCAGTTTTCGGTGCGGACGGCGGAAATTTTCCAGTGACAATCCAGCATCCCGGGGCCGCCACCTTGGAGGTACTCCATCTCCGAAATCTTCATGAGAATATTCTCAAACTGTGCATGTATTTCCAGTAATTTTCACCCACGGCCTGTTTTCCCACTCATTACTAGCGGATACCCCCTCGGCAGGCGTAACGCCTCCCCGGTCTTTACCTCTGCGCTTCAAGTTTGAAATACCCGACCTCCAACGTTACAAGTGCTCTTCATCACTCATCAACCTACAACACCATGGCGGCCACACCGCCGCCGTCTCTGCCGGACCTCGACCTCGAAGATGGCACCCCGGGCTATGAGACCATTGAGGAGCGTTGCTTCTCGGCCGCCCTCATCTGCCTTGAGGGCCACTACACCATCCCGCCCATGGGGCCTCAAACCGCCGCACGGGTCTCATCAATGATTGCCAAAACCCTCGAGAAGACTCATACCTTCAAGCACGTTAGGTGGGTGCCCTCAACGCCATGTCTTACTGTAGTTTCGTACCATCTCATTTTCCTAACAAGAACCAGGGAAACGCTGTCAAGAAACGTCGAGATATGGATCTGGTTGACCAAGATCTTTGGCGCCGCCATCCCCAGTCTCACCACCCGCTCAGTGGGCCCGCTGTCGAGCCTCAACGATCCGGAGAAGGGTGTCACCCCTCAGGAGAGCACTGCCCTCATTGTGAAGAACCACCACAGCCTCAAGGATGATCTATCCATCTTGAACAAGCTCATGCACATTGCGAGAAACCTGCTGGTCACATCAGAACCAGAGGTGCCCCAGGACATTTGTGCCGCGGTTCACTTTGACCAGATGGTTTATCAGACCATCATACTCTGTGTGAACGTCACAAGCAAGGGCTACGATGGCGAGATCTTGGACGAGTCTTCAAGGGCCAAGCTGAATGAGATCACCGACATGTGTAAGTCCCCCATGGCCTTCGGGTAAAGAATTGCCGCTCACGTTTCACAGACAAGAAGCTCTTGGTCACATCCCTTCAACAAGCCCACAACTGGACCGCCAAGAACGACCGCAACAAGATGTCGTTCTGGTACGACGTGCTTTTTGACGAGGACGCGCAGCTCGACGACCCGCAAGAAGGCATGGGCGACGGCTCCGGCTTCCGCGTCGACATTGCCAAAACGGAGATCCAGCACTGGCTGGAGCGCAACTCACGCATGTGCGAGACGGCCCGCAGACTCCTCACAGACTACTCCCAGAACAAGTCGCACAACCCGCCGGGCGTCCTCGCGCCCATCGCGCCCCTGGCGTGGAACTGGTTCCCCGAAGGCCAGGTCAAGGTCCGCGCCGACAACTACGAGGAGGGCGAAAAGGTCAACCCGAGATGGGACCCCGACATCGAGGACAAGTTCGAGCAGGACCGCGCCTATTGCCGTGTATCCCGCGAGATCGACACCTGGTGGATGCGCGCGCGCGACGTGAACTACGACGGCTGGGCGGTCGCCATGCCCAACGTCGAGTTCGCCAAGACGAGGACGGAGCACTGCAAGAGCAACCTCCTCAACCGGTACACGCCCGTCATGCGCACCGAGGAGCACGAGGTCGTTGAGGTCGACGAGTCCGAACAGGACCTCGGGCCGGAAGAGGGCTCCGCGGAAGAGTACGCCGAGGGCTACGACGACATGATGGACGACGAGGACATTGACGACGACGAGTCGTACGGCGAGGGTCCCCTGACGGGCCTCCTGACCGAGATCCCCAACATCCTCGACCCGAAGCAGATCGAGGCCCTCCACATGATAGTCAAGTCCTGCATCCTCGACTCGGCCGGCACGGGCCTCACCCGCGCGGGCGAGAACCTCCAAAAGACGCGCTGCCGCATGTTCCTCGCCCTCGACTGCGGCAAGTCCCTCCTCCGCGAGATGCTCGTCTTCATCGCCGTCTGGGAAAAGGACGAGCAGTCCCTCATCTTCCAAATCACCTCGCAGCTCATCGAAGCCCTCCACCACTCGGCCCTCGTCCCCTACGCCTGGAACTCGCTCCGCATACCAAAGGACATCATCTCCCCCGCCCAGACCGTCCTCCTCCGCCTCGTCAACCACATCTTCCGCAGCCGCATCAGCAACCCCCCGCAAGACAAAAAGGACCAGGAGCGCGACGTCAAGCTCGTCATGTTCTTCTTCAGCTTCTTCCGCAGCCGCATCGTCCCCGAGTGCGTCGCCCTCATGCACCTCCAGGCCCAGATCCGCGAGGACAACGTCGACCCGGCCGAGTTCCCCGTCGACACCTGGGACATGGAGCGTGCCAAGGACGGCCTGGCGCAGTACCTCGACTTCCTCACCACCGCCTCCGAGATTGCCGAGTCGAGGAAGAAGCTCATCGAGTGGGAGGCCGTCTACGACCTCATCACCCTCCTCAACGGCCTCGAAGCAGGCGTCCCCAAGAAACCCCTCGTCGACGCCGTCCCCTCCCGCAACAGACCTCCTCCCGCCGCGGCAGCATCACCCCCCTCAGACCAACACTCCCAATCCTCATCGCAGCAACCCGGCGGCGGCACCCCCATCATCGAACGCCCTTACTCAACCACCGACTCCCTTCCCCCCTCGCCACCACCACCCTCCCTCTCCGACCCAGCCCACAAATACCCCTGGTCCGGCATCAAAGGCCAAATCTTCACCATCCTCGCCACCCTCCTCCAACCGCCCCCGGGGCACTCCACCCCCGGAAACCCAGACGTACAAACCCAAATGGTGAACCACAACGGCATCGTACCCCTCCTAAACTGCTGCGCCTACGACGACCACAACCCGTTCGCCAAAGAGCGCGTCACAATCTGCCTCAAATGGCTCCTCGACGGCTGCGAGGCGGCCAACAACTTCTTCCGCGAGCTCGTCAACCTCGCGCCCGCGCCGAACCTGCGGCCGCCGCCTGGCGGGACGACCGTCTCGACGATTCGTGTTGATGGGATTCAGGGGGAGGTTAAAGTGCAGGTGCGGTCTAATTCGGCGCCTGCTGGTGACGGAGAGGATGGTGGAAGTGGCGGTGGTGGGAAGCAGCATGTTCATGACCCGTACGGGTTGGCGGAGGGCGCGGCCAAGATGAATCTGAGGTCTAACCACAGCAGCGAGCCCTTTAGCGAGGATGATTTCATGTAGATGAGGATGATTTCATGTAGATGAGGATGATTTGAGAATGGTGTCCATCATTCAGGAATAGTTTCTTGGTGTTGAGAAAAAGAAGGAGTTCAACAATCCAAATGGGCTGTATATACCATGGTTCGGACAGGCGAAAGGGGCGAAGACTCATAACGTTCTTCTTGTTTCGTTTTCCGACTTTTCTATCACACGGTACGAAAGCACAGGGCGAGCAAAGCAATCAAAAAGAACAGGTGAAAACACGATACAACTACATTCTACAACTAAAGTACCAAAATTCCAAAAGAGCAGGAAATTCCAAATCAAAGTAGAAAAGGGCTAGCTAGGGGAAGGGGTCGAAAGGTGTTTTTTTCTTTGCCGAGTTCTTGTGTACTGTGATCCATCAAAACTGCAAAAAATTCCAACCTTCAGTTCCATCAAAGACCAGCTTTCAAAAAATAACCTCCCTCCCGCGCCATTTCTTTCTTCTTTTTGTTTCAAGAGATGAGGGAAAGTGTGGCGGCGACACACAAAGATGTATCTTCGCCCAACGCAAAATAGAGTAGCCAAACCACCGAATTTCCCTCTTTTTTTCGTTTTACTCTTGCGGATAGGGAAGAAACATTACAAAGCCATGTCAGAATAATCCAAATAGGCGAAAACAAGGGTCCAGACAGAGAGAGGGTGTTGTAACATAGGAGAGAGCAAGTGGAAAGGGAAGGGGAAGGTCAGGACAGTGCAGGGCAGCCTTCTTCCCACCCCTATAGTCCCGAACGATGGAACCCACAGTGTATAGCACCATGGTATGGAACCGACTCCCGACGCTCCGGTCTCACCGGACGTTGCGGCGCTGGTGCCAACAGGCGCGTCGGCATCATCCGAGGATCCGCGCTCTGCTGTTGCCGATGATAGTGCTGCTGCTGCTGTTGCTGACGATATTGGTCAGGATGAATCACTGAAGTGTAGGCCTGAGGACGATGGTTCCCCTGCACAGATAAAGCCTCCGCCCCAGACATCTGGAAGAACGAGTCTCCGCTCAGATCCGCGGGAGGACTGGGGAGGGCAGCCTGATCCCACGGCGAGGACATGCTCCGCGGCACCTGGTTATCCCAGGACTGACGCTGCCGATGGTGCTGCTCCATCTGCTGATGATGATGTTGCTGTTGTTGGGTATACTGTTGATGCAAGACAGGCTGGCTCTGGCCCTGGCCTGCGTACGTGTACTGATGGCCCCCATACGACTGGCCGACGTCCACGTCGTCGAGCCTACCGCCGCCGCTGTCCATCTCGGACTCGGGGCTCATGCTGCCGCTACTGCTGCCGTAGCTTTGCGGGCTCATTGGGTAAGTCTCCTGGACGATGACGACGGCGGCGGCGGCAGCGGCAGTGGCGGAAGGGCTGTACTGTTGCTGCTCGGGGTACTGCTGGTAGTCGCGGCTCTGACGGCGGGCGGTACGCTTCTTGCAGTTGTACTTTGACAGGTCCCACTGGTCAAAGTGCTGGCGGTATGATCTTGTCCTGGAAGTCGGGGTGAGAGTTGTTAGCAAGTTTTCCTTCTGATGTCCTTTCTCTCAAGTTCTTGTCCGGATGGTGTTGTAAGGGCTATTTGGACATCTCTCTTGTTTTCTTTGGATGAAATGCCATTGGAAACAGGACTCGACGACCAGGATGGAAAGGTAAGGTAGTCATCGTATCAGTGCCAACATCCGTCCCATGGGTTGCCGAGCAAAGAGGGGGATCCGTGGGGTCCGAGGAAATTCACGATGTATCCAAATGGCTTGGAAAGAAAAGAGGGAAAAGAAAACTGGTTAGACTGACGAAGCCTTGAAATTGTAGTCCTGTTGCATAATCTCCCGGACCTCATCCAGGGTACGGTTCTCCTTGATATAGAGCCTCGCGATAACGTCCTTGTGCTCTTTCCAAGCTTTCGTCATTGTCGTTGGTTTGGACAGAACTCAGGGAATGAGGAACGAAGCGGGATAGAGAGTCTTGTGATAGAAAGAGCGGGCGCTACTACGGAGTCATTGGAGGAGGAAGATCAGGGCTGGAAAGACCGCGATGAGAGGCCAAGCGGTGAGCTTCATTGAAGTATGATAGGATGGATGATTCCAGGATGTTTGTGATAGACGGTAGTGCTTTCGCCCCGAGGGAATGGGAAGATAGCTATACAGGCTGTATATAGACAGGTCACGATGGGATAAGGCTGGCAGTACTGCCCGCTGCTGCCTTTCGTAGGATACTATAATCGCAGTGTAGGGACATCGCCATTGGCGTTTCCTGTCCAGGGCTGACGGACAGGCCCTAGAACACTTCTTTCCCTCGTTCACCTCTGCCTTCCTTGAAGAAAGCGGACACTTGTTCCGATTCCCAGGACTTCTGCACCTTGTACCGTAGGTGCATCAAGGTGCAGTTTGCCCTTTGGCGAGTCTCCAGTCCCCCCTGGCAAGAAAGACAACGCATTCTATGACCGATAACATGGCCATCGTGGAGAATCATGATGACGGGACGGGGCGTAAGTCTGCCTTTCTCCAAGCGGCGCGCAGCTCCAAGGGAGCAAGGTGGTGGAGGGGGAGAAGGCTAAGCCCGCAACGTAGGGGGTGTCTTGTCTTGTGCCACACCACCCCATGAGCAGTCCTTCACCGAACTTTCAGCGAAGGTGTGCGACGTTTGCCTACACTCCGCAGATCCCCCCTTGCGCAAAAGTGCAAAGAGTCTTGGACTTTGACAGCTTGGTGGCTGAACTACCTACTGATAGGTTTGGTGAGCGCTTTTTTCTTCAGTTGCACCATTGACTCAACATGCTGTCCGCATTCCTCGGCAGACGACCACAGCGAGTTGTGCGCCAAATACTGAATCAAATGTGTCGCTGGTGTCGACAACCTAAGACGCGGGAGTTCTGCACTTATAAATAGGGCTCCGCAATGAGGTGCAGACATCCACGCGGGATACATGGTGGTATCGGCGCCTTGTCTCGGAGTAGAGGAGGGTGGTGAGGCACAGCCTGCGCCAAGGCAGACATCCTACTGGTCAGCTCCAACTCGATCTTCTAGTTACTGTGGTTAGCCCAAGGAAACCAACAAGCTCGATCAAAGGTGACTGTGAATACACTCGGAATTGGACAATAGTCAACAATCATAATTGTAGTTTGATTAGGGCTCGCTATATTATATAACCATAAATCAAAATGGTATCCTCCAAGCGCGTGTGCTGGAAAGGGCCGCAAAAAGCAATGGGGATGTAAGGCTGTGATGTTGCGCAAAAATGATGTAACCAATCAGGTGTAGTGGTGTGGTCAAGCCGAAGTCATATGAGGTGCGATTCCGCCCCAGGAGGCTGAACAACAAGGCAACCAGTGGTGCGCAAGTCGATGAGTCGCCTTTAGCAATCGCCTCACTTTGTTGAGGAAAATAGGGCTGTCGAAAGGACTCTTCTCCAGGTATCGAGCTAGGTCTGCAAGTGTAGGGATCTCAGAAGCTGAGGGTGTCCTGCGAATCCTTAGATCTTCTTCTCGTCAACAGGCGCCGTTGCAGCTGGAGCAGCCGCGGGTGCAGCCGCAGCGCTGGAGGATGGACCGTCGACCGGGCTCATGAGCTCTGGGCTCGCGGTAGGGTCGTGACCAGTGACACCGGCCTCTTGCGCTGAGTGGCCGGACTGGGTGGTTGCGGCTGGCGCAATAGAAGGCATCTTCTCGTCCTGGGCAACGACGGGCGAAGTAGGCGTGGAGTTGGGCTCCGCGGGTCCGGTGGCTCCCGCGACGTTCTTGATAACCTCGAACCACTTTTGCGCCTCATCGGGGGTGTGGGCCTGGAAAGCCAACTCGGACGATCCAGTGAGCTTTGAGCTAATTGATTTGCTCTTATCCTTGCCCTTCACGTTGAACTTGTTGCCGTTGGGAAGGCCGATAACAGCGTCTGGCAGATAGATAGAAAGCTCTGGCTTGGGGTCAGAACGAGTGTTGTCATTGTCCTTGAACTCGTGCAAGAACTTGGTTGGCGTAACAACGTAGTACCCAGTAGAGTAGCCCCAAGAAAGCTTGTTACGCGACTTGCGTTCCAGGGAACCCTCAATAAGAGGCTTGACGGAGGTGTGGTCCATGTTGGGGAAGTTGATGGCCTCAACAGAACGCGGGGGGTCATTGGGGTTGACCAAGCGATCGCCGCTACGGGTCACGAAGCCGTTCCACTCGAAATCACCCGGGACTCTCTGGATGGCGCCCAACATGTCGGAGTAGAGAGCGCGAGTCTTCTCGGCCTGGCCACCAGTGAGCTGGATGAATTGTTCCATCGCCTGCTGGATAACCTCGATAACGTGTGCCTCGAAGTCCTTAAAGTTGTTTTGGACAGCAATCAGGTCGTTACGGTTGTTGTTCTCCTCGAGAACCTGCTTGTGCAGTCTGTGCAGGACACCACGGTTGACGACGTAAGGATCGTCGGTTCCGTGCATCTTGCCGCCGGCGGACTCGAAGGAGGCGGTCTGGGAGCCGAGAAGCTCAATGTGCTTCTGGGTGGTGTTGCGAGCCTTCTCAACCTCCTTAGCACCCTTTTGGGCACCGTGTGCCAGCTCCTTGCCCTTGTGCTTAATCTCCTTGTGCAGGCGTTCGAGGACGGGGAGGATGGAACCCTTGATGGTCTTCTCCGTCTCGAGATTGGTGTTAATAATCGCCTGCGTGTTGGAGCGCATGTTCTCAAAGTAGGCTGCGATACCGCCGAGGCTCTGGTCGAAGTGGTGGCCCTCCTTCAAGGGATGGGAGATGGTCTTCAGGGCCTTTTCGTATTCCTTGGACTGGGCCTTGTGGATCTTCTCGACGGCTCCGATGTAGTCCTCGAGATATCCAACGGAATGCTTCCATGCTTGTAGTCGCTCCGCGAGAAGACCAGCGGTCTGCGTGTAGCTATTAGCATATTTCATTGGGAAGGGTCGGGTGGTTGCGTAGACAAAAGCGTTTACTATTGGGCGCCGAATGGCCCATACTCTATGCCTTGGCTATTTGGAGCTGAGCGAAATAACTGATTCACTTACGCTGGTGGGATCGACTTCGGGAACAGCATCGTCGCTAAGGACAGAGTTGTTGGTCATGATGGTCCCTGACCTCTGGGGGAGGTCCTTGGTGTCGGCCATGGTTGTGATGTGCAAGATCGGATGGTTGCGCTCGAGAAAGTAGTATCGTGACTGTTACGAGGTGATGTGTCGAGGGTGCGTCGTAGTTGGAAACGTTCGTCCAAGGTTGTCTAGAAAGATGGGAGAAACAAATGCAGTGAAGCCCATGGAAGTGGAAAGGGCAAAAGAGGTTATATTTGTCGGACATTACATGTGTCCCGTCCCTCTCCTCGATCGCCCATTCCTCCCCCCGCCGCCGCCAGTGACAGCTGGTAATTAAAACCCGCCCAAGCTCCTGCACCAAGACCAGGTCGAATGACGTTCTCCACCAAGCCGCCAGCGCAATCTTCCTGGTCTTAGCGGCCCCTGGCTGGGACTGCACCTGCAGTGCTGCACCGAGATTTGCTTGTCGCACACAAGCACGACCCTCTCGCTGGCCCCAAAGGGTTGTCCAGAGTGGGGTCGGTCTGGACCACCCCCTGTGACGATCTCGACATTTTTACTCTCAAGGGACAAATCCTCTCACTTTTCATTACTCCTGCCTTCAGCTGAATTCCATATTGGGCTGACAGTCGACACTGAGCTGGCTACGGTACCACAGAGACACCTCGTTGACCCTACCTTACCACGCTGAAATCCCCGAGTGCTCCCCTCCTCAGCTGGTCCGGGGGTAGGAAGCAACTTACTGCATAGCAGGTGCCCGTCTTGCATCGTCACATCCGCTAGACGGGAGGCCCATGAGTGATTTGGGGGCTTTTTATGACGTCAACAAGTCCCTTAGTTTCCCAACGCACGATGGCGCTAGCTGAGATGAGACGAATGCCCTCCTGTCTCACGACCTAGCTGCATTATGGGCTCATGTTAAGCCACCATATACAAGATACCATGCAACCACTAACACGAGGGTCGACTGTACAGCAAAACTGACAACGTACAAGTGAAAAACCACCACCAGGATATCCCTCCTAGACACAAATAAGCTTTCTCTCTCGCCGTCCAGCGAACGTTGCTGCCGCAGGTGATGGCCGCGATGACATGATAAATCAAGGCTACGACCTGAAGTGCGCATACCCGACAGGTTGGCGTTGGGCAGACGTCAAAAGGCTCAAATGATGACGCCTATTGGTTAGGCCATCTGAGTGCAACGCAAGAAACGGTTCAGATTCTAGAATTTTGTTGTCGGAGTCCACTCCTGTGGTTGTGTTACCGGCCTCTTCCGTGCTACCAAGACTAAAAAAGCCAACATGAGTTTTGAAGAGCAGATGTTTGATTCACGATAAAGGTAGCAGGAGACGACTTCCATCTAGGAGCGTTGAGATTCTATCATGCCTCCATTATATCATGCCTCCATTACCAACATGAGGTGCGTGATCAGTCCTCACTCCAGGACCAGGGGGTAGGCAGGTCTAGCTCGCCAGTGAACTCATAGCTGATAGCCAAGTTCCGTATGCTGCTTCGCACCATCGGCATGGTTCATGCACTCCCCCACGTTCTCAGATATCGTGACAAGGTATCGCAATCGCATCAAACCATGACTTCAGTGCCATGGAAAGATGATGCCATCGTCGTCACATCCAGCATCCCCCCTCGGTCTCGCCGCGCCACAGCCACAACTACAACAACCTTTAGACTTTACCTTCCCCCTTGCCCCCCTCAAAAGCATCCAGACACCTAGGAAACACCGAAGAAACCAATGCACCCCATATACGAGCCTAACAACCGCAAGTGGGTGGACATCATCGTCCGTCACTCATCGGGTAGGTACTTGTGCCGTGTTCATGAGGATGGGCAGATGCTTGACAGAGGGGACGTCTGAAGACGTACAACTCTCCTTCAGCTGTCGCCGCGCAATTATGGCAAGGCACAAGCGCAAGATCACTCCTAGTATTTTCATCCGTGGAGACCAAACCCTCCAGACTTGAATGGGCCAAGTCCTTGGGTGTACCGTCAGCATCACAGAATCGGGATCGCGGGGCTGCATCTCTCGTTGGATGAACTTGACCCAATCTCACGGGTCCTTGTTGATCATGCTGCTCTTGGAATTGCGATTTATGCGCAAGCCATGCGAGCCTCCAATGTTGTAGGCGAAGTGTGCCTCCAATGCTGCAGGAGAAGCGTGTCCTCGGTGGTCAAGATACAGGGCCGCCTCCAGATTGTAAAGAACATAAACACCCGAACCTGCAATCTTGCCACCGCGTGCCTTCTTCAAGGAGTATTCTCCAACGAACACATAAAAGATAAAAGTGAAAAAGAATACTAAAGCTGGGCATGATAAGAAAGTATCGTAACCTTTTGTCGACCGGCATTCTATCTTGTCACTCACTTAACCCGGTGACCCCTCGGCATGTTCGCTTTAGGCTAAGTTGGCTGCAACCCCTCCCCCTCCATTTCAAACTTCTCTCTTATCGAGGCGTCCGACATCGGCCGGGAGGTCAACCACACCCACCGCCGCCGTACCGGAAGACCCCCCCCCCCCACAACGCCGTAGCCGCCGCTCTCCTCGGCATTACGAGCATGTCCCCCGTTGTATTTTGTCAAGGGCGACTCCGTCGTCGGGTCTGGTGTAAGTAAGGAACTGGAAATATCGCCGTCGTCGTAGTGCTGTGCCTATCATAATGATTTGGATGATTCACTCTGCAGCATTGAACAAGATGTTGAGAAAATCGAGTATTGACTTTTTTTGTCATCTTTGGTATCTCGCAATCGACATGCCGCGCTCTAAGCGGTGGGTATATCGTACATCCCTATTTGCCTTTCCCAGTATCGCCCCAGTGGTAGATCCCACCAACTATTAATCGATCCGTATACTTTGTGTGTGTCCAAGCAGCCGATGAGTTCTGATGCCTCCAAGGCGCAAATCTATATCCTGTAAAAATCTCAAAAGACCAGTCCCATGGGAAAGTGTTCCATTCCACCCGTGAACGCCGACGCCATGCCCAAAGTAGTATTTGCCGCCCTCTCTATAGTCGTTATATAATGAAGTGAGTATGGTGTGAATCGCATCTCCGCATAGTAGCCTTAGTAAACTCTCTCCCGTCCCTGAATGAGATGGATTCGGCGATCATCGCCGCCGCCCTGCACAGCCTGGAGCAGGTTGCTCATGCTCTGAGGGCGATGCCATGAGCGGTGCGAACCACCTGGGGTAGTCGGCTCACTGCCGCCACCCTCATGCTCAGGAATCATGCCAAGCGGGTCTGCAACAGGAGCCTCGCTCGCAGGAGGCGTGTTTGGGGCGCTCATGGCAGAGAAGTAGTCGGGGAGCGCGTCACTGCTCGGGCCCCGCCGAAGGGGAGTCTTGACGGCCGTTGTGTAACTAGGTACCTTGCTCAAGGTAGCCATGTCAGGGAAGTCGAGGTGCTCAGGCGAGTTGCGTCCTGAGGAGTGCGAGTTGGGATGTTCCTCGGCACTGTTGTGGCGGGTCAAAGCTGCCGATTGTGATTGCGAGTTCTCTCCCGTGGGGACAGATGTCGGGGCTGCGACGTCCTCCGTGATGGCGTTCAATGAGTTGAAGGAGGTGTTGCGGTTCGTGGGATCGAGAGACACGTTTTGCAGGCGATGCGACAGTGCTGCGGGAGCAACACCATGGCCGTTCATCATGGCGAGAGAAGCAAGGTTCTCTGATGAGCCGGCGCGAGATTGGGCGTAGAAGGGACTGCTGAAGCCAGACTGGATAGCTGGGGTCTGGAAGCCGCTCATGTCGACGTCTTCATAGAGTTGATCGAGGACATGCTCGCCGTAGCCGGGCGGTGCGATGCGGGTGACTTCGGCCTGGGCGGGCGCGCCAGGAGCTTGGTCGACGAGAACTCCATGCTCGTCAAGGGGCATGTTCGGAGAGATGAAGATGGAGACGGGGAGAGTGGCTCGGAGCTAGAAATTGTCAGTTTTGCACAAAGCATCGCAAAGAAGAGTTACAGCGACTCACCTCTGAAATGTGACCGTCGGGGTTCTTCAGCGCAACAACAAGCTTGAGTTTGTGTCGGACCTTGATACCGTTGTGGTTGAGATCCTGGACACACTGTCGCAGTCTCTTGGGAAGGTTCAGCTTCTTCTCAACCATCCACCCCTCTTGGCCAGTGTCTTCGATCGTATCGTGCCAGTGCTCGTCGCGTTCGACGTCGAATTTCCAGTTGGATACTTCTCTTTCTGTCCGGTGTTCCTTGAAAACGTTGCCCGTGGGACCCTGTAGTGTGCACTCGCGAATTTCCAACATTTTGACTGAAATCTCTCCCATTTCGAGTCCCTTGAGAAGAGGTGTAAATCGCATCTGTAATGGTACTGTGGCACCAAAGACGACAGCCTTTTGCGGGATGATAATGGAGTAGTCGACCTTATTCGGCCAGATGTTCTCGACGCTCATGGCGTGGAGGAACTCGAGGGCGGCGGGTTCGAGGGTGCGGATGATGCGCAACGCCTTGTAAGCGTGCAGATCGTAGGCGAGCTTGCCGCGGGCGACGGTAGCCTTCAGCTTGTAGGTGATGCTCGCTTCGGGGATGCCTTCAACGCTCTCGGCGGTGTTGCCAGGCAGGGTGTACTCAAAGGGCCACTCATAGTTGCCGGCCGGCAAGATGGTGTTCTTGCCACCAGTGCCACCGACAAACGGAGCCCAGCGGTGTTGGAGCAGTGTGGTGGTCTTGTCGACTTTTTGGCTGGAGACGCCAGAAGCGGCGGTTTTGGAGTAATCCCACCTATTGAGAGCGCAAGTCAGTTGACGGATCTGCAGCAAATCGAACTGGAAATAAGAAGGGCTTCATACGTTAATCTGTGGGTGCCAGTCAATCGCAGGTGGACATCTTCGATCTTGAGCGGCGTAGGCAAGCAGAGCACCACGACGCCCTTGAGGATCTGACCGGCAGACTCGTCCTCTCCTCCGCGAAATACGATGAAATCATTGTCTAGTCTGTAAGGTGTCAGACGTCAGCGGGGAGGCCCTTCAAAAAAAAAAAAAAAAAAAAAGGGACTAATAAAGAGTCACAGCTGGAAAAGAGAAATTGGAGAGAGAGAGAGAGAGGGAGAGGAAAGAAAAGGCGGGATTTGGAGACGTGGGGCAAGAGGGCATACCTGATTTCAAAAAGCGAAGCGGCATGCTTGCCTGTGACGGTCGAGAATGGATTGAATGACGGCATCTTCAAAGGTTGGGTGTGACATGAACCAAGCGGTATGCCTGGGTAAGAAGAAACAGCCTAAACATCTGGGAAGGAGAGGTCTGGAGACGAGCTTGTATTTATCGACGGAGCGTCCTTTCTGGGTACGAAGTACTTGGGACATTCGTCAGATCAAAGGTAAAGGTGGGCGTAGGCGTGGGCAAGCGACCAAGCGCAACAAGCAAAAAGCTCGCGCCTTTACCTCACAAACGGGCAGCCCACCCTCGTCGATTTGCAAAGCGTGGGAAGTGGAAGCCGAAAATCGAAAACCCACGCCCGTCATCCACCACGGCCACGCCCCTGCCCCTCGGCGGGTTCTCGCTCTTGGTGGGATAGGTGGGGCATCCTTGATTCGGCAGCAAAAGAAAAAGATTGATAGATGAGGTGGGTGTGAGCCCGGGAGGTGTGCGAAGAGACGAGTTCCTTGTTCAGGGTCCCCATGAACCTTGTGGACGGAGAGAGGATAAGGAGAAGCTACGGAGTACTGCATAAGGTAAGGAAGACAGGAAAGGGGCGGTACGGGTACGTACACTACGGATACAGGCGCAGGAAGGAGGAATTCCGTCGATTTGCTGGCTTTCAAAAGATGGATGATGAGGGTCAGCGGCAGCCACCGGGCAAGGAGGACGGCCCAAGACGGAGCCGGGGGGTGTTGTATTGCCATTTGCCCATGGACCATGGCGAAGAAACGAGCTGCAGCAGGGCTGGGTCGATGCGCCAGACAGACCCAGAAGCAAGGCGAGAATGAGGTAAGGTACGGATGTTCAATGGAGCGTGCACGCTGAACCGGCTGTCACATAATTAAGGTACCTACGAAAAGGTGCAGTGTGTCCTGTAGGTACCCACGTACCCTTTTCCACGCGGGAGAGAACACCGACTTGACACCGACTGACGGAGGGGCTGTGGCTGTCAGATGGGAATCAGCAGCGACTCACTCACCACAGACACACACACACACACACACACTCCAGAACATCTAGGGGACCATGAAGAGACCGGGTGTGTATCTGCGCTCTGGTCTGTGCCTATCGTCCCGTGTTTGCTGCTTGGTGCCGCGCGTGGTGTCGGGAACCAAGACATGGGTTCGGCGGCGATGGTGCCCTGCCGCTGGTGGATGAGTCCATGAGAAAGTGGGATGAATTTCCTCTCCCTCTTCCTTTTGCGGCTTTTGCCTCGGACGACGAGGAGGGGCGTGGGTGAATCATGGTCAGTCTCTCGGTCAAACCAAGCATCTGAACCATCTACACTTTTTAGCGCAAAAAAAAAAGTCATGACGAGAGCACGCGGCATCTATGCGCGCTCAACGCAGTGTTTCCGTGCCTGACTCTGGTACACTGATGAACGGGGGTATCGTCTCATCAGCCATCCGAACTAGAAGCGGCCTATCTAAGGCTATCTGGAGCGACGGTGAACCGATGGTGCGTTTTGGCAGAGATGCGTGTTGCGGCTACTGACGCTGATGCCGATGCTGGTGAGTCTGAGTTTGAGCCTGAGCCAGTTGTCTGACTCCCATGATTGCACACCATCGTTATCTCTTATCCTTTTACCAGACTCGGCAGTATGTCAGCACTTTTACAGAGTTGCGATGGGCTTGCGCCTTGAGGAAGAGCGGCTGTGAGTTTGCTGATTTTGGTGTGGTGGATTACTTGGCCGGCTTGGCAGCCCCCATGGACACCTCAGTGCAGGCAGGCTGTGGTCAGAAAATACCTGCTTTCGTACCTCCGTCCCCAGTTGTGTACCGCGTAACGCTGAACATCTCACCTGGGAATCATCGTGTAAATGCAGGCTCGGATCATCATCAAGTCGTTTTTTTCTACCTCATTGGGAACCCGGCCTGCACTTTTGGATACTCATGCGGCCATCCGAGGCAGGGTCGTCTGTTGGGAAAACCGGAATTTGCCCAAAATGCGACTCTCTGAAAATGACCAGCCAAACTGGCGACGGAGAAAGTGAATGACGGGCAGAAAGATAGAGTAAAAAAAGCAGGCCAAGTTGAAACGCATGGTTCGAGCGCCTGCACTTGCACTTTCAGGTCCGCGGATGGTTGCTCCTGCTCGGATTGCGCCCGGCTTAAAGATACTGCGACCTACACCTTATTCAGGCGCAACCTCACGTACCTACCTGCGTAAGGTAGTCCCATCTTCCCAGGCGCATAGACTGTAAGGCACACCTGCTGCTGCACGCAATTAAGGTGTCCGCGATGCCTCACTGGTACATGAAAACATCTGCCCATTCCATTGCACATGGGAAGGTAAGTCTCCGATGCGCCTCGCTCCATCAGATGGAGGCTCCGACGGGCGGCGCATGTGTCCGCCATGAACGTATCTTTGCAGCGACGCCTTCTCAAGGCGGTGCCGAGGCCTGGCTTACCATGAGTAGATATTGTCTACGACGCAAAGACGGGTTTGAGAGAAGTGACCGAAACTAATTGTGACGAAGGGTACCTAGGCTTCGGCAACCAATATGAATACCGCCGGGCAGACAAAGGGCCTCGAACAATCAGATTCCTTACCTAAGGCAAAGCTTAGGTTCACCAAAAGTATACATCCAAACATCTACAGACGGTGTTGCCGCCCGGGCGCCGTTCATCTGACGGATAAGGCGACGGAATGCCGAAAAAAGACTGCCACACCGACGCCACTGATTGGCCCCTGCATGAATCGTGCGATAGACGTCGGTTGGTCGGGTGGAATGGAAGCTCAGATGGAAGCTGTGGGTCCCTTCCTCGTTCCCTGCGCGCCTGCCCGTCACTCTGAGTCTCTGTCCCTTCTTTCTTTGGTATGCCGCTTGGCACCTGCGACATTACGCTGTGCGACGTGCGGCGTGCCTGCCACCTTGATTGCCGCCACAACTTCTTACCTCCAAAGATGACGGCACCCGGTGGGAATCTTGCGGGACGTCCCCTGGCAAGAATTACAATGGACGCCCGTTTTTGAAAACTCGCACGAGACAACAAAACTGACTGGATGGGCCAACGTGGTGGGCCCGGTTCTGGCGTGGGATGTTCAATCTGCGAAGTCCTGGGTCCAGCACCTCTTCCCGGCGGGTTCTAGCATCTGCCCTGATCAATCAATCGCCAACCGCTACCTTACCCAAAGGACCCAAACTGCAAAGCGGTCTTCCCTCCGTTCGTTACGGGAAGCCGCGATCTGCGTGGAACTTGTCTCCTTGATCGGGCTCTACTGTCTTTGCCTGGAAAATAATACGTTGGCTGACACACGCTTCTGTAGTCTGTTGATTTGCATCCAACATCTCATATCGAATATCGACCGTCCTTCATCGTCAATGCAACTAAGACACAGCCTAGGCTAGCAACGATACGCCAGTAGACCGCCTCGAAAACACCATCGTCACCAACTGTGGCTTTGGCAACCATCTCGTCCACCTGCAAGACACCCAAGGAGCCAAGACCTGTTCGCTGGACTCCATCGTAGTGATACATGGGGGTTTTCTCACATCCATCATCTTCAGCTGCCAGTCTCGACCGAGGCCATTGCCCGTCATCTCCAACAGGCCACGCCTCTCGTCGCCTTGTACGGGCAAGATTGGCGACCCCCACATCCGCTATCGAAGATGCGCAGGGCAAAATCCTGCTGGCTGACGTTGAAGCCTCCAACAAAGATCGTCTCTCAGATGCAGTCACTGGTCATAAACATCATTCATCATGAGACTCTTCTATTAGAGCACGGCGGGGTACATGGTGCTTGCATCTGAGCGGCAGAGGCTTGGATCATGATCAGCCATTGCTTGTTTCAAGCATGTACAACATCGGAGCCCTCAGGAAAGAAAAAAGACAGGACGACCGCTGTGGCCCTATCTGAGTTACCCCCACCGTAACCTTGAGTGCACCTGACGGATAGAATCTCACGATGTTGTCGAAACGGGAAATGGATGTGCTCGGGGTACCCAGTGCCCCAAGTCACACGGGGAACCAGCACTTCGCATCCCATAGCTCTCCGATTCTGCACCTCACGGCCGACTTGGACATCTCGCATCATGCTGAGAGGGCGACGGTCGCGCTTGAGGCCATGACCCCTCCGTATTGGCATCTGCAGGCCTGCGGGCAGCCGATGCAAGTCAAATTGTCCAGCTCCTCTGTCGGGCCCGTTTGGATGGGTTGGTCTGCCGCATGCAGCACCACATGCAGCATTCTCAGCAGACAAAGAGCTTCCAGGCCGTCCAAATCATACGCCCTGTCGACCTGGCCTAGGCATCACGTTCCCACTGTCCCATCATCCATCGAACTCCCGTCCACTGAACCGACCACGGCCCTCATTGTTCCTGAACCCCTGCCAGACTCTGGTCCGCTGCTTGGAAGATCGCCGCCAGGAGAGAGGCGGAAGCACTCTGGCACCTGGGCCCGGACCTGGACCGAGCCCTGCTATGGGCATACCCATCTGGGCTCTGAGGGTTCGGTGAAATCTCCACCGATAAGCACCAGGCCTCGATTGCTCTAGCCAGGATTGCTCCCTTCCTCGTTCCAGCTTGAAGCGAAGAAGCGAAAAGCGACTCCTGAGCCCTGAGTCCTGAGTCCTGAGAAACCGGGTCCTGGCCAGAGGGCTCCGAGTCTCTGCGCCTCAAGTCCCGGCCTATCAACCGACGACGGCCGCGGTTACAGCGCTTCCGCTGCCACTTAATCCTGCATGAGGAAACATATGAACCAGAGACAGAAATCAATCCATTACCATACGATCAGTCGGCCAGCACCGTCCGCAGTGCGACTCTTCTCCATTTGTGAGGGCTTGAACCCCCCTAGGGCTCAGGCGAAGCCAAGGACACAAAAAATGAGAGCCAGTCTTCCAGAAGAATGGACCTCTCACCGACTCGATCTCGAGTGGATTCCTCGCTGAAATTTTGACAATGGCGCCTTCAACCCTGCTTTTTCTCCGACGCGATTGCGACTTTTTCCTCACCCTTCCCACGGGTGGCTGGCATCCAATAAGCGCAGCGCTAGGAAGAATGACTCCGAGATAACGACAAATTGCACTAAGCCGCAAAGTCACCGTGCAGCGGTCCGAAGCCGCGCCGAACCCGGACCTACGCCGAATCGAAAGCTCCAAGATACGGGCGGCGGGCGCGAGTTTCGGTCTTTGTGAACGGTGCAGCCATGATCCATCTCGCAATCGCACATCGGCCGGCAAGTTCCTGCGAAGCTGCGATTCAAGTTTTTTTGTCTTAAGCAACATTTGAGTTAGACTTCCTTGGTGGCGTCTGGACACATGCTTCGAGTCGGTGTTGTGTCACCAACGAAGTTCAAGCTCCGACTCTAAGAGCTGCAGCCACCTGCCGCCGTGTTGAAGCTTTCTTGATTTCGTCACTTTTCCACATACAAAGCTACAAGTAGATAGTTGCTTGTCACATACGCAAGCGACAGCGCAAAACCTTCGGCCGTTCCAGTCGTAGCCCTCAAAGCTTTGGATTCCACCTCGATTTACGCATTTCTTCGACATCTGGACATATCCCAGTCAGATTGTCCGGCGAAGCTGCACTGAGGGCGGATAACTAGCAGAAGCGAGGTCAAGGCTCCTCAAGCCATTACCCACCAAGGCTCCGCCTACGTTGTCCCGCCAAGCTAAGGTACGCTACAGAAGGGCCGCATCTTGCAAGGGGCCAAGGTATCCGTACAGATACAAGGTCAAGATCCAAAGAATTCACGATGCCACGATGCGCAACTTGCACCTCGCCTTGATGAGTACCTAGAGTTGGCGTCTCAACGGCTCAGCTCGCTCGCTGCCGCAGATGGCATCCGCAGTCCACAGTCCGCAGTCCATGGGCCCCCACCCAATCGACTGGCCTTGTGCAAAGATAGCATCATGCCTGCTCCTGGACCTGATGTCAGATCACCCTAGTGCCCCACTGATATCAACATGACATCTCTTTCGTACGTCTCTTGGTCCCTGGCTTCGTCTCGTCTGGGCCGTTCTGTCTCGCCCCAGTGCACATCATGGCCTGAGCATCGTTCATTGCTCAAATTCGCTTGCAAAATCGAATGAGAACTGTCGGGTCTGAGCGGGTCGTCCAGACATGTTCAACCGCAGCGGTTATGCGTTCTCCCGTCTTGGTAAATTGCTGCACATCGCATCAGATGTGTACGAGAGGCTCGCTGAGTCGCTGAAAGTGGTCAAATCACCAAACAGGCCCATCGTTTCAACAATGTTGAACTTGGTAAGATCCATCTCGGGCACCAAGCCAGGTTGAGTCACGAAGCTTGGGCCCATCTCAAAATCTCGCCAACTACCGCCGCCTGCGTATATCCACTCTCCGAAATCTCTCACCTTCGGCCCTTTGCAGCGGTGAAAAAAAGGAGGGGCCACGCCGCACCTCTAACACATTTCTGGGCTTCCTGGGATGTAAACCTTGATACCGCACCCTTCCTGTAGACTACATACAGACTGGTTTCGACCTCTAGGACCTTCACGTTAGACCACAATTGTGGGACTCGTCCTCAGCCTTGCCTCCTGGCTTCCGAGTTCCCTGGGCACGCTAGGGTGAGCTCCTTGATATGCAGGTGCACACAAACCGCTCAGTGTGGGCCATCTACCCGTTATCTGCGCGGCGCACCAACGCCTTGTCACTTCAGAGGGGCGTGAAGGTTTGAAGCTTCAATAATGGAAGCTTGCGGCGACAATAGGGAAAATTTCCCAACAGTGTTCTGCATCCATACACGTGGATCTCCCGATACGCCTGCATGCATCCCAGACACACGTTGCGGCGATACTACTGCACATTAAAACACTTTGCGGCTGCACCGCCCAAAAAGCCTCATGAAAGTCTCGTTGGACGACGAGTAAGAGCCTCAGCATCTACCCTGGTTCTATGGCGCCGCGTGTCGAAGCCGCCATTCACCACCAACAACATGTGAAAAAGGCTCCGCCAGGTTTCGCTCAACGAGGTGTTTTTCTTCGTGTTACGGATACGGATACCACGACACCCATTCTTACTCGTCTTCGACTCCTAGCAGACTCCCAGGAACCTATCGCATATCAAATCAACAGTGGAGACATCGGGAATTTCCATTCCCTGCTTTCTGACAAGCAAAAAAATGGTCAATGATCCATGACTTTATTGAAAGAGGGGGCCCGTTTCGATTCGCCCTTGGACAATATGGACGCCGTTCCAGAAGCATGTGCTATCTACCTTTCCCGGGTCAGGAACGGGACGACGTGCGTCGTAGCCCACGCATCCATGATCCTGCAAGTCTGCGCCGGTAACCGTTCGACTTTTCGTCCCGGCTTCTTTTCGTCAAGCGTGGATCGGAACTTGATAGATTCTTTCCTGCGCCGGGTTTCCTCTCCCGCTCTCCCGTTCCCTTTCTCTCTACTGTTTCACTGGGTGCCTGGGCCCTGCAATATTTGGCGGCTGAGCCAAGCTTGGATTGCGTTTGTTCCCGCTATCCACTACTACATGCAGGCGTAACCCGTTTTGTTCCCATTTCCATCAAACATGGCTGGGCGTGGCGTCGAGCGTGGTGGAACCCCCACGCACTCTCTCTCTCACCGTATACTACAGCTACACGCCGCCGTGCGACGACCAATGGATTGTCAACGAACCGACGTCGAAAGATACACACAGAGTCAATTGTGGCTGGTAACTTGTAAGAGGGGTCCATCGACGCTCTCGACCGATGTACAGAAGCCCAGAGCCCACTACTATGGAGCCGCATCTTTGATTTCGCTGCCAGAGCTGTCAATGCAGATTTGTGTCTTAAGAAGGGCTAATCCTTTTCACAGTAGGAACTGCTGACGACCCTCGAATCACATGCAGATCGCGCACGTCATGATCATCTCGAAACCCTCGTGATGGGAGCGCACATCAACAGAAGATTGAGGCGAAAAAAAAACAGAGAATCAGATATTCTGACACAATGTTCTGCATTTGTTCTGCATTTGGACAATAGACGGGTTGATTGACATTGAGCGCAAAAGTACTTTTGGGAAAAGAGTTATGGACAAAGCCCCCGCGTAAAGGGTGGATGCATTGGCTGACACGATTTCTACACCTCGACTCCCCCAATATCTGCAACGAAACGAAAAAGCAAAGGGTAGCCAACTCATTATCATTCCACAAAACGACGCATATGCGGCTAAGATGGTTGAGAGGCACCCTCCGTCGGCACCGGAGCATCAGTCGGCCTGTTCCATGTTCGAATATGACCTTTTGGGGGGTTGACATGTTAGCATGTGTCGTTGAGGCTTGTAACACCTCGGTGCGAGGTCCAATGGCTTACCATTCTTGCAACTTGTGATGATGGCTTCCTCTGTAAATTCCAGCCAGCAAAGAGGATGGGTATCAACTGCCTTGGACTATTTGTCGATATTGTAAGTATAAAAGAAGATGGCAAGATGTAGAGTTTCACGTGAAAGAGAGGAAACCGAGGCAACGTACAGAAACAGGAGGTAGCATGGCGATCCTCGCGCGAGGCTCGACTGGGTGAACGATGCTGCTGCCGTCTTCGTCCACCGCGCCTCCAGAGAGAGTCGAGTTGGACCGGATGCGGCTCGCTGCCGTGTTGGTCGTCTCTTGTCTCTGCAAGGGATTGGCGAACCGTGATGATACGGAGCCTCGGTGATGAACGGAAGCCTATGTCGACAAGTCAGCTTTTTGGTCTCACGCCCCCCTCTCCGAGGTTCCCGACTCAACGCGGGGAAATCGGGAGCTAGAACGAAACGTACCGCCTTGGGCCGGTGCAGCATGCCAACGTTAAAATCCCACAGGCATAACCTGCAGTCTTCGCCGACACTGCCGAACCGATAGTTCCTGTCGTCGCAACGCCATGGGTCGAATGCCACCGATGTCACCCATGACTGGTGACCTTGACAGCGGGCGACAATGGCCGAGTCTACGACGGACCAGATGGAGATGAGGTCATCTTGGCCTCCCGTCAGAACGTACTTGCCGTCCGGTGACCATGTGATGCAGATGAAGCCGCCATAATACGAATTGTAGAGATCCAGCAACCTATGTCGTGTCAGTCAGGACAAGCCACGTCAGAGCATCAGCAGAGCTCTCAAACATACTTCTCTTTCAAGTAATCGATAATGCGGAGGGAGCCGTCCTCCGAGACGACTGCCAGATGCCTATTGTCCGGACTAAAAGCGAACGCGTTGATGCGCTGATTCGACAGCTTCCACGATGCCACGGGATTCGTCTTTTGGTTCTTTGAGTGGACCGACTTGTTGATCTGGATCTTGAGGTTGTGGTTGACGCCGTTGGTCGACGAATCGCTCTCTCCATTTGTCGATGAGCCGTTGGTCGTCGCGAGCTGCTCCTCCTCGGGAGAGAACTGCGCGTCCTCCTTGTCCTTGTCGTAGACCACCAGCGAGCCGTCCATGTGCGCTGCCAGGAAGAGGGACTCGGAACCTGGTATCCAACGGATTTCTGATACTGGTGTGCCGTTGATGATGCCCTGGGGTATTGTCAGCCTACCTGATTTCGCACGCTTCAAGCAGTTTTGCTTCAGACTTACATTCTTGTTCAATCGAGTATACCGTTGCGAAACAGGTTCCCACCAGATGATTTCTCCTGTTGAGAAGCCCATGATGACATCAATGTGTGCAATGTTCTTGGTGATGGGATTCACGTCGTGACACAGGCAATGCGCCTTTGTAAATAGAATCTTGGTCAGGTAGTCGGCCTTGAAGCACGTCAGTAAAGCAGTCCGCAGCAACGTGGATATGTGAGAAGCCCAACCTTTGTTGGTGATGATAGATCCAGCCACTGAAACGCTCGATTGATATTGGCAAAAGCAAAAACGCCATCCGTCGGCCGCTCCTGAAGCTTCTTGGCCAAGCTCTCGTTCACAATGACTCTAGAAATGAAGGACGAGTTGCTCTTGGTCATGTTGTTCTTGGGCTTGGCCACCTTCTTCTTGGCCGCGTCCTTGGTATTGGCCGGCGCGAGCGCCGTGTTTCCGTCCCCGAACGCCGGCGCCGAAACCATTGTCAATGACGACGTCGGGGGCGCAACGCCGTCGCTGAGGGAGGCACCGCGGCCGTCCCCTCCATCGCTGCTAAGCCCAGCCTCGGTGGAGTACCGCCCTTCGTTGGGGTGTTCTTGGATGTCACCGCCGAGGGAGGAGGAGAGCGTGGTGGACGTGCTGGCGCCCTTGTTGTAGAAGAAGGGGGGTGCGGCGCGGACATCGAGAGAGATGAGGGAGAGCTTGGTGCCGGCGGAGGCAGGCTGGGGGGTTGTGGCAAGCGGGTTGGGATTGACGACGGGGGCCTCAGAGGGATGCGGTGGAGGAGTGGCGAGATGGAGGCACTCTTTGAGGACGTAGGTACCCTCGCCGACAAGGAACTGGTATTCGGGGCCTTCGGGGTTGGAAAGGATGTTGTTCGTCTCGATCATGGGGGCGATGCCGGCGCCGATCGCGCCGTAGGCGCCCGAGTGCGAGGGGTATCGCGGGGGAGGGGGAAGGACGCTGTTGGTGTCGCACGGAGTGCAATTGTCAGCTGCTGCTCTGTCTTTGAAGGCGCCAACATCGTGCGCAGGGTCTTCTGGGGTTTGCGGCTTGAAGAAGGCTGGAAGAGGCTGTCTCGTGCCTGCATGATGTTTGAATGGGCGTTGGCTGGATTTGCCTGCAGGCAAGGACCAGCCGAGGTCAGGTAAACTCACAACATGATGGGCTAGTATTATGTGTGATCCAGATCTATTGCGATGTTCAATTGCTACGTGGGCAAAGGGCGATCAGAGGCACGCGAGGATTGAGCCGCGAGTTAGAAGGTGAGGTGGTTGGAGGTGGTTATCGTCGGGCGCTCGGGACGGTGGTCTGCGTGCGTTCTGTTCAGGCTCCGCCTCACGTCACTGGCGGCCCCGCGAGTGGAGGTTCTTGGGCGTTGTTGATAACGGGTGACCGGATGACGGGTGACGAGCGGCGGACAAGGCTGACGAGGTCGACGTTTTGGGAAGGTCACACGTACAACAGCGGTGACAGAGAGAGAGGGACGAGTTTTCGGTGAGGGTTCGATTATCGGACGGTGGAAGTCGGTCAAGCGCAACGGGTAGGTGTGGAGGGGGGAGAAGACAGCGAAGATGTGTCGCCGCCAATGACCAGATGAACTCAAGAGGAGTTCATGTGCGGCGCGGAGGAGGGATGTGGTGGTGGTGTAGCACCTTATTAATAGAGCGAGGTGAGCAGGTGAGAAAGGAAGAGGTTGAAGGTGTAAGGTAGGTGTAGGCACGAATAGGCAGGTTCGGGTCCGATCCGGGGTTGGTTCGTCCCAGGCCAAAGGAGTGCAGCAGCACTGGCGAGGTGCGCGCCAACCACAGCCCTCCACAATCAGTCAAGAACCCCCCAAGGCTGCCAATTCGGGTCCCCCGCCCTTTTTTTTTTGTACATGATTCCTTACCTTGGCCCCCGGCGGATGTGCCAATTGTCCCCATTTTCCCAACACCAGGGGCTCTGTCTTCATGGGGAGGCGTGGCAGGTCAGCAAGCATGGCAGGGGAGAGCGATACTGCAGGTTGGGGGTATTGGGGCATGGCTATATCCCAGGGGAATGAGGGCCCCCGGGTCAGACGCGGAGAAGGATTGCTGCGACGTGAGTGGTGGGATGGGGATGCAAGATGGGAGGGGTGGAGGGGGGAGGGGGGAGAGTGGAGGATCCCCGACTGACAGACTGTGGGGAGGAATACCACACTTCGGATATAGTGTACACTACCTATTTCCCAAGAGCTCGGCCAGCATCACGAGAGTCCATTGTCCCTGACTATCGGTTCATTCTGGGGGAAAGAGCAACGACGGTATGTCAGCTTCCAGAGAGCTTCAAAGCGTGGGGTAGGAGGGTTACAGAATGAGGCAGGGCATTGTACTTTGCAATATCAAGAGACTACCAATGTCTCATGTCCAAACCAGTTTGTGGACCGAACGTGCTAAGATCAAGTTCCGATAGATCAAAGATTTATGTAGCAAAAGTGATCTGTTCAGATACAGCAGGGACCGTCGTGTTCAAAGTTGGGGATGTATGTCACTGCTAAACTAATCCACAAGAGTCTGTTGATTGGTGTTCGAAACTTACGTAAAGTCATGTCTTGGTCTGAGGCACACGGAGCTATTAATCCGGAACTGCCTATCCCCAAGCAACTTGTTCTCCTGTGTACCTAAGGTAATGTAGGAACCCAAGGTACGAGTTGACCAGACAGAGAATGACAGAGCTCTGTAAGCAAGTACCGAAATATATTTCTACTATGGGTGCCGAACACAGAATGATAGATGTGAGGTTTCTACAAGGCTTGGACGAGACCAAGAACCACAGAGAACCATCCATTTCGTTTGGTCATTTTTCTTTCTCTTGTTCTTGACAAGAGCGGTTGAAGAGAAGCTGAATATTGTGTCTCATTCCATGAAAACTTACGTAATCCAGCAAGATGCTTCAGCGTCTGTGCCCTCCCCGGTGACCGCAACTTGCATCGCCAGACGCGCTGGCCGCCGTGCTATCAGTGCCTTCCCACCACCCCCACCGGACGCATCCTTGTAAATCAGGTCGTCATCCCCGTCGACCTGCAGCTCCCGTCCTACCCGCTTCAAAGCTTCTACAAGCCCGTTGGGCCAATTCCATCAAGAAAAAGCAGCCATCTTCAGCCAGCAGTTCCCACCCACAAACGGCGATCCGCTTCATCATCGACCTCCTTGTAGCAATCATTCACCATAGACCCTACCATGGATTCGCAATAAAAGCATTTGTTGAAGCTGCAAACAATCGAAACCATGGCTTCTGGTAGGTGGCCTGACGAGGAAGAGCTGGGCTCCATTCCACCGCCCTTCACTCTGTCGAGCTTCCCACTGACCACGTTTGCTACTACATAGTGCGCATCTGCGTTTGCGGTGATGAGGGCACCGGCAAGTCCAGCCTCATTGCGTCGCTTGTCAAAGATGTCTTCATCTCCAACAAGATCCAATCCGTCCTCCCCTCCATCACGATCCCTCCACAACTGGGCACCCCCGAGAACGTTACGACCACCATTGTCGACACTTCCGCCCGCCCTCAGGACCGAACGACCCTCAGGAAAGAGATACGGAAATGCAACGTCATCCTTCTCGTCTACTCGGACCACTACAGCTATGAGCGTGTTGCCCTGTTCTGGATGCCCTACTTCCGCTCCCTCGGTGTCAATGTTCCCGTCGTACTATGCGCGAACAAGTCCGACCTGACGGGCGAAGGAAACACGCCACAGGTAGTCGAAGGCGAGATGCTACCTGTCATGTCCGAGTTCCGCGAAATCGATTCGTGCATACGCTCGAGCGCGAGGGAGCACCGAAACGTCAATGAAGTTTTCTTCCTGTGTCAAAAGGCCGTCACCCACCCCATCGCCCCGCTGTTCGACTACAAGGAGGGTAATTTGAAGCCAGCTTGTGTCGACGCCCTCAAACGCATTTTCTACCTATGCGATAAGGACCAAGACGGGTGGCTCAATGATCAAGAGATGCATAACTTCCAGTCCAAGTGCTTTGACAAACCCCTGACCCCCGAAGATCTCGAGAACATCAAGCTGTCGATTGGCAAGTCTGTCCCGCACTTGTCGACAGAGAAGGGTATCGACCAGAGAGGCTTCTTACAACTCAACAAACTCTACGCGGAGAAGGGTCGGCACGAGACGATATGGATCATACTGCGCAAGTTCCGCTACACCGACAGCTTGAGCTTGGAAGATAGCTTCTTACGACCCAAGTTTGATGTACCCGAGTATTCATCCGCAGAATTGAGCCCGGCTGGTTATCGCTTCTTCGTTGATCTATTCTTGCTGTTTGACAAGGACAACGATGGTGGTCTCAACGACAAAGAGCTAGAGGCCCTTTTCGCGCCGACGCCAGGACTTCCTGCCTCCTGGATTGAAACATCCTTCCCATCGTCGACCGTACGCAATGAGGCTGGACATGTCACACTGCAAGGATGGCTCGCTCAATGGAGCATGACCACCTTTATGGAGCCCAAGACCACGCTCGAGTATTTGGCGTACCTTGGTTTCGAGCCTGCAACCGCCAGGGAAACCACGACAGCTGCTCTGAAGGTGACCAAGTCGCGTAAGCGCAGGAGACGCCCGGGCAAGGTAGAACGCAATGTCGTACTGTGTTACGTCCTGGGTGCTTCCGGGGCTGGCAAGTCTTCATTGCTGGACGCCTTCCTGAATCGGCCGTTTGACACTCTCCACCGACCGACGATCAAGCCGCGCCGAGCCGTCAACAGCGTAGAGCTTCCTGGTGGCAAGCAGTGTTACATGATCATGGAAGAGCTGGGTGAGCTCGAGCCCGCGATATTGGATAACCAGGCCAAGCTCGACGCTTGCGATCTTATTTGCTACACGTACGATTCCTCGGATCCTGACTCCTTCTCTCACATCGTCGACCTGCGCAAGCGATACCCGCAACTGGACGACCTTCCCAACATCTACACAGCTCTGAAGGCGGACAAGGATAAGACAACGCAGCGCAGCGAGACGCAGCCAGACACGTACACGTCAAGCCTCATGATGAGCACGCCCCTTCACGTCACAGTGAAGTGGTCCAGTATCAGCGAGCTGTTCATTGCCCTTGCCGAGGCGGCGACGAATCCCAGCACCGCGTTCCCTCGAAGCGAAGAGGAGCCACCAGACCGCACAAGCCTCTATCTCGCTCTGGGCGCGACGGCCTGCGCTGGAGTTGCGGCTTTCATGATCTGGCGACGATCGACGACGTCCGCTTAGAGGAGGGCTCGAGTCTAGGCGCTTTGTTTTCCCCTCGCTTGCATCTGCTCGGAGTTGGCGCGATTTCGCATGTCTCATCATCCACTCGTTGAAATACAATTATGATACCCAACTCCGCCCTACACATATAACTAGGAACTTAGTCTCTAATCAACGTAATATCACCGCATCTTTCAGGTCAAATATCTCTTGTCCCCTATGCTCAAATGCCTTGACTATGCCGCGCCGATTTGATTAGATCAAGACTTTTCATAGTCTTCTTAGATGTCGTCCACTGGCCGATTGTCACATCAACTTTCCCAGTCCTCCTAGAGTACTCTCTTCCTCCCGTTCCTAATCTTGAACATCTGCCACACATATGGGTGGTACGTCTGAAAGCAAAGTTCTGTTAGTGAACACTACTTATCTATGTGTACGTATCTCTGCACGAATACGGGCACAAGAAACCACGAAGCTCACGGGAGCTAGTAGAACAAAAGAAGATTACTCTTTGTCACTACTTCCCAGCGGTTGTGTTGACCTGCTGGTAGAGTCATGGCTATGCACTCATTGGCAATGTGTGGACGACCGGCTACCTTTGTTCACTTCCCTCGCGAGGCTAGAAAACTACACTGAGGCACTCGACGTTTGGATAGACTAGCACATTTACAATACGTTGGATTATTTCTTTGAGATCTTTTCTTCTTTTGGGCCTTTATAGAATAAAGTTGAAACGTAACTTGGCTTGTAGCCTTGGACATTTTATCCCTCCGCTGTGCGAAGCAGACCTGTTGAGTTTGTGGTCTCTGTTGATGTGTGGCTCACTATCTGTGTTTGATCTACGAAGCCTCTATTTATGTCTTATAAATGAGTACTTATGAGTGCCTTGATGTAAAAAGAGCGTTTTCCAAGTGTCGGATGTCTCTTTTCTCTCAAAGCGAACGGCCAAAGCATACGGTCGAGAGAAATGAACGGCGGCCAAGGCCTTCTCATCGAAGATACGGATCGCCTTGCAGAGCTCGTCGCTCTTGTGAGCGACAGCTCAGAGAGAGAGAGATTAGCAACCCCAGACTATATAATGCATATTCTCAGCAATGTAAAGCAAGATCCAACCACGTCCATAACTTTCGCGTCCAATTGGCTAACCTCCGATGCGTATGAGTTGACTTGTTCCAAGGAGCTTGTTCTGAAAAGGGGTTAGGACATTGCTATTAAGCAAGACAAGATCTAAGCCCTCCGTCATTCAATAGTAACCCACATCGCTACCATATTCCCTGACGTATATCACGTTGCTGGCAGAGATTGATAAACAAGTGGGATGTTTCTATATACTGTAATTGATTACTCTTTAAAGGACTACACTAGCAATCTTACCTTTCAGTCGCGTCGTCCCAACCCTAGCTGCTGGGGCAAAAAGCATAACCCAGGCCTACATTTTTGTCACCGATGTGGTTTGGTGATAGTGGTTTAAGACTGGAAAGCTGAGTCCCGCCTGCATGTTTATAAGAGAACGGGTGAGGACAGATAGGGTCACGTGCGAAGTCGTACAATACTAATTTCTGCAGTGAGGTCTCGATAGCTCTGAACAATTAAGTAGTGGAGACCGTGATAGCTTCAACGTCTTCTATCTCGGCGCCTGTGACGAACACAAACTAAAGATAGCAGTTTTCGAACTATGATGAGGGTTGTTTTCAGTACAGTGCCTTCGTATGCGTCAGAATCAACACTCGCATTTCCGATCTTATTCTAGAATATTGGGGCGCAGGACTCTTCACCCCACGAGAGTTCCAGATATCACGGTATAGGAAGGCCTGGCCCAAGCCGCCTCAGCTAACATTCTTTTCTGTATTTCCCTTATCAACGACGACATGGTCTCAGAAAATCAGGTCTGCAGGACTCCTCAAGCTCAGGGACAGGGCCTGAGAGCAACCCAGCCGTCGTTTTGCATATTACTTTTGGCTTTTGCTTTCTGCTTTGGCGCGCTCATGGAGACGCGGGCTCAGGAATCCATGGCTGTGTATATCAAGCTTGAGAGGAGAGGCTAGTCAATATGTTTGATCGTGCGAAGCGAGGGGAGATCGAACTAGGAGTCATGACTCCCCTCGCCATGGCGTGGGCGATGGGATAGTAACGATGCCGGTATTGATTCTAGGATGTGGCAACGAGTTGTGTGGAGATAGAGCCGGTCCCGTGAAATGGCAAGCCGAGTTTTCGTATTAGTTTGTGCTAGCCTAGGGATATTTGCTGCGAGTAAGTCTCTTTTAAACATTTACACTCATACCTATCCTTGAACGTTGAAAGAAGTGTGTACATAGCTCGACAAACACGCGATCGGTATTGGCTAGCTGCTAACCAGCTCTAACTGATTCCGAAATAGACATGCTATCACGCCCATAGCTCCCGTAATCGACAGTAACAGACTCTGTATGGTTCAGGGTCAGCAAGCAGTAAAGCAAAAAAAGGCTACGTGCCAATTCACGTGGCCGAATCCCGCGATGCGAATGGCCTTATAATAATGGCTCCGGAGGCCTCGAGGTGTCAAAAAGAGGAAGGAGGTCATGCTAGAGGCAATATAAAAGGCACAGCTTACGCCAGTAAACATTCTAGCTGGTGAGAACCACTGAGGGGAACCTTAAGAAGGCTGGACATATCTGCATCCTCTTGCAGAAAGTGCTTGAACCCAAGCCCAAACAAGCACCTGGCTTACCTTACGCCTTAGAACATCTCAAGACGTCTCCAGCGCTCTCTTCAACCCTTGTCATCGCCATGCCCTTGTTCGTTCCGCGCGGATGAATATACAAGGACCCTTACAAGACAAGAGGGTGGGTGAGACACGTTTGGCTTGATCACACGAGCGTCTGCCCAGCCTTTCCTCTCGTATCCACATTCTCCAATCCTCATACCTCAGCTCCCAGTTCTCTTCAGTGGAAATGAAGCCACAGAATATCTGCCCCTCCCTAGAAAGGGGCCAAGACCATGGGCTTGACGAACATACCATAGCGACAGCTAGGTCCGTCCTTATATATGAAGGCCTTTGGACCGATCACGAACCTCAGCCTCTGCCTCAAATCACAGCTTCCGCAAGACCGATACATAAAAGCAAGTTCATAAGTGGTATTCCAAACTGTTTCCGGCCGTGTACTCAAGAAATTCCGAAAGTCGTTACCATACACGAAGAGGAAGAAGAAAGACAGCTCCCAAACAAGCTGACAGGGAATCCCAAGAAAAAACCAAAACACAGCTTCATGTAGCACTGCATGACCGACACTCCCACCAGATAGAACCCAAACCCGGAGGACCCAAAGACACCCGTATTGTTACCCAAGACCAGTAATAAAAAAGCCAAGGAAGGAATACAAGAAAATTCATCCCGATGTCTCAGACCCAGACTCACGTCGTACACCTGACTTGTTATACAGCCTTGTCAAAACCGACCCTCCTCTTTCCCACTTGTGTCCCATAGGCCCGGCATATAAATAACTTTTCACATCCTTCATAACGCTCTCCATCAGCCACTCAGTCGCATACTTCCATCAGTCGTTGGCTTCTCCGAACTCACTCATCACCACGTCAGTTCATCAGACGGCCCCCGTTGACGGGGATCACCGTCCCCGTAATCCACCTCGACTCGTCGCTCGCCACAAACGCAACAACGTCGGCAATGTCCTCAACGGCGCCCAGTCTCGCCTCGGCAGGCGTAAGCGAAGCCCTCTCCAAGTCGGCGCTGCGCTGATCGTCGGGCAGCGAATCAAACATCTCCGTCTTGACCGTCCCCGGGCTGATACAATTCACAGTCACGCCATGCGCCTGCCCCATCTCCCGCGCGGCGACGCGCGTAAACGCCTCGACGGCCGCCTTGCTCCCCGCGTAGGCCATGCTGCCCGGCGAATCGGCGCGCGCGGCGACGGATGAGATGTTGATGATGCGACCGCCCGGCGCAATGTGCGGCTTGACGGCTTGCATCATAAAGAACACGGCGCGCGTGTTGGTGTCGAAGATGCGGTCGTAGTCCTCGGTGGTGGTGTCGTCGAGTGTTGCGCTGAGCGTCGCGGCAGCGTTGTTGACCAGGATATCGATCTTGGTCACGCCAAACGCCATCATGGTCCGCTCGATGACCTTTTTCTGATGCTTGGAGACGTCGGCTTGGATGGCGGTCGCCGAGGATCCGCAGGCCTCGATCTCGGATATGACCTCATGGGCCTTGGCTATGGATGAAGTGTTTACAAAGGTGAAGGCGACCTTTAATCACGCGAATCACGAAATCCTAGCTTTAGCCGAAATTCTCATTTCAACAAGATTGAGGTCGGGAGAGACGCACCCTGGCCCCTTCTCGTGCGAGCTTCAACGCGATGGCGGCGCCGATGCCTCGCGCGCCGCCGGTGACGATGGCGACTTTGCCTGACAAGGACATGTTGGGCGGCGGGAGCTGTGGCAGTGGCTTCGTCCACAGGGCAGATGATGCGCGCCGCGCGACACTTTCGCTGGTTTCTGCGTCGCTGATCTGAGGCGACTGGCTTTGCTGATGCTGCTCTTGCTGGCTCAGCGCCTTGGTCAGATGAGACTGTGATAAAGGCACACTGTCAGCTTCGATGTCTGTTGGCATCCGCGGCCGGAATCCCGGTGTAGTGCAGCAGAATACCGGCAGAGTCTGGCTCTGGAGCCAGTGCGTAACGGCTCGGAAAGCCATTTGACTGGGATCCGTAGTCATGGCATTATCTTCAGTAGGTGCGACGTCCATGCAGATATGCTGCATCGGTTTGAGATGTGTGATGCGATGACGAGGGTTGGTGAAGGCTGGCACACACACACCTTGCAGTTGAACGTCAGCCTGATCATGCACACCAAGGTCTCCCGTGCGTTGGAGATGGTGTGGCGGCGCGGGGAAACTCGACTGTCGATCGTGCTGGATGACCAATGTAAGACAAAGCTCGAGAAGGTCTAGTCCACACTTTCTGCTGCAAATCTACCCATTCCGCCACAGTTTCAATAGCTCGTGCAAGCTCTTTGGCTCAAGTTCTCGACCAGTCTTCAAGGAAGGACGCGGACCCTGCTGTTGCAACTGTAAGGGTGAGGATGCGGACAACGAGCCACACGTCCGTCTGGCACCTGGGAGATGGATATCGTGTTCCATTGGTGTTACCCTGAAGTTTGGGGGCCCAGACGTCCCTCTGACAGACGACAGACGGCATATCGCTGCAGCCCGCAGCGCAGCTTCACATGAGTGGGAGATACGTGTAGTAGGCTCAGCTGCATACTACAATGCCTCATTGTCGATCGCTTGATCGCCAACACTTGCTATCGAAAATGGCAATTATATGAACGAACTGAAGCCGTGTAATCGTGAGTCAGAATGCTGATTCCGAGACTTCTCATGATGCGCCCAGCGAGCTGATGCGATCGCAAAGCGATTAAGCCATATGCACAACCAGTCGAGGGCTGCTGCCATACACCTCAGTAGCGCTATCTCTCGCTACCATTTCCCACTGTTCAGCGACTACCCTATGACCGGCTGCCGGGTCTTCTTCGCTGGATGCCAGTGGATGGCGACACCCTTGCTAGGAAGCGGCAGATGGGATGACATGCTACGCTGCGATCGCAGTTGGGCGGCCTCTGGTTGGTCGTCCCCGTGCGACGGTTTTTTTGCGACTCGGCTGGGGCGCTTCGCAATGGACCGCCGTGGACCCGTGATTATGATGGTGGTTGGCAGGACTGTGTCTGTGGACAGGGGCGAAGGTTCTCGACGTCTTGATTTCTTGACGTATGGGAACTTGGTGCTTGGCAAGTCGCAAACGGCAAGATGAAAGAAAGACGTTGGGCCGCGGGCGTTGGAAACGAGATTGCCGATTCAGGTCACTTTGGCGTATTAGTGGATCCAAGAGGCCGGTTGGGCCTTGAAATCAAAAAATCCCTAGGCACAAAGGGGGCTCAAGTTGCTCAAGGGGCGAAAGTGGGAGATGAACCCGATGAGACGGCGTCGATGGCCGGGGCCGCCGGTGGTGAATAGGGGCCCGAGGCGGTGACGATGGGGACCGGTCCACTGGCCCTGCATCTGACCAGCCCTTGGTCTCCAGACTCCAGTGTCTCTCCAGTGTCCAGTCCTTCGAGAAGGATATGGAAGTCGGCCGTGGTGCATGGGTTGCATTCCACGCATTGCTCAGGGAACCCTCAACTTTGGAGCGCGGAAGTATTCGTTGGCACAGACTCGGAGGCCGTGGAGAAAGCAACGTAAAGGCGTGCCTCGGACAAGAAGAAAAGCACACTGATGACTGAGTGACTGAAGAGACGCCCGAACCTTGTCCTGAGATCCGATGTTCCCTGGCATAAAGTGGTGAGCTATTCTGGGGACTTTGTCTTTGGGTTGGGGTTCTGGGATCGCCCTGTAAGTCTAGGCAAACGGGGTCGTGCTAGTGTCGATTTTCGGCAGCAGCCAGCAGCAAAGACCGATGCTGTTTCGACGTCGGCCAGTTAGGTAGTACATGAGCTGATGGCGGCCATCGAGGGAGCGAGCATCGGCTGAGAAGCGCAGTGCCTGTAAAGGGCCAACCTGTTGTTGTCGAGCTGTGTGCACAACAGAGAGTACTTGTAGGAAGTTGAAGGGATACCCAGTGTCGTGTCGCAGGCGTGAAGAGAAGTACGATGTTAGGGCCGGGTGCGTATGGAGCGTCCCTTGGACCTTGGACCAGGTGGGTTGTCCCTGCTATGCTCGGATCCGATTGTGGCAGTGAAGGGGACGAGAAACGCGCTTTGAGCGTGACAGATTCAGCTCGAGTTAGAGATGAGAAGCGAGAGGGCCCTGAACCCGTAATGTGGTTTCCTTGTTTCATTGCGAGTAATCTGAAAGACTGAATTTCCCTTCGTCTTTTGGTGAGTTGAGATGATGGAGTGATTGTGTACCCGTACTGCGTATACTCCGTACGCAGCGCGGACTGCGGCCATGGCCCATCCATGTCTCATCCACTGCCAATATCCGGGCCTCGTGGTTAGCATGCGCTCTTTGGGGAGAGTCGGCCGGAGCCAGTTGTGTCGGACTCGGGATATCATCCAACATCAAATGTCGGGGTCTTGGCTTGGACCTATGATGCGAGAATATTCGTATAGAGTATCCGTACCTTAGAGTAGCAGCGATGAGGGCCCTTGCAGACTTCGATGTCATTGATGTTTTGTGCATGTTGCTTGGGTATTCGTATTATTCCGCTGATGATTGAGGATATTGATCGTTCTAAAGATTGAGGTTGCAGACTTCCATTGTGTAAGGTAGCCAGTCGCCCGCTATCTTTTTCCTTCTTTTTTTTTTCTCTCTCTTTTCGGGGTTTCTCTGTCCTTCCTCCCCGCCCTTGCTTTGCGCCACCGCTGTGCCTGCCCATGCAGTTGTCCATCCTGCCGCCTGCCGTGTCTGCCCCCAACTTGATGCCAAAACGGCAGCCAGTCAGTTCGCAGCTCCTTCTCCTCTCTCTTCAGTTCTGCAAAGAGTGAACGGACGACACGTACCTCACTTAGCTTCGGTACCTACCAAGGGTGTAGGTAAGCTCAGGCACGGGTACGGACGCATGCACGACTCAAAATGCAATCCAACTCAGCTGAACGGACGATAGACTAATGTATCATGAGGTAAGAGGATGCCCTTACGTGCATTAGGTAATCTTTTGGTTGTTCGGTGCTTTGCTTGCGCGACCCTGGGCCACTTGGTGTTGACTGCCCTGTTCAAGAATAAAGGATAAAGGAGTCAGTCCCGGCTATTCCACAAAGCCTTCCAGGCCGAATTATCTACCTTAGTTTCCGTGACTTATCCGTACCTTACGCACCTCCTTAAACATTATGACCTTACCTAAGTAAGGTCGGTACTATGAGTACGCCGACTGGGCAGCCCGTACCTAAGGTATTGTTGGCAGTTCCATGGCAGTTGCCCGTTGGCTTTTGGCTGAGCACGTGACAGGGAGGCGGTCTTTTGTGCCAGACCACCGCACTTTCCTCACTTTACTTTGACTGGCCGCTTTTCCCAAAGCAAAGTCTAGCCCAGTCTGGCTGGCGCTAATGCAGTCTTGGTGGCGCCCTTCTCTCCAGGCTACCTTACAATGACACCAGCCGATTGGGGGTCGAGCCAAGTACTCGGTACTTGCACCCCTCAGACCTCCACTCCGTCAGTCGCAGCCTCTCGCTCGCTTCCGACACCCATAAAGGCACACTTTCAAGGATCGTCTCTGCAAATAGATTTGTACCCGTCTACTTCCATGGTCCCCCAAGTACACTACCTATCTGATCTCCACGGCGTGACCTCGACTTTGGTGCTGTACTGGAGAAGGTAGCGCCTGTTCATCGCCCTTTCTGCCAGTCACCCTCACGTTCGCTCGCGCTCTGTCTTCTGCCCGCTCCCCCGGCCTGCAGTAGGGGGTTGATTTCTGACTTGACTGGCTGCAGTCCCGTCTGCCTGTCTCTTCCAAGGTTGTCTGCACTGGCACCAATCCCAAATACCTTCTCCAAAAACTCCAGTTCTCGACACAAGACTGGACGGTGAGGTGAACGAACCAGTAGATTGTTTGACACCATTTGCCTTACCGAGCGCTACAGGTTCCAACAACGAGCAACGTCCCGTCATTCAACCTTACCTTGCTCCTCCACCTCTACCTACTACGCCCACCACCACCACTGCCTCCACCATCATCTCTCTCTCTCTCTACCTTACCACTACCCGACGACACAACACAACGTTAGCACAAGACACGCCGGCCAACTGCCCACCTGGACCAGTCTCGAACCGACCCATCCTCGCCTGTTCCGTGCTCTCAACAGCATAATTTGCCGCTTGCTTTTTCTCTTTCTCTCGTTTGCAACGGTGGACTTCTCCAGTCTTTTCAACTCTTATTGTTGTACATCCCGGGTACCGCTCCAATACACTTCCCTCCCGTCCCCATGCGATCTTGAACGACGCGCCGACCGAAGAATCCATACCTGTATCCGTATTCCGATCCCGACCTTGATCCAACTCCCGCCTTCGACACTCCCGTCGCTCCCACGCTGCGCGCCCATGCTGCACTACACCCTCGACAGATGAGAGCTCAACGACGCAGTCTTTTCGAACGAGATATTTGGCAGACGAGTGGTGCATTTTAGGGAATAATTGGCTTTTTGGCCTCCCTCAAGGCCATTCCTCTCCTAGATGATGGTGCGTAGAATTGCCCATAACTCGCCACCGCACCCACCTTTGGCACCCAACGTTTCGAGAGCCTTTCGAGTCGACCTTGTTTAGCATGGCGCGCTTCTTTTCTTTGCCGTGATTTCAGGCCTCGAATTTCACTCTTTGAATCTCCTTTCCCCGAACAGCCCCTTTGACTAACTCTCCGTGCTATCCGCAGACCTCATCTAGACCCCGCGCCGATGTTGGCGGCAGCTTTGCGAGTCGACGCGGTCATGCGA